GTTATTCGATCCGGAAATTTAATTACGCCTTCCATCAAAATTAATTTAATTGACCTAACGACCTGAGATATCGTTAGTTTAATTAATTGCCGAGACCTAAACCGTGGAATTTCCAAAAGAACTGTTTCATTCTAACTAATGGTTAGTCCTTTCTTGGAATTTACTACAAACTTTGAATTCCTTTGAATTGCTAAAACTATAGCTAAGGCATTGAGATTGAGAAAGGTATTGTATACAATAGTTGAACAGAGCTTAAAAAAGCTCCATCAAGATGTATTTAGAGCTTTTTTCCTCGTTATTAATAATGCAAGTACTCGTACATTATTTTAATTAATTCGAATATCGCGGAATGAAACAATTAAACGTTAATGAAATTAATTAAATTCTTTTTCTATCGGAAACGAACTAAATCAATTAGTTGTGTTAATTAAAGCTGCGCCTATTATTTATGAACAGTATCCAATTTATATGTTAATAATACATGCACTAGTAAAATGAATATTTTGAAATAAACTAATACTCTAGTGATGTTAAGGAGAGATAACTTGAATTGGATATAGAAGAATTAAATTAATTATTCTATACAAACATTCTATACTTGTATTTTATTTGTTGCCTATAAAATTAGGATAAAAATTAGGATACAACAGCGAGTGAAAGAGGCCTAAAGTTCTGAAGTTTTAAACAACGAAGACGAGGAGAAAATAAATCATTTAACTGCCAAAATTGCTGAAACTTAAGCTTAAAAGTTTCAGAATAAAGCTCGATTTAATGAACTTTATACATAGCATTAAACAAAATGCATCGAGTAAAATATAGTATTGAATTATGGCGTTAATTTCGAAAGGAAAACTCCGAATGTTTAATCGATAAATATTTGGCAAGCAATCAGAAACCTTCTGAGAATATTGTTCTAGAAATAACTCGGGATTCTTCGAGGAATATACACCGTAGAGAAATTCGCGTTAAATGGGTCAAAATTTCCATCAATATTACAATACAGGGCGTCCCAAACAGAAATTTACACTAACGAATTATATTCCAAAAAGATCGAGTAAATAAAAGTTGAAGTTCATAGTAAATATTTCCCGTTTGTTTACTTTTAGTTCCACATTCATCATGTACGAATTGAAAGTTGGAAGGAGTTTATACCGAAGTTTTCGATAGAGAAAAGTTTCGCCCTTCTTTCGGACATAAACCATCAATATGTCGGTAGAAAATCGATTCGAAAGCGAAGTATAAATGCTTATTGTAATTAACTGGAACATTCGGTAGTGAAACTTTTTCGGGGAACATTCGCCTAATATGCAAAACCGAAATTTAGCATTCGAATATCTCGGGAAAAAAAAAACATCATGCAGTGGATAAATCCCGAGGGAATTTTGGCTGGGATCCATTAAACAGTCTCCCAGAATTTACGATGTTTCCTCTATTTCTATACGAATTAAAAATAAACGAATGGGTCTGGCCCGGCCCTGGCACGTTATCAGGGTCGATAACATTCCTGTTAATTAGTTAATAGTTTTTAGTTTTTTAATTACAAAGAAATGTGCGTAGAAAACTGAATGTTTTTCATACAAATCGATTGGTATTATTTTTAGATCTTAATTAAAACACCAGCGTAGGAAAATAAATTTAAAACAAGCGACCTTATAGTGTTTTATCTCGATAAACTTCTCGAAGCTTCTTCAGCGAATTTCGATCGGATTTTCCTTTATCTTTGTTGATGGCAGAGTAATTAATTTACTTACTAATATTGAATATCGAGGTCAAGAGGTTACCCATCGAAGATTATGTATTAAGCGAGGGGATATAACCCTCGAGAATTTATCCGTAGAACTAATTTTATGTTTCGATGGAATATTTCACCTCTAGCTGAAATAATTACAAAAAAATGTAAAGGAACTTTTTCTCTAACTGGTATAAATTCGCCTTTAATTTCCATAAAGTGGCATCTTTCGGATTACTCCTTCCATTCCGGTCTGGATCTCTCCGGATCCAGTCGGTCCGATTGTATGGAAATACATTAACCAGAAATTTATGTCCGGATAAATCTTTTACAGTCCAATTATCGGCCCATCAATAACTCGTAAAGTTTTATGTCTGGAAAACTAATAGCGAAAGTGACAGAACCAATAAACGATTTTTCCATCCACTTATTTGTATTAATTGATATATAAATGCATTCGTGAAGATATGGAATAGTTTTCCTGACTTCTAAAGTAACTCCTGTAATTCTGGAAGCGATTATCAACGATTTTTTCATCCACTTATTTGTATTAATTGATACAAATGCATTCGTGAAGATATGGAATAGTTTTCCTGACTTCTAAAGTAACTCCTGTAATTCTGGAAGCGATTATCAACGATTTTTTCATCCACTTATTTGTATTAATTGATACAAATGCATTCGTGAAGATATGGAATAGTTTTCCTGACTTCTAAAGTAACTCCTGTAATTCTGGAAGCGATTATCAACGATTTTTTCATCCACTTATTTGTATTAATTGATACAAATGCATTCGTGAAGATATGGAATAGTTTTCCTGACTTCTAAAGTAACTCCTGTAATTCTGGAAGCGATTATCAACGATTTTTTCATCCACTTATTTGTATTAATTGATACAAATGCATTCGTGAAGATATGGAATAGTTTTCCTGACTTCTAAAGTAACTCCTGTAATTCTGGAAGCGATTATCAACGATTTTTTCATCCACTTATTTGTATTAATTGATACAAATGCATTCGTGAAGATATGGAATAGTTTTCCTGACTTCTAAAGTAATTCCAGATGACATGGTTGCAACTTGTGATAATAGTTGTTTGGATGGGAAAAGCGATTCTGTGCATCAATAGATTTCGATGCAGATATTCTGGATTGATGCTTGATCGCTTATAACCTCATAGATAACAATAATAATCTGGATTATCGAACCTAATGAGATTATTAGAATTTCTGGCTGGCGTTCGGTAAATCCCCGATAATTCCTTGATGATTATCTATGTGATGATGGAGCATCAATAAGACCAATCCAACTCCAAATACATCTTCTATATGATGGAGTAAAATGGAATCCTCCAATTCGTTTTGTAATGATCTCGATTTCGCTGAATTTTTTTTTTATATTCAAATTTCTCGATTCGTTTTGATTATCTCCAGACCTGGCACCTGTTGAGTCCCCCTGGACAATAAATAGGAGAAAGGAAAGTGCTCGAATGGTCGGATGATTGATTCGAAATTTGCATTCGAAATTGGGAATTCCAATGGGAATATTTTCGATGGGGGAAAAGCCAAAACATGAAGGTACTAAATTCTTTTTCTCTAAAATATATACCATTAAATATCCACTAATAGTGGTGAAGAAACTTTGCTCAATAACACGCTTGGTATTCAATCTAGCATTGCTTTTCTAACTTTCCAGGCCTCTTTCGTGGTTGCCCAACCGGGAAATAAAATTAAAAAAATTCCGAACAACTCGTCGGATGTATTATTTGAAGTTTTCTCCGGTCTCGGGAATAGTTTGCTTGTCTTAAAACTCGCTGGTTCGATTTTGGAAGTTTCCGAGGGAATGGTATTTGCGAAATTGATTATTGCTTGTATTTGTTCCATTGAAAAGTTATTTTTCGTAGATTTTGCTGTAGAAGAGTTTTCCGCGATTCATCATTTATGACAAACCGGGGGAATTTTGAATGATAATGCTCGGGGAAAAGCGCTTGAGCGCGAAAATCCATTCCTGCATTTTGATGCATTTTGAAGAAAAACTCCATTCAGTTTCTCTATTCCAGAAGTATTTTCTTCGATTCAATGTATTTTACAGCTCTTGTATTAATTTCGGTGTATGAAGTTTTCCATTTCAACTGTACTAAACATATTTATAATTTCACCTGCTATATTTATATACCTGTTTAATCTGGTTGAATGCAGACTTTCCGATTCGGGCGATTTTTATTTTAGTAGCTTGTTGGTTTATTGCCAACCTGTTGAATGTTTGCTTATGCAATTAAAAACACTATAAAAATCGGAGCTGGTGCAATATTAAAATTTTCATCTGCTTTCTACTTTCCACGCTGTAACTTGTTAATATGGATTTTTTTTATGTTCTTTATTTAGTTCGTAATTTAAATTAGAAATTTTTTGTAAGATCTTGTTACTATTAGTAACCTCGGGCTCTATTTCAGACATCTACAATTAATATTAGAGTAAGTAGATACTCTGTATTATTTGATGAGAGTATTAATAACATTCCCATTAGATATTAAGGAAAATAATCTATTTTTTGTGCTTTGCTAATCCCACGGGTTGTATTGAAAAAGTGTTACCTTCAAATAAGTTTATTTTTAGACAAAGCAATTCCGTGGAGCATCTGACGAAATATATACAGATATATTTTTACATCAACAGAGGATCGGAAAAGTCAATAGCATGCTTTAGAGCTGGATTTAAATATCTCGAGGATTTTCCTGTAGGATCTGAAAATCGTACATCTATTAGGAAAATGGGATTTTCCCGTCGAAAAAATAATGCATCTAATTATACTGCTTAAAAGTATAGCTCTACTTGCACTTTAAAGTTAATTTTTACGAAAATATCTTTTATAAATGACCTAGTGAATAGAAGTGAAAAGTTTGTGCTGCTCAGTGTACTTTGTTTTTACTGAAAAACTTGAAGTTTACCTACTTGGAAAACGTCCGAAGTAATACACTGTGAAAAATTTAACAAACTTTCTCGCCGGTTTAATCTCAAAGTTTTTGCTTGAGCATTATCTTTAAATATAATAGGTGTTCAGTTCTAGTTTGTCGCGAAAATTACAGGAGATCTTGTGAAAAAGATCTACATTATAATTTTCCCCGGCGTCTTTCATTAAATATTTCCTGGAATGTCGTTCAGTTTTGATTACTCCGAACCAATTTAGATGCTGTCTCAAGTTTTCTATAATAATATTTCCTAGATTTCTTCTATTAGAATATGTTGTATAGAAAAATATTTATGAGAACTTACTGAATGTTAATATTTTTGTCCATTTTATAGATACCATCAGGACCACTGTGCATAAAAACCACTGTAAAAATCAACCAACAAACCACCACAAATTATTATAAATCTGCCAACGACAATTTTAATAACACAAACAATACACCAAAGATTTCAACGCGACATTTAACCCTTTTTTTCCACCAAAAAACAAACAGCAATTTACATTGTAAATTGCAAATAAACGATGCAACACTCGGGCAAATAAAATCCTTGTAAATAGCGTAAGAAAAATTCGACGCCGGGAGCGTCGCGACGCCCGTCTGACTCTGGATATGCCGCACGACTGATCCATTTCAGTTTCCATTTCCAGCCGTTTCCAGCTGTTCTTTGGGCATCAGAAAATCTCTCCTGCAGTGTGCATTGTTGCCGCATTGTCACGCTAAATATGATTTGGAGTTTGTTTTCCGTTTTCCTTTCTTTTCCATGAATATCCGAGCGAAGGATTAGAAAGTTTCCTGGATGAGATAGAGATTCGGGCGGGGTGAATATTAGAAATGCCAAGTTTTGCAGGAATAATCTTTTATTTTGGTGATATATTAGGTTTTGTTATTACAATTAAAGGATAGTTATTTAAGTGTAGATAATACGAAAAGTGCTTAGATAAAGGTTTTAATTATTTTTAAGTGGTGCTTGCGATATAATGACTTTATTTACAAGCTGCATTTTCTAGACTTTTAGTGTGTCTATTATTATTGAGTGCTATTATTTAAAAAAATGTGGCGTTATTCTTTTTATTTGCTTTATATTAGTCAATAAATATTTATTAATTAGCTTATATACTCGTTTTTTTGAGTGCATAAATTCAAATTTTCGCACCAATTCGATGTAATTGCTTATACACAATGCGGATTTCCACCATCACTATAATATCTCTATATTTCTGTTATAGTGAAAGTTTATCGTTCGTAGAAGAATCGGAACAAGTGAGTATATTTTAAGATATACAGCAGATTTTTTAATCCAAAAATATTTCGAAAATAGTTCATCGAACTGGGGCCAAAATGATATATTTTTTCAGAATGTTAATTTACAAGTCGCTACGGAAAATGGAATTGTGCAAGGCGACGAGCGAACGACAGATATTGGAAAGCCTTTTGTAGCCTTCGAAGGGATTCCTTATGCACAACCTCCGCTAAAGAATTTGAGATTTAGGGTGAGAAAGTCGAAAAATTAAGAGTTTTTTTTATCAATTTTTGTTATTTCAGGCTCCCCAAAACCCTACTCCATGGAATGGTGTATTGAATGCAACGCAACAGAGCAGCAATTGCTTCGAACTGAGGCTGAGATATCTAACAATTAATCTTGCTGGTAAAGAAGATTGCTTGTATTTGAACGTGTACACTCCCAAAACGGTGAATATTACACCAATATTTCAAAAACTTTCGCCAAAAATATTATTTTCAAGACCTCCAAGAAGCCGAAACTCTTCAACAGAGATAACCTCCTTCCAGTAATCGTTTGGGTGTATGGTGGAGGTTTCGTCGAAGGTTCCGCCGATTTCTACGGATCGAAATTCCTCTTGGACAAAAACGTTGTGGTGGTGACTTTCAATTACCGCTTGGGCGCTTTAGGTAACAGAATTTTCCAGAACATTTCCAGCTGAATTCGATCGTTAACTTGCAGGATTTCTGAGCACCGGAGACTCAGCATCGCCGGGCAATTACGGACTCAAAGATCAGAACGCCGTTTTGCGATGGGTTAACAAAAACATCCACCAATTCGGCGGCGATCCAGCGAAAGTGACTTTATCTGGACAAAGCGCTGGATCGTCCAGCGTGATTTTCCACATGATTTCCCAGCGCAGTCGAGGGTTGTTCAGCCGCGCTATAGGTACTCGACAATCGATTAAAAAACCACAATTTTCACCAATTTTTCTTGATGCAAAACAGCTATGAGCGGAGATGTTACGACCAGATGGAGCCACCAGAAGTACCAGAAACTGGTAGCTTTTTTGTTCGGCGCAGGAGCGGGAATATTCACGGAAAACACCAACGAATTGGTGGAGAAACTCCGCGAAGTGGATTTCGAGAAAATCAAAATTTCCCAAACTTTCACGGTGTTGTGGAGGATGTTTAATGTTATGCAAGATGGTTTGGTTTTCACTCCTACAGTGGAGCCCGAAGGGCCAGATTCTTTTCTAGTAGGGCCCCCTTATGAGCTTCTGTTGAACGGGCAATTTTCCAGAGTACCTTTGATGATCGGGATGGTTACCCATGAAATTGGATTCTTCATGAAATGTAAGCAAAAAGTTAGATATAAATGCATAAATACTCATCGAATTTATTTCAGTTATTTATTTATTCAAGCCATTGCTTGTTGTGTTGTTTACATTAAGCCCAAAGCTCATTCCAAATGTACTTTTAAGCCCTAAAAGGAGCATTATTGTAGCTGATGATAATACAGATATGGAAGTTGGATTGAAAATAATACGAGAATATTTTTCATCCTCAAATTCCCCGTTCGATAATAAAGCAGAAGAAGTAAGTGTTGTAAATGATGCTAACAATAATTTTTGATTGAGGATATTTCCAGTTTTTAACGGATGTTTTCTTCATGTATCCAATCACTAGGACAGTCAGGGCGATGTCCTCTTTCACTCCAGTTTATTATTATGTAAATGGTCATTCGGATAAATTTATTAAAGAAGAAATGGAGGCGCTTGATCTACCAGTAGATCCGAATTATAAAGGTATAAACTTGTAGAAATGGTGAAATTGTAATTGACTTGTAATTTTTTTTTCAGGAACTGTTCATTGCGAAGACTTGCCTTTGATTTGGTATAACGAAAAAGTGTTACCTCCATTGCAAGATAAGAAGATCCAAACGAAAATGTTGCAGTTGTGGAGGAATTTCATGACTACTGGGTAAATTTGTTGGAGTGTTAGAGTAGTTTTCGATAATTTATAATTTTAGGAACCCCACGCCGGGTTTGGAGCCAGCTATAGGAACATTGTGGCCCCCTGTGGATAACAAAACTCGAGTACCCTATTTGTTTGTAGATGAAGATGATGTGAAAATTGCTTATGATTACAAGAAGGATAAAACCGATTTTTGGGATAACATTTCCAATGACTACGAGAGTAATTAGGGAATATTGATTAGCAATGTAAAAAAATATGGATGTAATTGTTAACCATCAGGTGAAATAAAACTAAACAACGTAATTCATATTTACTAAACTTTAATTTAACAGTGCATATGCACAATTTTTTTTATAAAAAATCAAAGATTTCCGTAACCTTTCGTGCAATATTCACAAAAGCCAAATAAAAACTACGCCATTCAACATAAAAATCTATACTAAAATAACATTCGTACTCGAAAAAAAAAAAACTTTCATGACCATTAAATATTGCTGAATTTGCGGATTTTCCGATGCAAAATTTACCCGGTAACAACGAAAAATGAAATCATTCTGTGTATTCTGTCTATAAAAATATAAAATATCTAAATTCCTCTAGGTACACAACTGTGATAGGAATCTATCAATTTATATTACTGTAACTACAAAACGAAACGAGAGATGTAAAAAAATTCTTTACAAAAAGTATACTTATATTAAAAGCGGCCCCTCATAGAAATATATACTTTAGAGCCCCCCCTTTTGAATCGGAATTCAAAAATTCAAAATTTCCAATGAAAATTCTTGAATTATTGACCATTGAAATTCTCCGAATACACTCGAGTTAATTACTTTATCTTCATATACATAGATCATAAAACGATTAAGTAGTTACAAAAGGAATATTCGCATTACAAGTCTACAAAATCCAGTTTGTTTCGAACGAGAAATGCAATTTTTTCAGCGGCATATTTCGGAAATAAAGAAATTTTAAATGCACGAAGCTACAGCATACTTTTCTATACAAAAATGGAATACTGTTTGTCAGTTTGTAATCAATTCAGTCTCAGTATTGCATAAAATCCAACGAGTTGTGATTAATTAAAACTTTCGCTTGTAGTATTGATAAAAATTTTATCATAAAAAAATACACTGTAGTTTCGAATTGTTTGATGGAGGATGTTATAGACACTAACAATGTGTTAATAAAATTTTACCGTCAATGTACCATTGTTTTAATGTATTTCAATTAAATTTGAGCAATCCTAGGAATGCAATTAGAGTTGTACGAGCTATTTTTTTCTAAGGTTTGACGAATATAATTTTATTTTTTTACATTAGAGTGGTTTTTAAGGCATCAACAAGTATTCTGTTATTACCTACAACATCCTATGAGTAAAAAAAATCAAGTCGGCTACAATTATTTAGATATCACAAAATTAGTAAAAAATAAACAAATATAATATACACTGTGTTATTTATAAGATGTGACTTAGAGGGATTCCTGTACAAATGTGTCAAAAGAAAGCTAACTTTTTTACCAAATAATTTTATTATTATTTAAATAAAAGCTCCGACAATTAAGTGTCCATTTTAATAACGCAAAATCTCGTTATTAGGTAGAGCCTTTAAAATGATGCCATATTTTTATTCTTGACAAAAAAAAACATTAAAAAAACAAAAAATGCAAAAGAAAAAAAATTTCGCCACTGCGTGGGATTGAACCAGATACCTTACCGCTGATTTTTTCAAACTTCAGAGCGTAAACCAATCCAGATATCTCCCCCCTGTCAACAATTATTACATAGTGACATATGACATTTGACTTTTTTCAACATAATTATACATTTTCTAATTAAACCAGAACGAATTTAAGAAAATTTAACGTCTATTTCGACTTATTTTTCGACATTTGTACACGAATCCCAATGTCACATCTTATAAATAACACAGTGAACACCCAAACGCAAGAGCTCCATTTCGTGTGATATCTACCGATAAACGCCTACTGTTTCATATATAAAAAAAAGTGTTTTTCGTTAAGTTTTTATTGCGAACGCCACCTGAAGAATCATTCCCTACTGATAGCCTGCGGCGCCTCTGCCAGACCTTTGACTTTCAATCGATCGGCGGTTTTCAAAAAGGCAGGTAACTGTTCTTGGCTCACGTTCACTTCGCCCGCGTACATGAATTCTAAAATGGCCTGCAAGTGGCTGTACTGTACGTCTTTTAGGATGATTATCGGGTGCTTCGAGGGGTTCTCCTAAAAAATTGCATTAACCGATTAAATCTAGTAGGTCTTTCGGGGGTGTTGTTTACCTCTAATAAGCTCTTGAAATATGGACTACAAGCGGAGAGCACCATTTTGTGGGCCTTGCACGTTTGCCCCTCGCAGGCCAGGGTTACGTCCGTGAAGCTTTTCTCGTCCCGTAGATGCCTGAAGGAGGAGACCATGTTGCTTTGGAAATCGTTCCATTTCAAAAAGAACTGCTGTTGGTCGGCCATTTTTTTTTTAAATCTGCAAAATCAAGAGTGTCTTGAAACAGGCCTGCTTCGATGTTTTGTGTGAAATATGGAAAACGTGATGTAATTCGAAATTCTCGTAAATTCTTGATGAATACAAAGTAAGCGAAGGGTTGTATTTGTTTAAAATGCAATAAGTAAAGCGATTTACAGCAAAAAAGGCCTATAATATGTTAAGGTGTTGGAATCTTACATATTGTTTTGGTAGTTCTTTTAATAGATCGCAAGGCGACCTTCGTAGAAAATAAACGGATACTTACAAGTGCGTAATGTTAATAAAACTAATAAGTAAATAAAATTTTTGTATTTTTGTTAAAATACTAGCATGTCAAACAACAAATTACGCAAGTTCCACCACTTCCTTATTCCTAAACAAAAAAAAATTGACACATTAGACGACAAAAGACAACAAATAAGACAGCTTGACGGATGTCATTTGTGTCAAAGTTATAGGAAAGAAGAATTTTTCGACCGGATGCGACATAACGCAAAAGGCCATGTAACAGCGAAAGAGATGAAGAGGAAAGAAGAATTTTACAGCTGTCATTTATGTCAATTTGTTGTGTTTGAAGTTATTTTTCTTGTTTTTTAGCAATAATTTAATTTTTCCATCGTTCTTTGGCATTTTGAATTAATTACCAAAATAGTTTTGAATAAAACGTCTAAAATTTGTGAGAAAAACGAATGTCTGATTATAGAAAATCATGTTTTAATAGTATACTAGTAATGATATTCAATAGATGGCGTCACTTACCACTTATGATAAATTATTAAATTTGTCTATATTTTTGATCTACACAGGGGTAAGTGCAAATATTCTTATTAAAAATGCCTTTATTACAAAGATTATTAAAATACAAATGATTAGAGTAAGCAAAGTTGCAATCCCAAAATGTCACTCCTTTTTATTCCTTTATTTTGGGATATGTTATCCAATTAGTATGAATTTTTGAATAATTTGGTTGGTTTTGGAATTTACATACACACGACAAATACTTTTCTGTTGCTTTATTAGACAGTAATATACATTTAAGGATTTTATAAGTACAAATATAAGTAGGTATACACAGTCAGATTTTTAGGAAACCATTGAAATCTACTAAACTTAAAGTTGATTGTCATATTTTAAATAAAAAAGAATCTCTCTATTTACTACTTAATTTAAATTCAATCACTAATAACTCTAATTGAATACAGTCTTTAGGAAAAGTCGAAGATCTACTAACTAAAAAAAGTATGTACAGGGCGATAGAAATAGCTGGAGACATCAGATATAAACCTACTATGATATAATTTGATGTCTCTGAAACATTATGAGGAACACTAACACAAAACAGAGTTTATTTCTACTAACTAGTTTTGCAATCGGGTGTTTCACAGAAAAACGATTTTTTGAAGTTTTCAATATAATTGTAATGGCCTTTAACAAATTAAGCGACTGGTCAATGTCTATTTATCAACAAAAAAAATATGTTTGAGGTGAAACACCCGATTAAATTGACACGCTTATTCACGTACAACGAATTATTTGATAAATATTTAGGCCTCAACTACTATCGAATTATCAATTTTTATGATAATCCCAAAATATGAAAATTCAATCAATTGTTCGTTTGAAAAAGATATGTCTTTTTTTTATACAATTTTTCTACAGACGATTCATCGAAAAGAGACCGAAAGAATTTATTGCGAAATAGAAATGTAGCTAGTTAAAGAAACTTACTATTTAGATAATAATGTAGAACAACTTCCTAACTTACTATGATAATATTTCTTAGGGGTACATAATATAAAGTTCAAGATCAAAATGTACAGTTGATAGAATATAATCCTGATCGATAGAAAAATACGTTTTTAAAACATCTTATCTAGGACACTTTTAAAGCTACTTATTTGTTCAAGCTTGAAAAATACGATTTTAATAGGATATACCCAAAACACCAGATTAATTCGACTACTTCCATCATTTACAGTAAATTTCTTTTATATCACCCTGTTAATAGCGAACTTGTTCTATTTCTAGGCCTTTTAGACACCAAACAAGTCCAAAAAGAAGTATTTCGATCTACATTGAGCCGCATTGGATCTACAAAAAGAGGTGTTTCTCCAAGAAAAAATCCGGGGTAAGTACTCTGTAATTTCGGATGCATTTCCAACAAATCTCAATCTACATTGAGCCTCATTGGACCTACAAAAAGAGGTGTTCCTCCAAGCATAAATTTAGAGAATTTAGTTTAGAGAACATGCAAATTTTCGCACGACTTCGATTTGCTGATATCGTTCAAGCAAATCTTCTGCAAAATCTCCCTAGCTATGTTCAAACTCAGGCTGGTCTTCGAGCTGTGCAGTTTATTCCTATTATCCTTCTTCAACGAAGATTTCTTCTTCTCCCGCGACTCCCTCAGGCGGATTTGCTTCAAAATCCCCACCAACAACTCGTCGACGTTGTGCTGAATCCCGCTGGAGGTTTCGATGAATTTGCAATCTCTCGCCACCGCCAGCGCTTTACCCTCTATATAATTATATAAAAAAAACTATTTAGAATGAAATGTAGTTAATAACCAGGTGGTTTTTGTGTACCGTTTGGTGATATTACTCGAGCTCTAGCTAGATCGGATTTGTTTCCGACGACTATCACGCTCTTGTCCTGCGTGTAGCCCTCTCTCCAGAGGTAATTCAGCGTTTCTTCGGCCAAATTGAAGCTCGATTTCGACACCACCGAGTAGACTATTATGCAGGCGTGGGGTTCGTAGGTGCTCAACGAGTTCTCCACCTGCGCAAAAAACATCGAAGGCATCAAAAGGCATCGAAACGGAGGAGTTTTTGAGCAGCGAAATCGAATTAATCGAGTCCAAAGGGAACGAATTTAATCGATTCGTTGAGGTGTTGTTTTAGACAGTTACACGCCTAATTGGAGTTGATGTTTAAGCGAAGGGAAATCGATAATAAGCAGGTGTTATGGAGGGAATGTTTAGATGAAAGTTTTTATTAATATCTGTTCGTTTTATTTGCAACTTACGGACATTTCCGAGGCGGGATGATCGATGAAAATCATCTCGGATTCCTCCCCGTCCAATAAAATCGACACCGTTCGTTCGCCGAACTCATCATCTGCGAAACAACCAGCAAAAATTCAATCTACAAATCGATTTTATCGAATTATTTATATACCCAAACTGGCATCGTAGGTGTTCATGTACTCCGACGTCATGAACTGTGAGACCAGTGCAGTTTTTCCTACGCCCGCATCCCCCAGCATGACCACCCTGTATTTGGGCACCTCGAGCTCTTCGGGGGAGCCCAATGGGGTGGAATCCACCGTGTGATAGCCGGATCCGCAACAGGACCCTTCGAAGGGGGATTTTTCGCCCGAAACGTTGCTGGCTCTGGAAATGGGATGAAGAGAAATGGATTAAATCGAGCTGGAGAGAAATGGGATGAAGAGAAATGGATTAAATCGAGCTGGAGAGAAATGGGATGAAGAGAAATGGATTAAATCGAGCTAGAGAGAAATGGGATGATGATAAATGGATTAAATTGAGCTAGAGAGAAATGGATAAATCGAGAAATCGATAAATCGAGCTGGAGAGAAATGGATAAATCGAGCTAGAGAGGAATGGTTAAATCGAGCTGGAGAGAAATGGATAAATCGGGGGTACAAAGGGGATAAATGATGAATTAAAGAGGTGAAATTGGGATGTTTTCATTAGCGAGTTTATCATTAAAATCGCTCTTCGTAAAGCAAACAAAAAAATGTACCAAATTTTGCTGGTAATTTCAAGAGCAGGAAAATGCCAGAAATTCCGCTTACACTTTACAACCATTGATTAAAAATATTTTCATATAGGGACGTTCGTTGTTTTTACCTTCGTTTCGTTTGTATTATATACCAAAAAAAAAACGCTACAAAATAAACAAAAACCCAAAATGGATCCCACTGGAGTAACTTGTGTATTTATAGTTATTTCTGTAAGTTGTGTGTGTAAAGGGCGACTTTAAGTGGGATTTAATGCGAAGCTAAGTCTGTGTTAGCATTTGGTGATTGTTCTGAAAGGATTAGTTTCTGTGCTTGGGCTTGTTGACTCCGGAGTCGAGCAAAAAGGGATTTATATTATGCAAAGTCGGGCGATTTTGGTGTATTGATGGAGCAGCGAAGGATGAAACAAGACCCCGAGTTTCTGTTTAATGTTTCAGACCGATTGGTATTTAGAGGGTTGAAATAAACTGTACAATAGAGTGTGCTCTATTCTGAATGAATTGTTCCGAATAGACTGAAATTAATTTATTTATATTCGTCAGTAATAATTGCGATAAAAGAGAAGAAATCGACAAGCATTGGAAATGGTTTAGAGTGTTTAGAGGCGAGTTTTCGAGTTGAACTTGACAATGGAAAGAAAGAAACTATTTGAATTAATAATAAACCCGAATCGTCTGGAGAACTAAATTATTCAAAGTGCGTTTATTCCCTTCGAAAGGCTATAAACCAAAAAAAAAAACGTTTATACGAATTCCTTCGTTAATTAATAAACAACTTCTTATTTATAGCAGAAGTATTTTATAAATAAAAAACTATAAAAAATGGATCTCCGATTATCTTCGAGGATACTTTTCTAGCCTTTTTTTTATTAACCTATCGAGCACGTTTGCTCGTTAAACTCCGACCTCGACTTGGAAAAACCAACAATAAACGATATCCAGGATACCTCCGACGTCGATATATTAGGAACATTCCTGGCAAAAGCGACTGGCGCCTCTGGAAAGGTTGTTACCCCCATTTTCTGAGGGTGGAATAAATGGAATCGGTCCAGGGGCGGCTCAAGCCGGCCCGGAGCGATTACAATTAGACAAAATTTCTGCCGAAAGTTTGCTATTTAAAGTGCAATTTATCGTAGAAAAGAGAGGAAAATTGCAAATTGTTTTTGGTAGAAACTTGAAGAGAAAAAAGGTGAAAGTATTCTATTGTGTATCTTTTATCCTTCAATTGCACCTTTTTCTATGAGTAAGAAAAAGATGAGCCCTCAAAAGTCTGTTAGAGTGAAGTAAGAAGGAAATTGCAAATTGTTTTCGATAGAAACTTGAAGAGTAAAAAGGTGAAAGTATCCAATTGTGTACCTTTTATCCTTCAATTGCACCTTTTTCTATGAGTAAGAAAAAGATGAGCGCTCAAAAGTCTGTTAGAGTGAAGTAATTGCCTGATACTTGGATTGGATTTTTCTGAGAAAATTCGTTGAGGCAATATTGAAGTTTATATCTAGCAAATTTTTGGGCAAACTCTAAGAAATCTTATCGAAACAAATAAGTTTTGTAAATACAGCTGGAATAATGCAACCTAAAAAGGTACAATATGTAATTACAGGAAACACAAAAATAAATTATTCAAACACCGACATTTCGGATTAGAATTTCAAATTAGATATACACAATGGATCCGAGCAAATCCTGATGAAGTTCCACATGCAAAACTAATTCAGAATTATTTTCCGAACTAAGTACAGACTATTGTTACGAAGCAAAATGAGTTTTCCTGCAGTCCTTAATTGCGAAAATAGTGGAAAATAGGATTGATTAGGAACACTGAAAAGCCCCAAAAGATCTTCTTTAGCTTTACCTCTTGCGCTATAACAATGAATATTAATTTGAAACCGGTATAATTGGGTCAGAAGTTTCGAATTGATCGCTTATCAATTAATTAAATAAAGCGATAGTTAGAGCAATAAATGATTAAATATATTATTGATGAACACACAAAAAAAACCCAACGAAATGTAGCAATCTATCGAATGAGAAATTGCGATATTCTCCCAACTTTTACATAAAAATTTTTCTTCGGTGCAAATATTAAACCCAATTAAATAAATGGATATTAATATTTACTTACTTTAATGTATAAACTGTAAGAAATCCAATGAAATGTAGCAATCAAGGAATCTTCTTTTGAACGAGAAACTGTGCCAAATTCTCCCAACTTTTATACAAAAACATCAACATTTTCCTCGGTGCAAATGGAAATGAAATCGAATCGTTCATGAATTCTACATGCATATAAAGTAGGGCCCGGGCATTTCCCTTGTTTTACGCCAATCACTCTGATATATCATGTGAAAATAAATTCAACAATTATTTCGACTCTATTTATAGAAAAAAGTGAATTTATCCATCGAGATAGGCTCCTCGGGCGTTCGTTTAAACGCTGTATTAATTTAAAGTGAATTATTTAAAGCGATTCCAGCAGGATAACAATCGCCCCAGGACACGAAACTGATACCAGAAATATATATATAACAGTTAATCATAATCCAAATAGAATCTAAAATGGATTATGGATGGTATTCGAGTGGAATCTGGAAGTGTTTTAGATGGGAATTTTTCCAGACCTTCCCTGATATTACACTTTCTGTGGAGTAGATGCAAAGGTGCTAGAAACTGCTCTGGTGATTGTAATCACCAGAATAAATTCGAAACCTTTTACTTTATCTTGGGGAAAAAATTAATGGAACTAACAAATTTGAAGCTTCGAAGTATTTAATTAAATTGCGGGCTGTAATGGCTGGAGTAATAACAATTTTCATGTAATTTTCCAGACAATTGCTTTTGCTATTTCAACTACATTTAATCTACTTCAACTTCCCTTTCGGGACTTCTAAGATGCTCCGTTTTGAAGATTATCTTGCTCATTCTTAGTGCAGTCGACAAATAATTTTATACTATGTAGAACATATCAAATTATCGCACAATATAAGGCGAATTCTGGATATAGAGCGACCTTTTAATGAAATTTATGTGTACCAGTAAAGTCATTACTAGCTCTATTGTATTGCGAAATGACAAGCTTGTAGGGGAAAAAGGTGTTAACTTATTCCTTTGTATTTATTGTAATTATTTTCTTAAAACGAATTCCTGCTCTAATAACTATATCGAGCAATTACGGTAATGGAATTACATCGAAATGGAGACGATTCAGAGGATAAACGAAGATTAATGGATGTAATAAAAGGATGAGAATTGAACATCCATAGTGAAACACACAAAAAATCGACCCGAGGATAAACTTTTTATAACATCTATTTTCCTTAATTTAGCAAGAGGATAACAACCTGCAATTTTTATTCATTTCAACTTTTGCTTTATAATAGATTTTTCTCAAGTTAGAACATCAAGATAAGTGGAGTTGTTCTTTGAGATTAATCGGTTAAAAAACTAGAAAATGTCTTTGTTAAATAGAATTTTTAATTCTCCGGTCACCCCTAATGGAGTTAGAATGTTTCGAAATAACGAGGGCTTATTAGATTATTCTCCAAACAATGGCTGTCATCAGTGGTTTTCCATCCATCATTTAGTATAAAAAGAATATTACCATATTTATTCTCTATTTTTTCGTACATACATATTAAATTCGCGTGATAAATCGTTGCTCACTTTATACTTTGATTATATCTTCATATCGATTAGAATTAGAATTGGATTATTCAGAAAAAAAACTAAGATTATTAATAAAAAGTTGCGCCCAAACTTTTCTCGTTAATTTCGAATTTGGAGTTCCATAAATAAATCATGAGATGCTGAAAAAAGTAGATGGGAATAGAGAAAATTAAAAAAAAAATTGGACAACATTTGAAACAAAGTCTAAACATAATTCCAATTCATTCTTATTCCAAAATAAGTATTTTTTTCCTACTTTTTTTATAATAGTAAACTGTAATCAATTCGAGTGTTCTTATTCTTCGAAACTTCCACCTAAATTATTCATTTAAATAAATTTATTTGAGCATTATACCATAACGATTAATGATCTTTAGTTGTTTATGAAGCTTTTAATATAGAATAAAAATAAGTTCTAAACCTAAATAAGTATACAAGATCGTCCCTTAAATAACCAAATATATAATTTCGCTTTTGGACTAAATAATTCCATCATGTTCTCGATTATAGCGATATATTCTCATTCCTTTCCAGCTCATTCTTACCTCATCCAGGCCCGGAATAACAACATTTCAACCCAAATCCACAAACTTGGAGTTCATCAAATTGCTTTAATTATCATACTCATGCAAAATCGTCCACGCTATTATTAAAATTAGGTACACAACACTCGAATCGAGTTTAACGTTCCATCCAATCTGCAATTCTCTGGATATTTCCATGTGAAACGGTCCTGTTGAAATCGAATGGACCGGAGAAATTATCGAAAGTTTCCAGACATGCGCAATTGGAAATCCTAGAGCTCCCAGTTACTGCAACAGGTAGCTATTTATAACAAGGATACAGGTGGCAGGGAAAGCTCGAAAGAAACTCGAATTCCAACCAGGAAAATTCGATAATTTCAACATCTTGTTCAAGCCTAAATTCGCAGGATGATTGTAACGATATTAACGATTAGGTTTTACCATAATTAAAGCTGTAATACAGCTAACAAGTTGAGAGATTTCCACGGAATTTTTGATATGCAGTTTCCTAACTTAATTTTGGAGATTTCCAGGAAATTTATTTCCTAGTTGCCTAACTTAATTTTGCTAGCAAACGAAAGTTAAGCAGATAACGATAACGATGTTTACTCTACTCTCGCGATTTATTTGCAAAATTTTTCGCGAAAAGTGTTGATGGACTTTTCCTCTTCACTTTCTTCCATTAATTGGAATCATCAGACGACTCTCCATCGAACGGATTGTGTTGAAAGTGTGTCAAGGATGCGAAACTGCAGGATTTTGCTGCATAGGTTAAAATCCAGGTCGAAACTACGAACGATTTGATTTTTATTAGCGAATGCAAAACAGGTCTCCGATGTAATTTCGAGAGCTTGAAAGCTTGTGCTTTATTGGATAGAGCCAACCTGGTTGCATTGGAATGTATTGGTTAAAAAAAACCTTTTATGAAACTGGTGAAATAAACCAATTTGTAAGAGATGTAGATAGAGATGTATAAAATTAGAAGCTTATTTTCCGGCTAGATCCACTTGGATAAATTCTTATAAACTCGTTTCGTTTTTAAGTTTTCCGAGATAACAAAGCGAAGGTTGTAAAATCTCCAGATTAGAATTTTCCTGGTGACGCAAGTAACTAAACCTGAAATCCTATTGTGGTATTTAATAATTCACACAAGTTCTCGATTGATTTTCTTATGTAAACAATGTCTAACACTTGTCGATACATCTAGTAATACAAATAGGTACAGTCTAAACAATAATACCGATACAATGTTTATTCAGTTCTCATTCACACTCTGGTGAAGCTGTTGATAATGCCAATCCATAAGGAAATTACCAGCAGGATTGAATGAAATTGCCGAAGATAAGAAAGATAATCGATGATATTATCATCGATTTCAACAACATCGTCTGTATTTTATCCAACCAACGGGAGTAACTAAAACAAGATTATCAACGCTGGATCACCAATGATTGGCCAGTTGAAAGAGGCTTCTCCATTTTATCCAATACATCCAAACTTTAAACTTGTTTTGGTTACTCCGATGGATGATATTATTCGATAATACTCCGATTCGATGATATTATCTTCAATTTCAACAACATCGTTTGTATTTTATCCAACCAACGGGAGTAACTAAAACAAGATTATCAACGCTGGATCACCAATGATTGGCCGGTTGAAAGAGGCTTCTTCATTTCACCCAATAGATCCAACCTCTAACATTGTTTTGGTTACTCCGATGGATGATATTATTCGATAATACTCCGATTCGATGATATTATCTTCAATTTCAACAACATCGTCTGTATTTTATCCAACCAATGGAGTAACTAAAACAAGATTAAACGCTGGATCACCAACGATTGGCCAGTTGAAAGAGGCTTCTTCATTTCACCCAATAAATCCAACCTCTAACCTTCTTGTGGTTACTCCGATGGATGAAGTTTAGCAGTAAATAACCTCTATGAAACAACCATTAGGAGGTAGATCGACTCACCTGCTGGCCGTCGAATTGACGCTGGTGTTTGACCTGGACCTCCTGTTGATGATGGAATCGCCGCAATTCACCACGCCGCCTTTGTTGGTGATGCTGAAGGTGCGCAGCCTGTACAGGTCGTCGCTGACGCGTGGGTTGTAGGGTTTCTCCGGCAGCGAGCACACCCTCGGCCTGATGTGGTCTGGTACTAGGGCGAATAAGCAGTTAGCGAGTCGGTTATTGGCGGTGGAAATTGTTTGGTGAACTTCACAGTGGATGTGAAGGGTTCTAATGAGTCAGAAATTGTTTGGTGACCTTCACAGTGGATGTGCAGGGTTCTAATGAGTCAGTAATTGGCGGTAGAAATTGTTTGGTGACCTTCACAATGGATGTGAAGGGTTCTAATGTGTCAGAAATTGTTTGGTGAACTTCACAATTGATGTAAAGGGTTCTAATGAGTCAGAAATTGTTTGGTGACCTTCACAATGGATGTGAACTGTTCTAATGTGTCAGAAATTGTTTGGTGAACTTCACAATTGATGTAAAGGGTTCTAATGAGTCAGAAATTGTTTGGTGAACTTCACAATGGATGTGAAGGGTTCTAATGAGTCAGTAATTGGCGGTAGAAATTGTTTGGTGACCTTCACAATGGATGTGAAGGGTTCTAATGTGTCAGAAATTGTTTGGTGAACTTCACAATTGATGTAAAGGGTTCTAATGAGTCAGAAATTGTTTGGTGAACTTCACAATGGATGTGAAGGGATCTAATGAGTCAGAAATTGTTTGGTGAACTTCACAATGGATGTAAAGGGTTCTAATGAGTCAGAAATTGTTTGGTGAACTTCACAGTGGTATGTAAAGGGTTCTAATGAGTCAGAAATTGTTTGGTGAACTTCACAGTGGTATGTAAAGGGTTCTAATGAGTCAGAAATTGTTTGGTGATCTTCACAAAGGGCTCAAAAGGTTTCATTAGAGCCATTAAGCGTTTTATGTTGATGAAATCATCACCAAAACTTGTTGTATGATTAACCACACTAAAAATTATGGAAATGTAATGATGCCCGGCAGAGTTAGCTCTATTGTAAAGGAATTGCGGGTGGATTTTTCACAATAGGCAACAAAATCGATGAAAAAATTTTTCGCACTTTCAGCTTTTCGATTCCATTAACCCAAATGCTTTCTTTCCTCGCGCGCTATATGTATTATACATTTTCGTTTCGATGTTAATTCTATTAATAACATCACCATAATGAGTTTGAATTCGTTTTCATTCCAGGTGCGCTGTAATATCGCGATTCCTGCTAATTTCGTTATTCCAATTTATAAGTTTTTTCTCTTTCAAAAAGTTTCGCAGAAGTTAAATCAGTCGGTGATATATTATGGAACTTTCGCGCAACAATTTCCCGACCGAGGAGAAAAAAATCCTCGGAGAGAAACTGTAACTTAATAATTCGAAGGTGAGAGGGATCATTATAATTTTCTTTCCAGTTTAACATACTTATTTTCACTCTAACCCGACGAAAGAAACGCGGATAAAATTCCTAAAAATAAGTATTTTTGCGGCGGAAAATCTTTTATGGTTCGTTAACGCAAATTGTCGGTTGTAAAACCGGTATAAATCATAAAATTCCGTACAATTCGCAATTTAAATATCGAATTTCTAAAATATCCAAGTCCATTTTTCATACACTTTCCCCGGTCTTTACGATGGAATTTTCTTCTACCTACCTACGCTTATCCTTTAATCGATACAATACATGTATTTGTATGATGTAAACATATAAAAAGATAAATACAAAAATAATCTATAGATTTAAATTAATACCAGCAACAGTATAAGGTAATAATGCATCTAATCACCAACTCAAATTATTTTTAACAAAAACCCTTATCGATTATTGTCCCGAAATTTATCCAACTCCATCCAAACTGGGTCACCAAACAGCTTGCAGTAAATTCAAATTTCTTAACCCGGTGAGTTATTTTAACCGAATTCGGCGAATCGCGAAGCCCTTCCATTACGCCCTTAGGCCCGAAATTATCCAGGCGGCCCTGCAAAGGGCTAATTAGATTCGTTATCAATCGAAATCCGAGTTAATATCGCTTTGGTTCGCCTTTAATATTTCTAGTAAAATTGATGGGAGACGCGAGTTGATTGAGAATAATTGTTTTCGGAGCTGTCATAGAGGGCGTTTCGAATTTCTGTCTGGAATTATTAGGTCTGGATAAATCGAATCGGGAGCATATTTGATTGTTGGGAGTTGCCAGATGTTGATAAAATTCCGATGTTCTAGGATTAATTAGAATATTTTCTTTGTTTATCTATGTACTAGAAATTACTAAATAAATAAATAATTCGCGAGGATTCGATTATTAGAAACGAAGATTGTGGTGAAAGTAGAGCGAAAATAATTTTTTGTTATACAGTGGGGTGCAAAAGTCGCTTCACTTTTCGATTTTTCTTTTCTGTTGGTGTTTAATTAGCTGAAGTTTTGTTTGAGAACAAATTTAATTTACAGCAATCTTCTTAATTATATTATTAACTAAACTTAATCTTCTTATAGGTTTATTTGAGCCCCCACAGTGTATCAAAAATTATTCGAATAGAGAATTAGGGATTTTTTTTTTAGAGAGAAAGGTCGATTTGGACATCGGGAAAATTGTGGGGAAGGGAATGATGAAATATTATTTTTGGTTGGAAATTTAATAAGCTCGATGACAACACATTTTCTTTTGTGTCGCAACGAGCTTTTATTAAACCAATTTCCAGCGGAAAATGAATTGTCTATTGTGAGAAATAACTGTTTTCGCGTTAGGAAAATTACAGCTAAATTCGATATATTTCTAGTCATTTTAACGTTTAAAAAAACACTATACTGACTAAATTTTCCTTCTATTTAGGTCTAAAAAATGATATTTTACCGCCACAAAACCCGTTTTTGCAGATTCATCGTTCTTAATTATAATTATTTAATGCCTTCTTAATTCAAACCAATGATCTCGGCATTATCTTAGCTTATTTCAAAGGATTTGCAGGTATAGACTAATTAAGATATTTCCTTAATTATCGGCTTATGTTTCCCTCTCGCTTTCTTCCACTTTACCGCCGTATTTCCCTCTTTTATTTCCTGCACAATAAACCGAAAAGGCGACCTCGTTTCGCTTTTAATACGCCTTTTCAAACAGAGCAACACTAATTACTTTTCCAAACGAAATATTAAAAATTTACGAAAAATATCAGCCTGATAAATAATGCCTACTTCTTCCCGAAACTAAAATTGAAAATTCTTTATTAAGAAAATTTCCACGGGGGCGCTCTAAAAGCTTTCGAACGTTAAAATGAGCTCAGAATTAATGAGTTAGAGACTCGACAAAAGGACACTCGAATTTCGTAAATAAAAGGTGAATCAGCGTTTTCTACGAAATTAAAATTACGCCGAACTAGAAATGAATGGAAATGTTAAATTCACTGCGGAGAACCAGACATATTGTTTCGTGAAATACGAGGAATTTTCCTTAGTTTATTGTTGCTCTTTTCGCAATAAAATTTTATCAAATTCCGCTTTTCCTCGAGATAATTTACTCGTTTTCTCGTGTCATTTAATTAGATAATCGAGTGAACTAAGATAATGATTTATTCCTAAAAGCTTCCGATTTATCTACCCAACTTTATCCTGCATTTGGACCACATTCGAAAGCTCCTTTCGGAAATCATAAACTCGAGGAAAAATGTCAGATATCAATCTAAAAGCTTTCTGCTAAATTACATCAATTCATCCTACCTACAAATTGCTTTTCATTTAACTTATGGTTTGTTAAAAAAAATACCCGAGATGGATTATATTGGAACAACTTCAGTTTATTATTAATTACTCTGGTAGGTGTATAACGAAATTACTGGAAAGATAACAGCCAAATCATCAAGGATTATCGAAAGAAATCCAATATTCGCGGTAGTGAATTTAATATCCGATTTCGTTTTCGTTAAATTCGATATTCATTCGGCGGTTTTCCTTTTTTTCCAGCCTTAATTGGGGTTTTTTTCCGCGGTAAATTCGGTTCCCCGAACATTTAATTAAAAAAGGCTTACCTCGAAGTTACCTCGAAGTATTATCCGAAAGTTCTGGTTTAATTTAACAATAACAGGCGAATGTAAAGCTGTAATATTTACAATACTCCTGCTCTACAGGAATTAATATCAACCAGAACATGTTGTTAACATTGGAAGGATGAATTCAAATTATTAGTGAATCGAGTCGACGAAACTTTTGCAGAAAATCGATTGTGTATTTCCTCGTAGTAATCCGAATAAAATATTCAAAGATTCACAAAATGGCATCGAAAACCTCGATGTTTACCTCGTATTCAGCTTAATCTCGTTTCTACAGCCAGGAAAATATTCTTCTCCCTTCGATTTACATTGCTTATGAAGACCATTACCATTTTAATGGGATTTTCCGGCTCGAAAAGGCATCAAAAGATCAAACATTAGGCAATTCGTCTTCATCGCAAACTTGTATAAAAGCACAAAAAAAACTTGCAAACAGTACAATGTAACAATTTTTGCACTAATTAATCCACCCATCTAAGTTACACAAGCGAATATTCACCTTCATTACCTACAAGATATAAATAACTTGCAATTGAAACTACACCGAAGTTAGGCAACTTTAGTTAGTTGTAAGATGCACGAATTGAGCTTCCCCGATAACGTAATTAGTTCAATTAGTCCCCTGTAGAGGCGCAATACACGAGGAAAAGGGCAAATAATGTTTAACAGCGTTTGAAGCTCCGATCTATCTCAATAGAGCTCATACAGAAACCTCGAAACAGGTTTCCCATTAGCGCCCCAACAATTCGCTCTAATTATTCCAATAAATCCCAATTATACTGCAAGCTTTACTTACTGGGTAGCTCCAGAAAATTCCAATAAATCCCAATAAATCCCAATTATACTGCCAGCTTTACTTACTGGGTAGCTCCAGAAAATTCCAATAAATCCCAATAAATCCCAATTATACTGCCAGCTTTACTTACTGGGTAGCTCCAGAAAATTCCAATAAATCCCAATAAATCCCAATTATACTGCCAGCTTTACTTACTGGGTAGCTCCAGAAAATTCCAATAAATCCCAATTATACTGCAAGCTTTACTTACTGGGTAGCTCCAGAAAATTCCAATAAATCCCAATAAATCCCAATTATACTGCCAGCTTTACTTACTGGGTAGCTCCAGAAAATTCCAATAAATCCCAATAAATCCCAATTATACTGCCAGCTTTACTTACTGGGTAGCTCCAGAAAATTCCAACAAATCCCAATAAATCCCAATTATACTGCCAGCTTTACTTACTGGGTAGCTCCAGAAAATTCCAATAAATCCCAATTATACTGCAAGCTTTACTTACTGGGTAGCTCCAGAAAATTCCAACAAATCCCAATAAATCCCAATTATACTGCCAGCTTTACTTACTGGGTAGCTCCAGAAAATTCCAATAAATCCCAATTATACTGCAAGCTTTACTTACTGGGTAGCTCCAGAAAATTCCAACAAATCCCAATAAATCCCAATTATACTGCCAGCTTTACTTACTGGGTAGCTCCAGAAAATTCCAATAAATCCCAATTATACTGCAAGCTTTACTTACTGGGTAGCTCCAGAAAATTCTAATAAATCCCAATAAATCCCAATTATACTGCCAGCTTTACTTACTGGGTAGCTCCAGAAAATTCCAACAAATCCCAATAAATCCCAATTATACTGCCAGCTTTACTTACTGGGTAGCTCCAGAAAATTCCAACAAATCCCAATAAATCCCAATTATACTGCAAGCTTTACTTACTGGGTAGCTCCAGAAAATTCCAATAAATCCCAATAAATCCCAATTATACTGCCAGCTTTACTTACTGGGTAGCTCCAGAAAATTCCAATAAATCCCAATTATACTGCAAGCTTTACTTACTGGGTAGCTCCAGAAAATTCCAATAAATCCCAATAAATCCCAATTATACTGCCAGCTTTACTTACTGGGTAGCTCCAGAAAATTCCAATAAATCCCAATAAATCCCAATTATACTGCCAGCTTTACTTACTGGGTAGCTCCAGAAAATTCCAATAAATCCCAATAAATCCCAATTATACTGCCAGCTTTACTTACTGGGTAGCTCCAGAAAATTCCAATAAATCCCAATAAATCCCAATTATACTGCAAGCTTTACTTACTGGGTAGCTCCAGAAAATTCCAATAAATCCCAATTATACTGCAAGCTTTACTTACTGGGTAGCTCCAGGAAATTGGAGGTCCTTCGCTGCCTCCCTCGCGCAGTATTCTGGAAGTTCAAAGGCCCAATATCCTCGTTGGAGACGTTGGACATGTTAGAGGCGATGGAATCCCGAGAGCTCCTCCTCGACGCCAAATAAGCCAGGCCGCTCTTCACCGATCCTTTTCTCCTGGGGGAGCTGGGCCTGCTCAACGAAGTGGTCATGGTGTTGGCTGCTTCGTCGGTTACATCGGTGAGATCCGAGGTGGATTTCCTGCACTGGCACCTGCACGAGGATGGTGATTTTGGAGTGATTTTACTCTTGCTGTATTGTTAGTTGGTTACCTCTTGGTGGACTTGGAGGAGGCTTGGTACTCGTTGATGGACTTGCTGGAGGAGTATCTATCATCGAAGCCGGGATTGGTTCGGATGTTGCACCTGGGCGTCCTCTTCTCCTTCATGGAGGAGCGCCTGGAGCTGGTGCTGGTGGAGGACTGCCTGTAGCTGGAGGTGGTCTGGGTGTCGGAGTCCAGGGAGTGGCATATCTGGAAGCGATTTGGGTTGGTTTAAAAGTATTTCGCTTTTTGGTGGATTTGGTTTACTTTGTATTCGATGTCTTGGTAGGCTCCGGTGGGGTGTTTGGTCGTGGAGGAATATTCCAGGCTGGATTTGGTGCTGTTCAACGAGTCGCTTTTGGAGGATTGGTACATTTGGCGGTTGGATTTTTTTGGAGGTGATGCAAGGTTGAAGTTGTATGTGTTGCAATCGCTTGAACCTGGAATATAAATATTTTAATGACTGTATGGTTGTTCATCATTTGGGAATTTATTTGTCGAGAATATCTCTAATTAAACTGGTCCTTTTCAAACTTTCTGCATTGTAACGAACAAGTTAATGCTTGATATAAAAAAAGCGAAATCTCTTAAAAAGCTCCGGCAGCTGATTTGTCAGATAAAGCTTTTCAAAGCGATGTAGCTCAAAGGATTAAAGCGCTCGGAAAATGAATCGATACCTGATAAGAACAAGGTCGAAGTCGGGAATTTCGCAATTTGAATAATCACAATTATGTCCTGGTGAATAAATATGACGAATAAAATAGTCCTCTGCATAAAGTACAGGCTTTATTTGCTTAAAAATGTACTCGTTTGATCTCCGATTTTTTGATCATCTAAACAACATATTGATTGAATTTATTACATCACATTTCCCGGAAAATGTCAGTACCTGTATCTAATATAAAAAATTAAATTCGATGAATCGAGAACAGCAAACATACATGTTTTTAACGCACAAAAACCGCAGATATATTCGATTTATTTCGTGCAAATTCCAATATCTGCGCTAGCAAACAGAATTTGTTGGTTTAATTAACAATCCGATATACGGGATGCAATCAGTTGTAGAGAGTTTTGTTGATTCAAAATCAAAAAAATCACGCAGGATTATTAATTAGGAGTATTAATAAAATGTTACTTTAATTACTGCATCAAAAATTCGTTATTTTCAACTGTTGGTTGCAATTGTGAAATGGTGTAAAGATTTCCTTCATCAGAACTATATACAAAAAAAAATGTTGCAGAGAGTTTTGTTGATTCATAACAAAAAATCACGCAGGATTATTAATTAGGAGTATTAATAAAATGTTACTTTAATTACTGCATCAAAAATTCGTTATTTTCAACTGTTGGTTGCAATTGTGAAATGGTGTAAAGATTTCCTTCATCAGAACTATATACAAAAAAAAATGTTGCAGAGAGTTTGTTGATTCATAACAAAAAATCACGCAGGATTATTAATTAGGAGTATTAATAAAATGTTACTTTAATTACTGCATCAAAAATTCGTTATTTTCAACTGTTGGTTGCAAATGTGAAATGGTGTAAAGATTTCCTTCATCAGAACTATATACAAAAAAAAATGTTGCAGAGAGTTTTTGTTGATCATAAAAAATAAATCACGCAGGATTATTAATTAGGAGTATTAATAAAATGTTACTTTAATTACTGCATCAAAAATTCGTTATTTTCAACTGTTGGTTGCAATGTGAAATGGTGTAAAGATTTCCTTCATCAGAACTATATAGAAAAAAAAATGTTGCAGAGAGTTTTGTTGATTCATAACAAAAAATCACGCAGGATTATTAATTAGGAGTATTAATAAAATGTTACTTTAATTACTGCATCAAAAATTCGTTATTTCCAACTGTTGGTTGCAATTGTGAAATGGTGTAAAGTGTTCCTTCATCAGAAATATATACAAAAAAAAATGTTGCAGAGAGTTTTGTTGATTCAAAATAAAAAAAAATCACGCAGGATTATTAATTAGGAGTATTAATAAAATGTTACTTTAATTACTGCATCAGAAATTCGTTATTTCCAACTGTTGGTTGCAATTGTGAAATGGTGTAAAGATTTCCTTCATCAGAACTATATACAAAAAAATGTTGCAGAGAGTTTTGTTGATTCATAAAAAATAAATCACGCAGGATTATTAATTAGGAGTATTAATAAAATGTTACTTTAATTACTGCATCGAAAATTCGTTATTTTCAACTGTTGGTTGCAATTGTGAAATGGTGTAAAGATTTTCTTCATCAGAACTATATACAAAAAAAAATGTTGCAGAGAGTTTTGTTGATTGTTGATTCATAAAAAATAAATCACGCAGGATTATTAATTAGGAGTATTAATAAAATGTTACTTTAATTACTGCATCAAAAATTCGTCATTTTCAACTGTTGGTTGCAATTGTGAAATGGTGTAAAGTGTTCCTTCATCAGAATTATATACAAAAAAAAATGGAAACTACAATTTCAGCAATAATTTGCAGTCTGTTAAATACAGTAAAAATCACAGAGAAAATCACCTACTACAAAATTTTCAAAAAAACTCACCGGGAGCATCTCGACAATCATCATCATAGCTGAATTTCATGGGCGATCTGGGCGATCTGGGCGACTTGGCGGGCCTGTAATTGCCCTCGCCGAAATCGAACACAGTCTCAGTCTGGCTGGGGCTGCTCAATGAGACTTTGGGCGAATTCAGGCCCAAATTCCGCCCCTTGGGGCTCCTCTGGTAGCCCGGCGACTTCTCCTCCGCTATGGGCGACTTGGGCAAATCGGACGAAGCCGGTTCTGAAACGCTTTTATTGATAATGAAATGTTTCTGAGCTTTGGGAGTTTCATCACCTCGGGGGTAGCCCACGGTGGGGCTCCTCGGCGTGCCGCAGGAACTGGGCGATGAGTAAGAAGACTTCGATAGGATTGAAGATTTCTTCGCCGTTCGGGCGGAACTGCTGCGCGAGAAGTTCCCGAAGCCATTGTTCACTTTCATATTATCTACCTTTGGTATTAAAGTTTTGGCAATTTTTTATAAACGGTTACAGTTTAGTAGATGATATGAATTGTCGTGATATGCTTCATTTTCGACGAAACTACTGGAGGTATCTGAAACACAACAGATCACCAAACAATTGTTTGAATTTATCTACTAAATTCCTATTGTAGATTTGATGAGAAAATGCCTATTATAGAAGTGAAAAATAAAGTTTTTATAAACGGTTATCTAGTATCTAGTAAATGATATGAATTGTTGTGATATGTTTCATTTTCGACTTAACTACTGGAGGTATCTGAAACACAACAGATCACCAAACAAATTGTTTGAATTTATCTACTAAATTCCTATTGTAGATTTGATGAGAAAATGCCTATTATAGAAGTGAAAAATAAAGTTTTTATAAACGGTTATCTAGTATCTAGTAAATGATATGAATTGTTGTGATATGTTTCATTTTCGACGAAACTACTGGAGGTATCTAAAACAAAACAGATCACCAAACAATTGTTTGAATTTATCTACTAAATTCCTATTGTAGATTTGATGAGAAAATGCCTATTATAGAAGTGAAAAATAAAGTTTTTATAAACGGTTAAAGTCTAGTATTTAGTAAATGATATGAATTATTGTGATATGTTTCATTTTCGACTAAACTACTGGAGGTATCTGAAACACAACAGATCACCAAACAATTGTTGGAATTTATCTACTAAATTCCTATTGTAGATTTGATGAGAAAATGCCTATTATAGAAGTGAAAAATAAAGTTTTTATAAACTGTTAAAGTCTAGTATCTAGTAATTGATATGAATTATTGTGATATGTTTCATTTTCAACGAAACTACTAGAGGTATCTAAAACAAAACAGATCACCAAACAATTGTCTGAATTTATCTACTAAATTCCCATTGTAGATTTGATGAGAAAATGCCTATTATAGAGTTGAAAAATATTGTGAAAAATAAATTGTTCTGTCGTGAAGTCCCTTATTTCAAATATCAATCACGTTAAGGAGATTGACTAGCGAGATAAACGCGAAAACCCGAACAAGAACAATAACTTAGGGACGTCCCCCGAGATTGCTTTGAAATGGCGCTAAAATGGGGGAATTGTTCGGCTAAAAAAATCGAATTATAAAATGTAGCTTTTTCAATTTGATAGTAAAAATACAACGAACAATAAACCTCGATGCATTCACCTCAAACGACCGCAATTAAAGCAAATATTTCATTAAAAACCGGTTTGAAACCGGAGGATTCGGTGCAATTGGAACTATTTTATCGAATAAAAGAGCGTTGAATTGTTTTAAAAACGAATTAAACCAATTTATTACGCTGTAGAATACATTTATGTATTATTTTTCGAATCATTTCCTCTTCTTTTTTATTATTCCTTTAATTGAAATACCCCCTTTGTGAATCTATTATTTCAAGATCATTTGGGTTAAAATAACACATCAAAAATGAGTAATAGAGTGGGGCAAATCGGTTGTAAAATTTGAATAGTTCAAATTAAATCCTAAAATGTGGATTTATTTTTTTTCTTATTAGAAATGCTGTTACAAAATTAAATTCACAACTTCCTAAACTAAAGAATCGAGGTATTAAAAAGTTTTTTTTGAAAAAGGAAGAAAACGATTTTACATATTTTTTTAAATGTTGACAATATCAAGTATTTTAAAGGACAGTTTATTTAAAAATTGTTTGAAAATTAAAGTGCATCTAACAATATTGAATCATACAAATCCCAATTTTAGTATTTGGGTTTAAAACCAATAAGTTTGTTATTTCAATAATTGTGTTTAATGCACTGTTTATATCCACTTTTACTCCACGATTTATTTTACTGATTTAATAAAAGTTTAATTTTAATCGCCGTGAAGATATTATTAGTTTTTACGAGTAAGTGCTTACTTACATTACACTTTTTTAGCGTGAATTTTTAGATTGAATATTGGAAATTATTTTCTATCGCATTGAAGGAAAGAACAAAAAGGTTTCCATTTATATACCTTTGTATAGGCTGCACTTTTAGGCTTTTTTTTTCGGATTCAAGTTCAAAGCATTTCGAGTTGGCAAATTAATTCGGCCTTTCATTTTTCGCGTAGCCGTGAAAATGACGTTTTCGAGATTTTCCACGCTTTTCCGTTCGACCATTGTTTGGTTTATAAACGCGAAATAATAGCGCCTGTGAATATATCGTGCAAGAGAAAAGCGGAAATTAGTTCCATCCGTCGAACTTTCTATATTGACAAATTCCTGAATAAACTGCTAAATAAATCTACTGGCAATATCAAGGAGACAATTTCTTGTCCCTTTTTTTACTCAATTAAACACTCAATTACTTCTCCATCGCAAATATTTCAAGGTAAATAACAGAGTGCATTTTAATTGGATTAAAAACATTTCCTTTTTCTCTTGACCCGGACTTAGATCTTATCAATTTATTATGAAATATGCTTTAATTTAAAATTCTATATGTGGCTAGAATACTCATTTAAGATGTGTTATTTTAACCCAAATGATCTCGAAATACTAAATAAAGTTGTAAGGTAGATTGGGGCAAATGTAAAAATGGGGTAAATGTAATATTTTTCATTTCTAATAAAAAAAAATAAAGCCACATTTTAGGATTTAATTTGAACTATTCAAATATTAAAACCGATTTGACCCAGTCTAACTTACATTAAATAACAAACTTGTTGGTTTTAAACCCAAATACTAAAATTGGGATTTGTATGATTCAATATTGTTAGATGCCACTTTAATTTTCAAACAATTTTTAAATAAACTGGTCTTTAAAATACTTGAAAATTTATACGATTATGTGGCTTTATTTAAGATAGAATTTTAATGCAAATAATGAACATTTCTATATTAATTTCGATAAGGTAGATTGGGGAAAATGTAAAAATGAGGTAAATGTAATATTTTTATCTATTATGTTAATGTTTTTTTATTATTTTTATAGTTCTTTTGTGCATTAGACAGGGTTTGTTTCTTATTTTTTCTTTATTATTTTGTAGCTCTGTTATTTTTTGAAATAAATAAATAAATAGCATATCAAATTTTAGAGGAACCAAATAGTTTTTTACAATTGCCCCATATATTTTTCTATATAATTGTATTGTCTCTTTAGAACGGGGGTAAATGTAATGGGGTAAATATAACATATTGTCAACATTTAAAAAAATATGTAAAATCGTTTTCTTCCTTTTTCAAAAAAAAACTTTTTAATACCTCGATTCTTTAATTTAGTAAGTTGTGAATTTAATGTGGTAACAACATTTCTAATAAGAGAAAAAATAAAGCCACATTTTAGGATTTAATTTGAACTATTCAAATTTTACAACCAATTTGACCTAGTCTAACTTACATTAAACACAATTATTGACATAACAAACTTATTAGTTTTAAACCCAAATACTAAAATTGGGATTTGTATGATTCAATATTATTAAGATGCACTTTAATTTTCAAACAATTTTTAAATAAACTGTCCTTTAAAATACTCGAAAATTTATACGATTATGTGGCTTTATTTAACGCAAATAATAGACATTTCTACATTAATTTCGATACTAAATTTTGTAGACAATAAAAAAAACCAACTCTTCTAACAGAGTTCCACGCGTTTCACAAATCAACAAGTTGTTTCCACCCCAACCCCAAAATCTCCAATCATCGACACCTTCCAAAAAAAAAAAAAACCAACTCACTTTCCAAGCATTTCCATCCACTCCGGATCGAAATCCAAAATCCCCGCGACCACCAAACACAATCCTCCCTATGAATTTAACGATTATTCCCATCAGCAGCCCGTTACACGACTGAAACCGGCGTCGCGACGGAGCGAAGACGCTCCTGGAAACGCTGGAAACGCTGGAAACGAACGCGCGACGCGACCTTCCCCGGCCAATGGAGACTGGAAAATGGGGAATGGAGAATGGAGAATGGAAAACGCCGGACTGGATCCGGACGGACAATAGCGGGGATTTCGCCCCGGGAAATTCGCTCGGCGATTTTCGAGCGGTTTTCGCCGGATGGTTTTTCGTCGGGAATCTTACAGGTAGAAAAATCGGGTTTGGATCGTGGGCGGTTTAATCGGAATTATCGGAGCGATTTGTTGTCGTTAATGATTTATGTTTGGATATTATGGGATGGGATTTTTGTGACGAATTAAAAGGTAGAAAGAAAGATGTGGTTTTCGAAGAATTGTTTGGAAAATTTGGATGAAATTGCAACAATTTTTTGTGATGAATTAAAAGGTTTGGTTTTGTACAATTATTTGGAAAATTCGGCTGAAATTGCGCCAATTTTTGTGACGAATTAAAAGAAGAATTAAAAGCTTTGGTTTTGGAAAATTTGCCTGAAATTGCGCCAATTTTTGTGACGAATTAAAAGCTTTGGTTTTCGAAGAATTATTTGGAAAATTTGGCTGAAATTGCGACAATTTTAGTGATGAATTAAAAGAAGAATTAAAAGCTTTGGTTTTCGAAGAATTATTTGGAAAATTTGGCTGAAATTGCGACAATTTTAGTGATGAATTAAAAGAAGAATTAAAAGGTTTGGTTTTCGAACAATTATTTGGAAAATTTGCCTGAAATTGCGCCAATTTTTGTGACGAATTAAAAGAAGAATTAAAAGCTTTGGTTTTCGAACAATTCTTCGGAAAATTTGCTTGAATTTGCAGGGCTCTATTAGTGGATAACAAAGCAATTTTCGCGTTTCCGTGTGAGTTAATTAAAACGGTGAAGCAAAAGCGTCGAATTGCGAAAAGCTTTTTTGAATTTTTTCCTCGAAAATATCGGATTCGAATCGAACTAATAGGGATAGGGTAGAGTGGGGCAAATCGGTTGTAATATTTGAATAGTTCAAATTAAATCCTAAAATGTGGCTTTATTTTTTCTCTTATTAGAAATGTTGATACTACATTAAATTCACAACTTACTAAACTAAAGAATCGAGGTATTAAAAAGTTTTTTTTTTAAAAAGGAAGAAAATGATTTTACATATTTTTTAAAATGTTGACAATATGTTATATTTACCCCATTACATTTACCCCCGTTCTAAAGAGACAATACAATTATATAGAAAAACATATTGGGCAATTGTAAATACAAATTTGGTTCCTCTAAAATTTGATATGCTATTTATTTATTTATTTCAAAAAATAACAGAGCTACAAAATAATAAAGAGAAAATAAGAAACAAACCCTGTCTAATGCACAAAAGACCTATAAAAATAATAAAAAACATTACCATAGTAGGTAAAAATATTACATTTTTACATTTGCCCCACTCTACCTTATCTAATTTGATCTAATTTCCATCCAGTGAGAGAGGAGATTCTTATAGAAATAAAACAATCCAAAAAACAGTGAATTATTTATTTATTTTAAACATAACAAAAACAGTGAAAATTGAATCAATTATTTGTTTCTTATTTTAGATTACGCAGAATCTGCCACATTTGTTCTATTTAAATTAAATGATCACAAAAAAAAAATTAGCAAGAAACTTGCAGTTACCTAAAATTTGTTGTCATTTAAAAAATAAATTCTCTCCGCAAAATAATCGAGGAATTTGATATATTCTAATCGGCAAGTGTCTGTATTTTGCGGAGACATAAATAACTAAATTACATCAGAGCAGATTTGATAAAAAAAAGTAGTTCTGAAAACGCTCTAAATTATATAAAATATAAAAAAACGATCTCGGAATTAATACCAACATTCTATGTAGATATATTAATGCAATCTTAATAATATAATCATTATAAACTTTACAATAAACAACAAAAATAAGTTCATATTATGAACAACTACTTTAAAGTCGTGTAGACCCTAAACTAAAGATGACTATGATTTTATAAAACTTAGATGTATTGCACATTAGCGTTAAAGAAAGTTCTACTGTACATTTAGTTTTGCAAATTAAGAACTTGCTATAAATTATTCTAAAATTTGCTAAAACTAAATTACTTTCGAAACTATTCAATTAGTTACCTAGCATCACTTTCTCTCGTAAAAATATAATATAAAAAAAAAACTTTTATAATACATATTAAACTTTCTTTGAACTTTTACTAAATTAAGGGCAACTTGGTATATGCGAGCCTTATTAATTCGTTGCTTTGAACTACTTAGACTATAAGCTAAATCACATAAAAGTTATAAAAATGAAGCAGTTAAAGTGAGGCGATTTTTTCCTAAAAATATAAATATAAAAAACGTTTCGGAAGACGTTGTAATTTTTGTTGTTAAACTTCTATCCCTTAAATGCTTAAATTTAGTCATAAAATTGTACCTACATTAAGTTAAAATTAATTGTCCTTAATCGAAATCTTTCGTGTAAATAATATCATTTTTGCTTGTTAAAAAAAAAAGATTACAAGGAAGTTTTAACTATTAAAATTCGCTAGAAAATCATCTTAAAAAGCCTCGACAATTGCTCGAACGAAATACTCTTTCATTTTCATTGGAATTAACTATATTAAAAATATTCATATTTGCTCGATTATAAAAATTGAAAAATATATAATTAAACTAACAGACCTACATATATATTATACTCGTATATATTAATCTGATATATAATTTAATTAATTATGCATCGATAGTTTTTTAATCGATTCATCTAAAAAAAAATCTGATATGTGCAATGAGTAGTCACTAAGGTGCTTCTTTTCATTGACCAGTTTCAATTACAATTAAACCTACAGCAGATCACAATAAAATCTATTTCGATTTTTAAAGAATTAGATAAAATTACATCTCAATTTCATTGTAATCTGCATCATTAACTGGCTACGTTATAAGGCTTAAGAGGCAAGTTTCGACTAAAATTAATGTCAAATTTCATTAAACTAGCTTAGCAAAAACAGTTTTTTTAGTTCCTCATCAAATCCAGCAGACTGTTAACTGTGTTAAAACCAAACAATTAGCTATTATATTATAATCTCAACGTATTGATTAAGAGAAATATTCGACCTATTTTCCTTATCAGGCCGGTGCATTTCCGCCAGCAATCTCGGATCGACTGGAAGAGGAGCCAGCTGAGGCATCGGACCACAATCCGGAGGAATCTGGAACAAAAACCACCAACACAATCAATCAAACCAGAAGGAAAACTAAAGGAAAAAGGTAGAGAGAATAATAACCATTCGCTGCTGGGGCTAACATATCCAATCAAACCAGAAGGAAATACAAAGGGAAAAAGGTAGAGAGAATACTAACCATTTGTTGCTGGGGCTAACATAACCAATCAAACCAGAAGGAAATACAAAGGGAAAAAGGTAGAGAGAATACTAACCATTTGTTGCTGGGGCTAACATATCCAATCAAACCAGAATGAAATACAAAGGGAAAAAGGTAGAGAGAATAATAACCATTCGCTGCTGGGGCTAACATATCCAGTCAAACCAGAAGGAAATACAAAGGGAAAAGGTAGAGAGAATACTAACCATTCGCTGCTGGGGCTAACATATGCAATCAAACAAGTAGGAAATATAAAGGGAAAAAGGTAGAGAGAATACTAACCATTTGCTGCTGGGGCTTCCATGACCTATCAAACCAGAAGGATATATTAAGGAAAGAAGGTAGAGAGAATACTAATCATTTATTGCTGGGGCTAACATATCCACTCAAACCAGAAGAAAATACAAAGTGAAAAAGGTAGAAAGAATACTAAACATTCGCTGCTGGGGCTAACATAACCAATCAAACCAGAAGGATATCCTAAGGAAAAAGGTAGATAGAATACTAACCATTTGTTGCTGGGGCTGCTGGGCCTGCAGGGCCCCCGGTGGGGCCATCGAGGGGTAGTAATTGGTCGGCGAAACGGGCGGACTCGGGTAGGGCCAGTAGAATATCTGCGGATGCATGAACTGTCTGGGATCCATCGCGGCCGCCGCCATCTGTACAGGGGGGTATCCAGGGAAATTGGGCCCCGGGTGGAAGGGAGTCGGCAGGATATTACCGCCTAAAATATGCCGTTGCTTAAACACCAGGAAGTTTTTTTTTCAACTTTCAACAAAAATCGAACTTTTCGATTTGATAGCTCGAGTGGTTTAACATTAATGCTTACCTCATTAATTAATTAATCGTTATAAAACATATTAATTTTGAAACGAACCATTCGAGGGGTATTAAACCAGACCACTAAACTACTGAATAATTCTATTAGAATTAGAATCAAATGGAAATAATGATAAACCATCTACCCACCTCCATATATAGAAGCAAACGATGTCCCACACTTAACTGCCATCTTCTCCAGGATTAACCACCCAATATATTCATATCCGAATGTACAGGGTAGATGAAAAATTCGAAACTCCATCGCCTACTCATCACCGAATTGTTGTTAGTGTACAAAAAGTTCCGGATTTTTAAACTACCCTGTACATGGAAAAATGTGTTATATATATAGCGAAAGGAGACTGACAACAAACCCAAAAAGCATTATAGTGACAAAAACATTTATTAATGTGTATATTAAGACAATTTTAATGATAGAGCTGCGTAAACGTTACAGAAATATAAAAGAATAATTCGCCATTTTTTTTTGTTTCAACCATCGGCATCGGGCAGGCGTAAATACCAGAAATTAGATAGATAAATCTTTAAAGCAATCCACGAAATAAATCTCCTTTCATCTGAACATAAGAATGATGTCTCTAAAAACCCCCATTAAGATAAGAAAATAGGTACTTACTTTCTAATACAATATTCTTAGTTAGTGTTTGAACAGAAGTAAAGGGTACTTCTGGTGCTCTGTACCTACCCGTTACCACAAAAAAAATGAGAGAAAAATAAAATAGAACCTTCGCTAGACAATAAACAAGGCTTGGTGAAAATCTTTCAGCATTCCAAAATAATACACCACCATGAATTTTGTTAGTATAATATATCTACTCGAAGTTAGTAACACCCAAACATTCCATATCTCACGAAATAAATTTAGTTTGGAGCATTTAAAGTGTGTCTCCATTCGTCAAATAAATAGCTAATTATTAGAAATATTAACTGTCAGTTATTGTTATTATTGCTGTTTAAATGTAGCTCCAGTTTAATTCTTTTAACAGTGAAATTTTGAGTATTTGGAAAATGTTAATTTGCATTAAATTTCAATGTTAAAACGGAATTCTTAAAAGAGCATTATTTCCTAAGTAAAAGAGGGTGAATATTTCTGGTTTTTAACTAGTAATTTATTACTAAATGCAAAGAATTTGAATGAAAAATTTACATATTTTGCCGAGAGACTCGAGCAATGGTCATTTATTATAGTGTTTTAGTTTTCCAGTTTACCAATATTTTCACCAACTTTACTTTTGCGAGGAAAATGCTATTTCCACATTTATTTTTTATAACTCTAAAAATCAATAAAATCAAGTTATTGTCTAATGAAATATATACCTAAATATGTTGCCAGAAATTGCAAATAAATAATTTTGTATTAACTTTGTTAAATAATAATAAAATATAGAAAATTGGAATATAAGAAAAACCAACCAAAATAAGAAGATAATAAAAAAAAGAAAGCTCCCAATAGGAAAATAAATTCATGTGTATACCAACTATATAGATTTTAGTTGTTAAACTTCAAATACATTCGAAAAATATTTTTCGAAATGCTCAAAAGCAGTGGAAAAGCGACTGAAATACTTACATTGTGAATTCACCATCATATACCTGTATAAAAACTTCCAATCGAGAATGAATATCTTGCGAAAAAATATCGAGAATATTAGCGAGAATTATTGATGAAATTTCACCGAAATTTTTCTCGAATTTGTGGAAGATTTTCATTCTGTTTATAAAGTCGAAATCGAGAATCATTCACCAACACCACTCCATATAGTTTGTAGTAAAAAATGAACGTGAAAAGCATAACACCAAATCATATTCAAATATCTAGCGAAAGCTGTACGGAAACTGAACCTACTTAAACCGATATCGGCGAAAATAAACTATCAAACTAAGTAAACTAATTCCCAATATATAATAAAATTAAATGAATTAATTTAACACCATGATTTTGTACAATGTTTCTTATACTACTATCAATTCTAAAATGAGGATTCCAGAATTAGCAACTAGTTAAGGTTTTTTATTTTTAAATAACGATTAATATTAAAAAGAAACCAGTTGGTAATTTTGGAATTCTCAAAAAAATAACCCTTCGCCAATCTATTGACAACAGTGACAAAGACACAACCAAAGACAACCTCAAATCAATCATTTCAATAATTAATAATTAATTAATTCAACTGTCCGATTAATTCAAATTTATATTAGATAAGGTCATCTCATTAGTAAGTACATTGTACTTAAAAATTTAATAATAATAATAATAAAAATAGTTGCCTTTAGTTTCAACATGTTTCCTAAAACCAAATAAGTTGTAGACAACAAACACCCATATCCAAAGGTCTATTAAATTAGTTCGCAAACATTGTTTGTTATAACAAAAGCCCTAAACATAGAATAGAGGACCGATAGAAATAATATAAATTTAACATTTCCTTGGAAAAAAAAAACAAATAGTAACAAAAGTTTCCGATCAATTTTCAGGAGGCGAATTCGAGAAAATTTTCGATAAATTGAAAGCTATTCTGATAAATAGAAAGAAACGAAAATTATCTCGAAACCGATTTCCTAAAAATATATTTCCGAAACAGTTAAAAATTTCATGTAACAGCAAATGACGAACCCGCGATATTTTCAACATTAACAACAACTGTAAAAATTCTTGTATCAAAAATAGTTTCGGAATGATCGTTCGAAAATTCCGGGTTCATCGAAAATTCGGAATGTATTTTCATCACAATAATTCATCATAGCAGAGTCCCAGTCTTTTAAAAATTGGAAGGTATAGATATTAAAAGGTGGGGTCTCAGTACCCTGTTCGATAATCACTTTGTCTCAGAGTTTGTTACCACAGAAGCCCTGTGAGTTGCCATTTTATTCCATATAATTATTTACTAAATACTAAAAAAATATTAAATATTGAATATAACAAGAACGTGAGGATGGGTAGGACCTACAAACCTACAAAAGTAGTGATGTAATTATAGGATTTTTCAAAAAAGGAGTATTTAAAAATTTGTGTATTGTTCAAACAATCCTATGTAAACTGGGATTCGGAGAATCAAACAGAAAATGAAAAATAAAATTTTCCTTTCAGGGTAAATTGAATTTTGCGTTTCCTTTAACACGACTACTTCGGTGATTTGAGTTTATTTTCTTCCTATCGAAATATTTTACATACCGAAAAACAATATGTAAATTTTCATAAAAAAAAATAATAATTACAGCCTTGATAAATGAGTGAAAATTTAGGCTCTCAGTAAAGTTCATATTTTTATAATAATAACTTCTCGTCTATTTACATTATTAGTAAAGCTTATAATTATTTTTTTCTCGTGTAACTAAACACGATTGTATTGCTTTAAAAAATTACTTTCAATTTGATGTAAGCAAAGCGAAATATGCGAAAACTTAATCAACAATATTAATATCTAAAAATAAAAACAAAAACTAAAAACTTAATAGGACACACGATTTTTTTTACATAAACTCGAACTTGTTAAGTACTTAGTTATTCAATCATTGCGATAAATTCATTTAAAATGTTTAATGTGAAACCAGAAAACGATTATTTTAAATTCTGGTTTTCTCAATTTGGAGCATTATTGTTTTTCAAATGAGCTTGCACCTATCTTACTAATCGCTAAACTAAATAATATCAAAATAACTAAAACTCAAAAATATACAGGGTGTTTCCGAAATAAATGGTCAAATTATGGGAGCAAGTAGAGAATCTCAAAATATGAAGAAAACTCTAATGTCATTTTATCTAAATGTGAAGTTTTTGAAAGAATTCATTTCTATTATATTTTTAAAGAAAATTGTTTAATAAGTTTGTGCATCAGAAACCATTTTTAAGTAGAAAACTTTTTCATATTTTTTAAACGAATCAATAGAAAAGGTTAAAATAAAAAAGTTAGGTCAAAATTACCCCACGCCCCCCCCATTTTAACCCACCCCTGGACAACTTTTTCAACCCTATTTAAAAGCACCGTAAAACATTTCATTTGCTTAGTATGTGTACCAAATCTCATCAATCTACCTTCGCTATTAACGAAATTATTAATAAAAACACCTCATCAAGAATCCATCTTTAACATCCTGCTCACCAACAACCAAGACCATTTCGATAAAACAACATTTGCAAAAGTTTCCGCCACAATTCGAACCCCTCTATCCACTCCCAAACTTTCAACAACCCCCCGTACATTACTACCCTTCAACCTCACTCTATCAATTCTCACAACCAAACCAGCAGCTGCCTCACATATTGGGATAAAACTGCTGATAGAGGGGCAACGAGGCGGGAGCGAACGGCCTCTTAGCCGGCGCCACCTGATCATTAAAAGCATCCCCGTAGCTCCTCTTAACCGCCACGTGGGGCGGCATCACCACCCCAGCACCCTGCCCCTGCACCAAATGGTGCTGGTACAGAACCGGCGGCGGCCGCTGCAGCCCCATCGGCAGCCTCGGCGGCAGGTACACGAACGGATGGCCCGGCACGACGGGCACCATCTGGTGCCCGGCGGCGGCCGGCTTCAGCGGCGCCGGGGGCGAAGCCCCCGTCGGCGAGAACGGCCCGCCGAACAGCAGGTTCTGCTGCGCCAGCTGGTTCATCAGCACCATCTCGTTCTGCGCCGCCTGGCTCTGCCTCGCCATCAGATTGTGCTGGGCGATGATCTGCGCCTGCTGTTGCGCGAACAGCGCCTGATTGTCCCAAGCGAGGGGCGGCTGGGGCAAACTCTGAGACATCGCGGATGAATGAGGTGCCGCCGGCGGCGGGATATTAGTGGGCGGTAGCGGTGGTAACATACCGGGACTTAGTAGAGCGGGGGCGGCGGCTTTGACCGGCGAAACTGGCGATGGCATGCTGCCGGTCAACACGTGGTTCATGTCTTCGCCGGAACATTGGAACACCTCGATGTAGCGCTGCTTCTTGCCGAATATCATGTACCTGTGGTGCTTCTGCTGGGCAGTCATGAAGGCCGATTGCTCCGAGTCCATTTGGATGAACGCCTCGCCGCTCGGTTGACCCTTCGATAACAAACCCCATCATTACCCCAACAACTCCATTTGTAGATTTATAGTTATAGTACCTGGGAGTTGATGACCATGTGGACCCCCTGCAGGACGATGTTGTGCGAGTAATCGCCCAAGAAGTCCAATATGTGTTCGACCTGAGCCTCGTAGGGCAGTCCCCTTAACCTAATGCAGTCTTTTCTCGTCCCCGAAGTGATGAATTGTTGCGGCAACAAAGGCACCTGCGGTATTTGAGCGATGAGCGGGGCTTGTTGTTCGTAGGTCTTCGGATCCATCGAACGGTTCAGGACCTGGCGAAAGAATCGGTTTGGGATGGTTCTTGTATGGTTCAAATCACTCACCTGTTGGACTTCCGCTGTAGTAGACCTGAACAATTCGATGTACCGGGAGCCGATGCACTCCCTGTGCTTCGATAGAGCTTTGGTGGAATCCGATTCGTTGGCGAAGAGCACGAAAGCGTCTCCGGTGGCTCTGCCGTCGGGCTTTCGCACGAACAAAACCCCATCTACCCCATCGAGTACTAAGCAGGAGTTGTCCCCGTTGGCGAAGAAGTCCAACTAAACGATTGGTGTAAGAAAAATATTGGTGGGGCGTTTTGGTGAGGCTTACCACTTGCTTGGCGGTGCAATCGTAGGGCAATCCGCGCATCCTGATGATGACGGCGGCGCCTTTGGAGAGGAACGCTTGGGCTTCGCAACTGGACCCGCCAGCGACCGATAGAAAGTCCTTGCCGGTGCCCCTGTAGACCTCGATCCAGCGCGTGCTGATGTGGTGCTTGTGCCTCTTCAGGGCCATGTCTCTGTGCTCCTGGCTGACGAACCTCACGAGGGCCTCGCCGTTCCTTCGACCTTGCGCTGATAGGCACAGGGCTACTCCGCCCCTGGAACGAAGAGCCTCTTGGAGATTGGGGTTTTTAGTTGTTGGGTTGGAGGGGTTTGGGGAAATGGAATTTTGATGGGGTAATGGTGTTCAAAGAGTCTTTGGAGGTTGGGGTTTTCGTTGTTGGGTTGGAGGGGTTTGTGGAAATGGAATTTTGATGGGGTAATGGTGTTCAAGGAGCTTTTGGAGTTTGGGGTTTTCGTTGTTGGGTTGGAGGGGTTTGTGGAAATTGAATTTTGATGGGGTAATGGTGTTCAAGGAGCTTTTGGAGTTTGGATTTTTTGTTCGGTTGGAGGTTTTTGTGGAAATGGAAGATTGTTTTGAAAATGGTGTTATCGAAGGGAAATGGAATTGGGTACTGTTCGGATCGGAAAGCGAATTAAAATCGTTGGTTTGATAACCGATAATTTTTAAATTAAATATTTTATGGTCGATGCGAATAAAAATAAAATGTTCTGGTAGGTATAACAATCGATTTATTAATGTCGGAATAAAAAATGTATGTTGCTGAAAGCATAACTAGTAAAATTGAAGATACTAATAAAGATTTAAAACACCAGATCATGGGCTGTATTCAACCTGTTTTAAAGACCACTACAGCATAAATAACTAGTAAAATTGAAGATACTAATAAAGATTTAAAATACTATATCATGGGCTGTATTCAACCTGTTTTAAAGACCACTACAGCGTAAAAATTTCAACAATTATTTTTATTAGATCGATTAAAATGCTATCGTATAAGTCATCGGTGCTATTTTTTGCATTTTTCAATGGTAGATGTTATGTTAATTATTCGAGAATATACAAACGAATTTTTCATCGTGCCAGTTACACTTGTATATTCAATATCGATTATTCGAATAAATCGAATTATACAGGGTGTTTATACTCACTTTGCAACATTTAATCCTCGAAAAAATTTAGCAATGTCTTGATCGCTGCTCTGCCAGGGCAATCCTCTGGCTCTTACCACGCAGTTACTGTCGATTTCATCATCTTTTGAACTGTAAAAAAATAGTAAAATTACTACTTGTAGTTAAATTACATATTTATTTGGTATTTAAAATTAAACGATTCTTGGCTTTAAATTCGAAATAAAAAAATTAGTCGATACCATTATTGAAATGAACGAAACTGTAGTTGAAATTTGATAGCGTTTCCAACTCTTATCAACGTTATTCTGACAACTAAAGGATATACAAGTAGGTAAAGGAATATTTGAGGTAATTAGTTTACCTGTAGCATATCAGTGATACATTTAAAAACATTAAGTACCCACGCTATTGGACGAAAAAAGGGAAAATTAAAAAAAATATATACATTTCAATGATAAGAGAACTTGCGTTGAGTTGTTAATTTGCCGCAAATTTCATTTAATTATTGCTGAAAACGTTGAAAATTACTAGATGTAGCGAAAATATTAAATATCCAGTAAAAATATAAAAAAATCTCTTTACTGGCTACAATAACAAAGAGATATTTTATATCATTTTTAACAAACACTCTAAAAATACACCTAATATTTTTACAGATATTTTAGGCCAGAAAATATTAAAAATGTGAAATGGATAAATAGGATATTAACTAGATATTAAATATCATTTATCGCAATTACATACACCTAATAGACCGATAAAAAAATGAATAAGATAACACCAAAAACGTTAATCTGATTAAAATATCTGTATATTTACCTATAAATAATGCAAGCAATCTTTAAGTAAACAAGTAGCACACCTGATAATAACTCCAGACAAATATTTTATGTTTTACGAGTTTAAAAAAATTCTTATTCGTTAAATTCCCTGGATAAAATTTCACTGGTGAATTAATAAACTAGATAAAAAATATTATTTTCTAGGAAAATAAGGTTGTTAACCTATTTTTATACCCATAGATAATACTAATAAATTCGAAATTCGGGAATACTTTACCTTATAACTAAGAACTTTCAACAGGAGAAGATTTTATAAATAAAAATACATTTTTTCGATAATTATCGAAATCGGATTTACCCATTTCTTTGGACCTAACAATATGTTCAATTTGATTATTATTCAGACATTTTCTTTAACTAAACTGTACAAATTGAAGCAAAAAAAAAATGTCTGTTGCAAAAAAAAAATACAAAAACAATAACCGTGACTGTTACCACACGAATCACTAAAATATTCGCAAAAACGTGATTGATGTTTTATTGTCTTCAATTCGATTTTTCGAAGCTTTGTAACTTACGTAACGAAAAATCAGATAGATTATCGACGGAGGTTTAATAATAAATTTTGTTTTCAATTTTCAATCTTTGTAAATACATATGTAAGAAAATAAACCAACACAATCAACTACAAAGCAATAGAACTAAAATTGAACACTACAAAAAGCCTAATCAAAACTCACCTATCACCAATCGGAAACCTATCCAGCTGATCTATTAATAATATACAGCAATTTATTAGATATAAATGCCTCGAATTCTACTAGGAACACAGTAATATCACAGGTATGAGTTTTTTTTAGGAATCGAAATACACAAAACGTGCACCAAAGAAAAGCAACACGACTGATAAATCGAAAAAAAAAACTTCGGATTTTCCGTCTTTGTTAGCACGAAGAATTCTAAACACAAATAATACGGAGCTGGTCAACGTGTAATAATCGCACAGGACCGGACCGGGTTAATTTTTTAACCCTGACGAGTAGATTATTAGGGAAACCACGGAATTGTGTATCTAGTAGCAAAAGATTTTCGAGTTTAATCAGCTTAACACAATTCTGGTTGCTTCCTTATCCAATCAAAAATAAAAAATTTAATCGGAAAAAGAAGTAAATAAGTAGATTTCGGAGGCGTCCTTTCTAGTATCAATTTCTGGTAATCAAATTCCGATTTGTTGTTTAATTTTGGCGTTTTTTTAATCGCATGCAAACGGGCCAGTACGGACCATCGTTTCGTTATCAGTAAACTAGTTTCGAAGTGGGGTACGTCACGTTAATTTCTATTGGTTCAGTTCAATAATTGATAAGGACTGGCTTGTTGATAACGAGACCATTGCTTTTGGGTAATCTCGATGATTATACCGAGTGGTACGATTTTACTCGATCAATTTAAATGCATTTACATGCATAAAAACATGCCAAATATGTACAATTAAAATCGTCGAATGATAGAATAAAAATCGAATTATAATAAATGCTAAAATGTAACGATTATTACGAATAATGTTTCGAATTTTCGAATTTGTACCGCTTAAATGCTATATAATAACAGTACCAGTGGTGCTATCTAGTTGAAATAAAGTCAATTTATTAATAAGTTATTGTAGAAAGTTGTGGTACTATTAAATGGAGAAATGGGAAACAATTTGTAAATTTACCTCCCTTTTAATGGGAAATTTTCATGCATGGAAAAGCGTTTTGTGATAGTGATAGTGACAATTTAAATTCTATAGTATTCCTCTCAAATGGTTCACTAATCTGGAATGGCTGATAAAGAGGATATGTAATTTAAACTGTTAAATAGGAAATTATTGAACATTATCAATACAGTTAAAAAAATAAGTAGATTACATTATGGAAAATGGAAGGGAGGAATTCAATCAACCAGGCGATTTAAATGTAATTAAATTATTAACAAAAAAAACTTACCAAATACCAGGTTCCAATGTAAGATTAATAGTTTCAGGAGTTTCAAATCTATGCCCTGGAAAAAGAATAAATTTCAATATTATCTGTGATATTCATATCGTTTTTAGATTACAAAAGGAGAAACTTGGAACTGGAAATGATATTTGGAAATTACACACCAAAATAATTTCGAATTGAACAATGGAAATCGGCTCATCTTACAATTCCGATCGACCTTAATATTACAAAGTTAATAAGTTTTCCAAACCCACCTATTCTAACATTGTTTTTTTCGTTCTGTTTGCTTTTGTTCTTCCGTTACAAGTCTAATAAATATTTTACGATGGGGTTTAATGGCCCATTACAATTTTATGGGAATTTCGAGAGAGAAATATCAACGAAATAATCCCGAGAATACATCTGGTAGCAATATCAGAAATTAATTAGAAAAAATGCAGTTGAAGAGATGCATCCTGCAATCGCCTTCGGGGGTTAAATTCTGATTCAATAAAGTCTGTCAATATTTTATTAGAATTAATTTGCAGATTCAGATTATGGATTTTTTTGTGTAAATCTGCTCGAGAGCAAAATCAACAGGAATTTCGGCGAGAATTAATCAATTTCTCATTGTAACTAGAGATTAATTATAATCGTGAAACGAGAAGTGAGTAGTTCAAAATGGCGCGAGTATGAAGATAGAAAAACCGAATCTTTTGTATCCTTAATCGAAAGGATTCGACAGGAACAAAATGCAATATACAACGGTGAAGTGCTCCTTTATGTTTCGCTCAAATGGATCCACTTTAGCATTTCTAGAACGGGGAAAAGCCAGTTGCACACAGCCAATATTTCCTTCCCTAAACTCCGGATAATTACTTTGTTAATTATGGGAAAAGGTTTCGCAAAATTCGTAGATTATCATAGTAATCATCGGTGATGTTAAAATTACTTTATAATATGTAATTAATTGCAATTACAATTACTTTTGGCGAATTGTAATTAATTGCAATTACAATTACTTTTGGCAAATTGTAATTAATTGCAATTACAAATACAATTAAAGTTACAATTACAAGTACTTTTGTGTCCAATGTAATTGTAATTGTAACGAAAGGAGTAATTGAATTACAAATGAATTACAATTGATGATCTTGTAATTAATTACCGCCTCAATTACAATAAAAGTAATTCAATTACTTTTAATTACTTGTAATTAATTACTTAACAACACTTTTTTCAGGAGATACAGTAATTTTTTCGGTGAAGGAAATCTTATCTAGACCAATAAAAAAAAAATTTTTTTAATGACATATTATGTAGATAAGTTCATTACACTTGCTGACTAAGGAACAACCTACCGGAAAGTTTACAAGCGCGATGAATCGAATAAAAAATGCACATATAGCTATCGTTACATCGGAATTTAAACGTGTAATAATATTCATTAAATTAATGGAAATTATCGGGCTTTTTGTATGGATAAAAGTGCTAAAATAATCGTTTTATTCGGCTAGTTGGGTCAATGGAAAATTCAGAAATAATGGGGTGATTTAGGTACTCACCTGCAGAAACAAGACCCTGTACAATATTCACCATATCCTTAACTTCCTTTTTAAAAAACTCATTTTCTGGTTCAGGTTTTATTTCTAAATCTGTGCAAACAAATTAAGGAATAATATCGACTAATTTTCTAGCAAATAAAACACCAATTTCGCCACATAATACATGTGTAAAAATGCAAATAAAACACCAATTTCACCCCATAAAATAGATGTGTAAAAATGCAAATAAAACACCAATTTCACCCCATAAAATAGATGTGTAAAAATGCAAATAAAACACCAATTTCACCCCATAAAATAGATGTGTAAAAATGCAAATAAAACACCAATTTCACCCCATAAAATACATGTGTAAAAATGCAAATAAAACACCAATTTCACCCCATAAAATAGATGTGTAAAAATGCAAATAAAACACCAATTTCACCCCATAAAATAGATGTGTAAAAATGCAAATAAAACATCAATTTCACCCCATAAAATAGATGTGTAAAAATGCAAATAAAACACCAATTTCACCCCATAAAATAGATGTGTAAAAATGCAAATAAAACACCAATTTCACCCCATAAAATAGATGTGTAAAAATGCAAATAAAACACCAATTTCACCCCATAAAATATATGTGTAAAAATGCAAATAAAACACCAATTTCACCCCATAAAATAGATGTGAAAAAATGCATAATGCAAAAGCGCAATAAAATCAACTTACCCCTAAAACAATAAATCGAATTCCGCTAAATTTTCTTCTTTAAAAGAATTTTAAAAGAGTTTTATCGCGACTTTACGAGCTCCATTCGACTAGCAACGCGTTCGACTAAATTACTGTTATAATACAAATTTAATATTTTGTCAGCGAAATTCAGGAGCTGCTCGTAAAGTTCTTGATATGCTTTATTTATGCCATTTTACCTGCATTAACAGCCAGAAATTCTACACTACATTTTCAACAATAAAATCGCCGCTACAAAGTTTTATTTATTCATCCACACCTTCGGAGTACCTCCAAGTTTTGTTAATAAATTAAAGAACCCCCTGTATATAGGGTTAATTAATTAAATAACGCGATTTATTGCGATGTTTGGCTAATTGGATATCCAATTAGTCAAACCGCTATTAGTCTTCGGAAGAATTTAAAGCGAAAAGAGAAGTAATAATAAGTAACAGGCATTAATAACGGTTTCGATTTTTAATTTGTTCCAACCAACGTGAATAAACTCGAAAATTGCGACTCCCATTAAAAAATATTCCAAGCATACAGCTACATCTAGTTTGTACTAAACGAACTAATGGGGTTTAGTAATGCAGGAAACTTCGTTTTGTTTAACAAAAAAATCATCATTCTTTACAATTGTGTCAATTAAAATAGATCTACAGTAAATATGTAATTTATATCTTTCATATTTACATAATCTGATATATCTTATCACTCCACTTTCAAGTAATCTTTATATTTGTGTACCTTTTCGTGCGCATTACAGAGATATAAAGAATGTTATTAGTTTTAAAGTGATGGAAAAAAAAAGGATACATTCTAACATCGATGGTATCGATTGGGGGGGATCCTCTAATTTCCCCGTAAATTTCGCTACTTCTTTCCTAAGGTCATGGAAAATGCTATAATAATTGGGCAGATCGATGTCTTTCCTGCACGCCTCTGGATGCAAACATTGCCTTAAAGGCAATTGTCCATCAGTCACTAGCCTAAATCCAGAATTGTGAGGATCTGGAAAAAAAATATAAATTATGAATTGTGCCGGGAAACGCCTTATGGAGACGATAATGGAGGTGATAAAAGTGCAGTCGAAGGCAGGAAAAAGTTGTTGGTTTGGTAAATAAAGTGGTTTAAAATTGATTAATCCCAGTAGGAATTTAAATCTATGAAAATCGTGTGAATGAGATGTACAACAATTTGACATTATTGATTCTATGTCACTTTGAAGGTTAACAAAAGCTGTCAAAATCAGTTGTGAATATTGATCAAAGATTTGCTTTAAAATCGATCAAAAAATGGATTTGAAGCACTTTTGAAGCAATAACAAATTCTGTAGGTTTGATATCAGCACGATGAAACTTCTGAATGATCGATTTTAAAGCAAATCTTTGATCAATAATCACAATTGGTCAAATTTAAACCTCTTTATTTACCAAAGGAAGAACTTTTTCTTGTTTTCGACTGCAGTTTTGTCATCTCCATTGTTCTATTTCCTTTTCACTTTCAAGGTTAACAAAAGCTGTCAAAATCTGTTGTGACTATTGATCAAAGATTTGCTTCAAAATCGATCATTCAGAAGTTTCATCGTGCTGATATCAAACCTACAGAATTTGTTATTCCTTCAAAAGTGCTTCAAATCCATTTTTTGATCGATTTTAAAGCAAATCTTTGATCAATAGTCACAACTGATTTTGACAGCTTGTCAAATGTCAAATGTCAAATTGTTGTATAGCTCATTTACATAATTTTCATGGTATTGAATTCCTACTGGGATTAATCAATTTTGAACCTCTTTATTTACCAAAGAAACAACTTTTTCCTGCATTCGACTGCAGTTTTATCATCTCCATTATCACCCTGTACACTTACCAATATGTAATGTATTGCAATAAACTTCGAAATCGCAAATGGCCTCTTCGAGCTGCTTGCCGGTGGATTTGATAATATCATCAGTTAACACAGATTCCGATGTTACTTCGGTGGATAGAAAATTTTCGTTAATATCAGCTACTTGAGGTCGAACGGTGTATTGTTGGACACCTGCTACCTGGTAACAGATAAATATATCCGATTTATTAACAATTTACTATTGAAAAATATATACAAACTTTGAGTGTATAAGTTACCAAATAATTTATTTTTAATTACAGTGTATTCAGGTTTTGTAATCGAACGCAATTTCGAGTAATTGCTTCTGAAGATACATTTTTTTTGTCTTATACTAATCCAACGAAATGAGGATAAAATATGAGAAGTAATATTGATGTTGAAATGGAGATTATGTAATTTTGTAGATATGTAATTTGTTTGTAAGGAACGAGTTAATTTTTCGAGATAGGAAACGGAAAGTATTAAGTATAGGCGCATTTCGAAGTATAGAGGAAATAATTAAAGTGATATTATAGAGAACAAAGTTCGATTGGAATTTACCTACTTAAAACTTTTCGTTTCGTATCTAAATTTTTTTATTTCTCAAATTAAAAGTAGATACAGGAACGGTATTTTTAAAGTTAATTATTTTTTTCGAAACGCTTAATTATGCCCAGGGTTAATGAAGAACAATTACAATGCATTTTTTATGTATTCGAGTGACGAAAACAATTCATATTGTATGTTGATTTTCGACTAATTTCACCACTTTCATGTAAAGTTCATTTGGTAACCAAATGAGTTCTTGTTAGATTGTTGTTTTTTTTGGTTTTTCGGTTTTTGTGCTAACATCGAGTTTTGAAATAAAACATTCTCTGCTGAACGCCTAATCGCGAGAAAGAGAAATTTAGATTTTCTATCATTTTCCAAGTACTCTCTTCAATTACCTGCCATTTAAAAACGTTTAGAATTATTCTACAGTGAACATTTCTGCATAATTATACGCTGAATCGTTTAGAAAACGATTATGAAATTCTTTAATTATCTATACAACTTTACAGAATCCAGATTGAATTTTAGTTTAGTTATTTTATTCAAAATAATTCGCTCGTCAGTAGCCTCTAACTGTCAAGTTATCATTAATTGCTTTACTCAACCACAACGTCAATAACAAGTTAATTAACTTTAAGTTATTATTGATAAATTGACGCCGAATCCTCCTTGACCAAAGACCATTTTCTTGTTTTCTATTATTATAATTATTGCAACACCATTTTGTCCAATTATAGAAAGCGGAGTATCCGAACTCTGCCACAAAATGCAGGTAGTCATTATGGGTTGTTCGAACTCTGCCAGGTTTTAAAATTTTAGGGATTAAGTATTAAACCCGTAGGGGTCTAATTGTTTAATCCGATTTAACAATTTCATAATATATTTTCAACGTATATTTGTAACAAAAAATAGATGTACATTTTAATAAAAATATACGTTTAAATCCAATAACACACTATAATAAATTAGACAATATTTGGGTGTGCTTTACAAAGAGTTATTAAAATGGGAATGAAAACTATCACAAGAATTAGTTGTCCTCTTAAAAAAGACTGCATTGTTTGCCCAAATATGTGGTGGAAATATCGAATTTTGTTTTTTATACGTTTTATTGACATAATTGTGAAATTATATAGCTCTCTTATCGTTTGGAAGCAAAAAATGTAGTTCGTTATTAAAAAATTCAACAACTTCCTCAGGTCTAAGATACATCATTCCAAAATGTACTTTTAAGTAGTCGCCAATTACTCAATCTTTCTGTATGTACTCTTGTACCCAATGAAACTCCAGAATCTTTCGAAACCAAGCTTGACAGAGATGAAATTTACAACCAAAAATAATTTGATATCTACCAAAACATTCATATGATGAATGTCATCATTCGTTATGAATGCTTAGTTCAAAATCTACTACGACTTCTTTGGGTTGAAATTTTAAGTTTTATTTAGGTAATATTATAATAAACCCTAATGACCCTAATAGGATTAAACTTAATGGTCGTGGCAGAGTTCGAACCATTCAGTAATCCCCAAATTGATACAATTCAGGTAACATTTTATTTTGTGGCAGAGTTCGGATATGCCCATAGAAAGTACCTTTTTTTATTTACAGTAAAAAAACCGCACTTGTTATCGTGTATTACGTCACATCTACCGTGTCGCTCAAAAAGAAGTTAAATAATACTCAAAGAACTTTGAGAAAAGAAAATTATCATTGTGGGAAAAAGAGGAATATTTTTGAGTAAACTGAGTTTATTTCATCCTTGAATTGGTGCTTTTAAAACATTAATTAATTATTCCAGTTGGTTTTTATTGATGGCCAATTCTGTTTTTACCAAGACTTGATTAGTTAATTAGTTTTCAAAATTATTGTACCTACCTACGTTATAGATATTATTTTAATTGCCACTAATATAAACTACAACTTTAAAGTTAACTAGCTTAATTAGTTTTATCGAAATCTATAAAACAGTAATTTTTGTGTAATATATTTTGATTGAAGGATCTTATCATGGGAAAGTAATTTGTTTGCGATATATTCTCTAAATATACACGTCACAAAGTACAAACCTTGGACGGTAGAAAAAAAAAGGTAAGTAAAAACGAGTCCATTAATTACTGTAATTTTTATCAAAAGACGATTACCTGGTAATTAGTAATTTGCTATCGACGAACAAAATAAGTGCTTTAAAAATACGCTAAAAAAGTTTTAAAACAGCATAAATCGTAATTACATATTGTCGACGTCGCTGTTGCATGTTTAAATAAAATATTAGGAAACCTTTCGAAATGGAATACAAAATTGGAAATCTCACTTTTGTACTAAAAAAATTCCGAAATATCTGGAGTTTCTATTAACCAAAGATAACTCTCGAAATGGAATACAAAATTGGAAATATTTCTGCTCACTTTTGTACTAAAAAAATTCCGAAATATCTGGAGTTTCTATTAACCAAAAAAACTCTATTTTTCGACTTTGAATCAAAAACTTTACCTTGGACACTTGCCTACCTTCTGGAAAAAAGACATTTGCATATTTGATAGCATTTAATTTTCCCCATTACTTAGCGAAATTAACTATTCTATGTTAATAAAATGGACATGATCAACAACCGCTTTTTACCTGCATTTACATAAAAAAAGTACATTTCTATACCTCACATAAAGATTCCCATTCCCACGACAATAATAAAAAAAAATTATTCTCTCTTGAAATAATTACCTAATTCTTGTTTTTCATGTAAACCTTTTGGTTAAAAGATAGGATAAGACTACCCCCTTGCAGGTACTAAAAATGATTTATACCTGCAAAAATTTATGAATTTGCTGTATTGAATTCTATATTTTACAATTCTAAGTGTGTATGGAATATAAATTTATTTGTCGATATATTTATTAGCAATTTTTATCATTACCTGCTAGAGTTAAACAGTCGAAATAAGAAATATTTAAATAACCATTTAATGGTCGCCGTTTGGAAATGTTTAAATAATTAGTAATGTTATCTATAAGTTTAATAATAAGCGGAATGGGAGATTTAAGAATAGAATTGTTATAGCTCATTACATATATTTGCTGTTAATAAAGCATTAGCTTAATGTTACTTAATGTAATGACAAAAAAGAGGAAGTTAATGAGGTAAATAAATTTAGATGAATAAACATATAACTATATTGAAGAGATGAGGTATAATCTCAACATTCTATTAACAATATTTCAATGAAATTAATGAATTTGTATACCAACAAATGATTTGTTTGTATGGTTTCCATTCTACATGAGGGCATCAATTAAAGAACCAACACCATATGGGCTCTAACAACATCTAATCGATTAAAGAAAATGCTTATATTTTAATATGTATAGTGGTAAAAATATTGTGACCTCACTGAATGAAGTTTTTCTCTTCAATTATTATCATATCCGAATGATTTATGAAACGATGATTCTAAAACATTATTCAGGAACTTGAATTTTAGTGAAACGAAAACCAGATAATTACCATGAAATGCTAGCAGCAAAAGGAACTACAATATTGAATTTTTTTTTCATACAAAAACCATAAACATTTTTATTTTCGTTAATTTCGTAATTTTAATTACGATGTATCCATCCGAGGACGGTGAGTTGGATTTTATACACAACTATTATAAAATTATATCTGTTAGTTGATGAGCTTTTTATTCAATAATATACTGCTCTACAAAAGTTTAGGAAGTTCACAAATATTGTGGGATTAATTTAAAAGTTGCAGGTTTTTTGATCGCCAAATTTAGTATGAGTTGTAGAGGTAGGAGCAAAAAATCATTTCAGATATGAGAGAAAACATTTAATTTCGCATATTTGATAATTTGGTGGTCAAAAAGTCTTAAAATAATCGCAAATTTTGAGAACTTCCTTAATTTTTATGGAGCAGTTTATCTTCATACATCCTTTTCGATCCTATTTATTTAAATCCTGGTTATCTAGATGCAAAAAAAATCATCAAAAATTTCAATTCCACCAACAACATCCTTCGAATCGCCCAAAATAACCGCAAATTTTACAAACTTTCTTAACTTTTGTTGAGCAGTTTATCATCTTACATCCTTTTCAATCCTATTTATTTAAATCCTAATTATCTAAATGCAAAAAAATCATCAAAAATTTCAATTCCACAACAACATCCTTCGAATCGCCCAAAATAATCGCAAATTTAGCAAACTCCCTCAACTTTTATGGAACAATTTATCTTCATACATCCTTTTCAATCCTATTTATTTAAATCCTAGTTATCTAAATACAAAAAAAAATCATCCAAAATTTCAATTCCACAACAACATCCTTCGAATTCGAATCAAATTTTGCAATTTCTTATGGAGCAGTTTATACCAGCACTCGATACTAATTACAAAAATTCACCAAAACCCGATTTGTCGATGAACAATCTCTTCGGTTTTTTTCTGGCATATAAAAACACTTTTCGGGCGGCGACAAATCATCAATTTAGCCGACTATTAAGAAATGTTGCCAGTAAATGCATCGACCAATGGAACATTGTGGGCCCGAAAGCAATCCGATACTTTAAATTACCGAGAACGATTTCATTGAAAGTGGGCGTGTTGTTTTCACTCGAAAGAATTGTTACCCAGGCTAATTTTTTCTTCGATATATTTGCGAAAAATCATTCGCTAAATAGGTAATTTTTTTACATTCATTACAGGTTATTGGTCACTGGATTTATAGATAATAGAAAAACGAATATAAGAGTAATCGAAACCAAGCGATTTTATCCAAATAAATAAAGCTTTAGAAGCAATTATACTCTGTTTAAATAGTTTAAATATTTTTTTCAAAATTGTTGTAAAATTGCCGTGGGTTTATTTTGTGTCTGTAAACGAAATAAATAATTGCAAACACGTTTTTTAAGTCGTAAAATGCAGGTTTTTTTTTTGAATTATCTTGTCGGGAATCTTGCTCAATAACTCTGACATAGATTAAAGTGTATATCTAGTTGCTAGTTTTGGTAAACATTTTCTGTTCTGAATGTATGTTCAAAATGTACCGTCCAAAGTTTAAAATAAACTAGTTCATGATGCTATTTAGATTTAAATTAAATACGAAAATCCTATAAAGTTTATAAGATAATAGTAAAAATTAGACCCCTAATAAATTTCAATTTAATGAAACCTGTATCTACCCTATACAAAACAATTCATTAGATATACCTAGAGATTCTTCTTTTAATTATTAACTATGTTTCATTCTAAATGGAAATGAATTTATTTAAATTTTTATCAATTTCATACATCTCGAGCTCCGCTGTATATTTGAGCGATTAAATCAAAAAAATGAATTTTAACAAAGTTAATTGGTGGAAAAAAATCTTGTTTTGGTTAATTAAAATTTTATTTTAACGCCGCGATGCTTTCGTTTGAGACGATTTTGGGTATATATCGCAAAAAAATATAAAAATTTTAGTAGATAATCGAGTCGAAATTAAATTTATTAATATTTATAATTCTTATATGATAGTAAAATTCCCTTTAATGCCTATTGGGAATTCATAAAATTCGTGAAATTCATAAAAATTCATAATTTTCGGTTATCTATTGTAATTACAGAAGATGTTTATCCTCGACATACCAATTAAAATTTTCATATAATAAATTTAAAGGTTTATTTTAATATATAGTTGATTCCTTTTTAATTGTGATCAAATATAAATAAATTAAAAATAACTTCTGATGCCAATCTCATCTCGATTATTATGCCTAATTTTTTTTTTTCATTTACATTTTAATCCGATTTTCTTTCATATCAATCTAACTTCAGATGCATTATTCGAATCCCTGCTACAGATAAATCGATTTATCTTATCAGAATATAAAAGGATATTTATTATTTCTTTAAAAAGTCAAACTAATATATTTCAAGCAATTACATTCTGGTTAAAATTAATTCCCAAAATAATGCGATGTTGTCATTTCTAGTAATTTTAAATGAAGTTAGAATGTTAGTAAAATTTCTTGTAAAACCGTTATCAGTCCAATGACTGTATAAAATGCATATTTTAGGCTGCGGTTGAAGATTTTACAAATTGGGAATTTATATGCTTGTTATACATATTATTATTAGATTTATTTTATTATAATTACAAGTTCTATATGAATCATTTCGATATCTTGTATATACTTGTGTGAACATGAAGGTATAATATACTGCATGAAAATCCGAAAGTAGGTTTTGAATTTTTTAATAGTAGAAAGTATAATTTGATTGCATTTTTTTTATTCATTTTTAATGGTTTCCTAGCGGTTTTGATAAACAAGCTCAACAAGTAGCACGAAAATTTTAGAGGCAAAATTATTATCCTCGAGCGCTCATTCTAAATTTTTTTTTGTAGGAATTTATTTCAATAATAATATTATAAATAGAATTATTTATTAACTTCCTATTTGCTTATTTTTTATACAGTTATAGTGAGGCCCATTGGAACATTTTAATTCCAGAAATTTAAAGTAATTATATCTCAAGATTTCGCCCAAATTTAGAGCTTGTTGGTCTACTCTAGGTAAGGTAAAATGCCTATTTCGAAATAATAAGAGGTATTAAATACTCTAAACTGCATAAAAGAAGTTAAGTACATGGGATAAAGTTTATGAGCCAATGCAATTTACTTTTAAGTATGGATTAGAAAGTTTATTAAATGATGTAAATTTGTGCAAATAACGGAGAAGTATTCACTAATATCCTTCCCCTATTCTCGGTTGAAAAGGTAAAAATTGCATATCTGATAAGCTAAATAAATAATTCTAAGGAATATTTCGTTGTGTAGAGAAATTGATATCGGAATTTTTACCTATTACATCTCTTAAATATGAAAAATTGCGACACCAGTAAAAAAAAACGGATTAAAATCCCATTAGAAAGGAAGATTTCTCATTTTTTTTACTCACTCTGGATTTGTTTAAAACTAAAATTCGCATATCATCTTTACATACTTATAGCGTTATTTAAAACCTAATGGAAATGCAGGTAAACATCTCCAGAAATTACAACGCGATGTAAATAAACTCACAGGAAGAAAAATTGAACCCTTACCTTGTTTTGAACAACATCCACGATAATATAAACAAGAAGAACGATTTCTTGTTCATCGGACCCCATCAGGGGGCCCTGCAGGCCCGCCGTCGTTACATACAAAACGCATATATAATGGGGCCCTATCATCTTCAATCCTTTGATACTCATCAGCTTCGATAACAATCGCCCGAAACCGATTTAACATGAACATGGCATTTTCTCAATTGTACCATTACAAGTCCGACATGTTGCCACGTGACACCTGTTTGATTCGCGCAGGTATAAGTCGGTTCCGTTAAAAATATATCCAAGTCTAAAAATCGAGTTTACTTTTGTGTGTATATAAAATAAAATAGATCACAGTTAATTAGTTAGTTACACTCCAACGAGTTTGTCAACAATAAACATATCACAAACACATCGGATTCGATTCTTCTTCTCGATGAAGAACAAGAAGAAGGATTGGATTAAAAGGATCACTTCGCGCGCACGATTACTTCGAATTCGAATTGGGAAATTACCGGGAAAACCGTCGTGGAAAGTCGCCGATTTAAACTAAAAACGATCACAGCCTGGCAAGTATTTAGTATTTGTCGAGTCGTTTATTAATCCAGCGATTTGTTTCGAGGTGTCTGCCCATGGGCTGGTTACACCGTGTGTTCGACGAGAGACGGCGTTTACGTTTACCTGAAAACGAGGCGACCAATCGCCGTGCAGGTACAGTCTCGGCTAGGTAACTAACTAACTAACTAACTGTATATGTACCTTCGCTCTTCGTTCGGCGAGCGTTCGACATTGTATTCAATTCGAACAGTCGATGGTTATATAATTAGATATCGGACTCTCTCGGTTGCCGCATGGTATATATTTTTACCTTTTTTTTTATTATTTACAGTCCATCGGGGAGAACCATTCATGGGACCGTTCTTGTAAATGTATTTAAATGTGCATAGGAAATATGGCAAGGTTGATAATAGAAAATAGAGCTTCATCCACCTGTTGATGCGAGTCAGTTAGAACGCTCCAGAATCATTTAGAACTGTCTAGAATCATTTAGAACTCGCCTAAGAACAGTCTAGAACGCTCCAGAGTCAGTTAGAAATCATCTAGTACAGTCTTAAACGGTTCAGAATCAATTAGAACGCTTTAGAATCATTTGGGACTGTCAAAAACTCATTTAGAACGCTCCAGCATAAATTAGAACTGTCTTTTAAACCATTATGAAACGTCCAGAATCATTAAAAACAGTCTAAAACCATTTAAAACTATTCAGAATCATTTAAAACTGTCAAAAACTCATTTAGAACGCTCCAGCATAATTTTGAACTGCCTTAAACCATTTTGAAACGTCCAGAATCATTAAGAACTCATTTAGAACAGTCTAAAACGGTCCTGAGTCAGTTAGAACTCATCTAGTACAGTCTAAAACGGTTCAGAATCAGTCATAACGATGTAGAATCATTTGAAACCCATCTAGTACAGTCTAAAACTGTTCAGAATCAGTAATAACGCTCCAGAATCTTTAAGAACTCATCTAAAACAGTCTAAAACGGTCCAGAAACCATTTTGAAACGTCCAGAATCATTTTAAAACAGTCTAAAACCATTTAGAACTCTTCAGAATCATTTAAAACTGTCAAAAACTCATTTAGAACGCTCCAGCATAATTTTGAACTGCCTTAAACCATTTTGAAATATCCAGAATCATTAAGAACTCATCTAGAACAGTCTAAAACGATCCAGAATCAGTTAGAACGCTCTAGAGCTTCATCCACCTGTTGATGCGAGTCTACCAATAGTAATTTGGATGTATTTAGCTGATATATTATCGAATTGTTGCAGATAGATTGTGTTGTTTCGTGGAAAGTGAGTTCTTACCTGTGGTATAACAGTAGATTCGAGTAGTTTTATACAAAAAGAGAAGAGTTATAAACGCTGAAACGGTTATATGGCGGCTGAAATAAGGATAAAAATTAGCCGGAGAACGAACAGTACCTGTAATAAAAAGAAGGAATGTAAAAATTTCAAGCACTAAAGGCGCGATTTGAGTCTTAAGAATGCGGTGGAAAAATTGCAAATTTCGTAAAGGAAGATGTAAAAAAATGAGTTTCTAAAGCAATTTTTGAATCCAGGTACCTTAAAGGACTAAACCAAAGTTTACCAAAATAAATTACAAAATACAATCAACATTTCAGGTTGAAAAAATAACCACCTGGTATACTAATTTTTCTGTACAAAAGGGATTAAGTAATTTAACCTATCGTGCAAACTAAGAAAGTAATACAAGGTATTATACGTAAAGTAATTGGGCAATTACTGTTGAAACAGTGGAAGAAGGTTTAACCAAAATCGTACAGAAGCATAAAAAAAACGAAAAAGAAGATTACAATATTGGATTCTTGAATAAATCAACAAGAAAAATTCGATTTTGTTTTGCCCTAAAATCAAAGATCCAACAATAAAAATATACAGGATGTCCTCACGAAATTTTATAAAAAAACTTGCATCAGAGAAACATAATTGTATACATTTATAACCTTCTTAAACGAAACGAATTTCTAAAGATTTCTAAATGGTTTTAGACTGGTTTAAAATGATTCTGGACGTTACAAAATGGTTTTAGACAGTTCAAAATTATGCCTGGAGCGTTCTAAATGGATTTTGACAGTTCTAAATGATTCTGAAAAGAGTTCTAAATGGTTTTCGACTGTTTTTTAATGATTCTGGACGTTTCAAAGTGGTTTAAGGCAGTTCTAATTTATGCTGGAGCGTTCTAAATAGTTTTTGATAGTTCAAAATGATTCTGAAGAGTTCTAAATGGTTTTCGACTGTTTTAAAATGATTCTGGATATTTCAAAATGGTTTTAGACAGTTCAAAATTATGCTGGAGCGTTTTAAATGAGTTTTTCACAGTTCTAAATGATTCTGAAGAGTTCTAAGTAACTAAAGAACGTTCTAAATGATTTTAGACTGTTTTAAAATGATTCTGGACGTTTCAAAATGGTTTCTGGACCGTTTTAGACTGTTTTAGACGAGTTCTTAAAGATTCTGGAGCGTTCTAAATGATTTTAAAGCGTTCTAGACTGTTCTAGATGAGTTCCAAATGATTCTAGAGCGTTATGACTGATTCTGAACCGTTTTAGACTTACTAGATGGGTTTCAAATGGTTCTAGAGCGTTCTAACTGATTCTGAACCGTTTTAGACTATTCTAGATGAGTTCCAAATGATTCTAGAGCGTTCTAACTGATTCTGAACCAAACACACCTCACATACATCTCCAGCGATATTCGATCCTCGTTCGACCTAAATCCGTCCTAATCGAAGCCCAACAAAAAAATACAAATAATAAAATTCACGTTTTTCTCGCATTCCGGAACTACAAGAAGACACGTACGGTCTCGGGGCCCGATGAAATGGTGAGTTTGTCGGTTCAACGTTCGCTAAGAAACGGTCATTGCCTGGTATCTTGTCAGCCGAGTCTTTTTAGGAGCACCATCAGCACCGGTACATTCGGCGTTAAGTGTTACCTTGCTGGAAGACCTTGCCGTAAATGTCTTTTATATATTGCGTGTATAAAGCGAGAGGTGGTCGCGGAAAATCCCGGCGCCATATCATGCGAACCGTTTTTTATTCGTTACTTATATATACATTTCATTCGCTAATTTTATTATCTAAAATCAATTTTTTAACTCTAAAGAGTATTTACCATGTTTTTTGTAGATAGAAGGGTAGGGTGGTGAGTTCTCGGCCTGATAATGGAAGACCGCGATTTGCTGTTGAAAAATTGCATTATTCTTTTTGTTATGTCGAAATCTTTAGTTTGGAACGGTTCTAAATGATTCTGGATTGTTCTGTATGGTTTTGGACTGTTTTAAATGGTTCTGGAGCGTTCTATATGGTTTTAGACTGTTTTAAAACGATTCTGGACGTTTCAAAATGGTTTAAAGCAGTTCTAATTTATGCTGGAGCGTTCTAAATGAGTTTTTGACAGTTTTAAATGATTCTGAAGAGTTTTAAATGGTTTTAGACTGTTTTAAAATGATTCTGGACGTTTCAAAATGGTTTAAGGCAGTTCTAATTTATGCTGGAGCGTTCTAAATGAGTTTTTGATAGTTCAAAATGATTCTGAAGAGTTCTAAATGGTTTTCGACTGTTTTAAAATGATTCTGGACGTTTCAAAATGGTTTAAGGCAGTTCTAAATTATGCTGGAGCGTTCTAAATAAGTTTTTGACAGTTCTAAATGATTCTGAAGAGTTCTAAATGGTTTTAGATATTGTGGGATTGCAACTTTCTTACTCTAACCGCTGTTATTTTTATTATATTTCTTTGTTCAACTCATAGAATTGTCCATATTGGTCCCGATTGGTCTGTAAACTAATTAAAAGAACTTTCCAATGGTATGTTGAATTGATTAAAGGATTAAAGTTGAGGATTAAATTGATAGGCAACATTTAAAACAAATTATAAATTTTATTGATCTAATAAAATCGATTGAAATAATTGAAGCACATGTAGCGATAAAATACTATAATTGTTAACAGTATTTTGCTTAAAATTAAAATAAAATAACAATAACTTTGGCGAAATAAAATACTGTTCGATGAAACAATTTGGAACATCTACTATATTTGGATTAAAAATATTTGGCATTAAACTACTACAAAAAAAAAATAGTTTCGAAAAGAACATTCTTCCAATGCTGTTTATAAAAAAATGTATACTGTATATTATACATAAAAATTGCAAAAAAATGTGCGCGTTAAAACCTAAAACAAAGTATAAAAATTTATCTTTTCTATAATACGAAAACAACATATTTTAGTGGCCAATTAACGATTAAAAATAATTGGAAAAATGTCTCGAAATACAACAATAATTATCAACAATTACATTGATAAAAAGCATGCACTGATCTATTCAGTTTCAACAGCTAACTAACCAACAATTAATTAACTATAAATATTATTCAATTGCTGTGTACATCTAATAAACGTAGCCCTCCGCGACAATTCCTTGATCTTTTGGGCCCCCGTATAAGTGCAAGCACTCCGCAGACCTCCGAGAATATCTTGAACAGTATTTTGAACATCCCCCTTATAAGGAACCTCCACAGTCTTGCCCTCAGACGATCTGTATTCAGCAACACCGCCTGTAAATAAAATTAACTACAGAACTCGCACACAAAAAGGGTGAAAAGGTGAAAAGTTCTCGGTCAGAATCGTTTAGAACTCGCCTAGAACAGTCTAGAACGGTCCAGAGTCAGTTAGAACTCATCTAGTACGGTATAAAACGGTTCAGAATCATTTAGAGCGCTCTAGAATCATTTAGAGCGTTCCAGAATCATTTAGAGCGCTCCAGAATCATTTAGAACGCTCTGCAATCATTTAGAACTCATATAGAACAGTCTAGAACGCTCCAGAATCATTTAGAACTCATCTAGAACAGTCTAGAACGCTCTAGAATCATTTAGAAACCATCTAGAACAGTCTAGAACGCTCCAGAATCATTTAGAACTCATCTAGAACAGTCTAGTGCGCTCCAGAATCATTTAGGACTCATCTCGAACAGTCTAGAATGCTCCAGAATCATTTAGAACTATCCGGAACAGCGATTTATCGCGGTGTTTCATTATCAGGCCCAGAACTGTCCACCATAGGTAATGCATTCTCATGTACCAGCGTGTTTCTCCATGGCCGTCGACGAAGACATTCCGTAGAACAGTTTGAATTTCCTGCCGTCTTTCTCGATCAATTCGCCGTCGCACTCGTCGTGACCGGCGAACATGCCGCCGGCCATTACGAAATCCGCGCCGGCCCCGAACGCTTTGGCAACGTCGCCGGGACAAGTACAACCGCCGTCCTGTAAAAATTATTCGATCAAAAAAACGGCCGTTTTGCTCCATTTTCGGTCGTTTCTACGAGTCGAACAAAGATAGGTTGTTAAAATGACAGTTGTCAGTTGTCAGAGTGAAAAGTTGCAACGACACAATGTGTCACTCTCGTCTAATTGTAGTTGTCTTTATCGCACCCATGGGATATATAACCTATTGTGGCAATCAAAAATGGAGCAACCTGTATATTTATGTGGTGTAAGATAAGTTGATTTTAGAACGTACGGATATAATGTGGCCCTGTAGCCCGTGAGCGGCGTCTGCGCATTCGATGACAGCTGACAGTTGAGGATAGCCCACTCCGGTTTTCATTCGAGTCGTGCAGACGGATCCCGGACCGATTCCGACTTTGATCACATCGGCTCCGGATAGGATTAATTCTTCCACCATTTCTCCCGTTACGACGTTACCGGCCTTAAAGTTCACAAAATAAAAAAGATTATACAAGATTTACAACTCGATTCGTCGAGTAAGATAGAAAAGGACAGCTATCAAAATTCCAAACATGGCTGCCGTTTGACAGTTATTTTGACAGAAGTAAATGTCAAGCTCCTTCAAACGCGTACATTTAATCTAAATTTTAACTTAACATTTCTGTTGTGTCTCATTTTTGTTCGATTGTGGGTTTATTGGTTAACAATGTGACGAGTTTATACAAGTGTTTAATAAATTTTCAGCAACATTTGAATGTCCCGCTTAAAAAAAATCCCAAAACAACATGGCGGACGATTGCGCTACTACTAGTGACTTTGCATCGAGTATTACCGTTAAATTTACGCAAATTTCTACTTCTAGATCTCACGAAACTCAACGTAAGAAGTATAATCAAGACATCTATCCATAAAATTATAACTTACGATGATAGTATGGGTGGGAAAAGCTGCCCTCACTCTTCGAACGTAATCCACGAAATGCTGGGAATATCCGTTGGCTACATCCAGACAGACGAACATCACGTCTGGAATGGCCTTTAATATTTCGGATAACCTCGCGAAATCCGCGTCGGACATGCCAGAGCTCACTGCGACGTTTTTCAGGCATTCCGGATTATCGGAGGCGAATTTTCGCCATTCCTCTACCGTGTAATATTTGTGTATGCAAGTGAATAGGCCGTTCTGGAAAAGATAAGAAAATGTACAGTAGAGAAATGCGAGAGAATGAATATAAATGTGGATTACAAAAGTAGAATGAAAAGTTCTGAAGAGTGAACGGTTTTGGAGCGTTCTAAATCGTCCTAGACAGTTCTAAATGATTCTGGATTACCGTTCAAAATGACTATGGAATGTTCTAAAGGTTTTAGCAGTTCTAAATGATTCTGGAGCATTCTAACTGACTATGAAATGTTCTAAATGATTCTAGACAGTTCTATATGATTCTGGGGCGTTCTAAACAGTTCTAAATGGTTCTAGACAGTTCTAAATGATTCTGGAGCCGAGAACTTTTTATCCTACTCTTGTAAATGTTGAAAGCAAACAATTTATTTAAATAATGAGAAAGTTCTTTATAGGATATCCAATTGAGGATGAATTTCCCATTAAATATATACCTTTGATAAGGCTTTTGCCATGTTAAAGGTGCCCACAGTGTCCATATTTGAAGCCATGACAGGAACTCCATTGTAAGTTTGCTTTGAATTTCTAAATGTTATGTTCCTGTATAAATTCACCTGAAATAAATAAATATGTATTTATGGAAGGTAGAATGATCCTATGTTAATTAGTAATAGGATTGTGTTGAAATAATCACAAAGAACCATCCTTTTTTGGTTCAAAGATTGCTGTGACATCAGGATCAGGACATCATTTTATATGAATAAAAATGAATCAGTAAAAACTCAATAGACATAATAATCATTAAAAAAAAACACTTACATCATTTCTGCTTTTTATTATCGACCTTTTAGGCCTAAGAAGCACGTCTTTGAAATCCAATTTTATTTCATTGATTATGTTAGGCATCTTTTGTTATTTTATCGCGATGAAATAAAAATTAAAATAACTTTCAGCTGACTTTACTGACGTCAGGCCGAATCCCTTCTACCCGACACCCAGACACAAAAATTTGGCTAGACGAATTTACCGATTTTTTATTTATAGATTTGTCACTGAATTACTGAAAAACCGTGTCTATAAACCTTACTCCGTGTGTTTATTTCCCGTTTGTGTCGGTTAATTCAATTTTAAAGATTTGTATTTATTGTTATGAATTAATAGCTTCTTTTAATTTTATTATATTATGCAGGTATTATTTTCTATAGCATTTAGATATAAACAAGATTTCATTTAATTAAATTTACGGAAACGTAACTATAATCATTTTTTACTATAGTTATGCAACACATTTTACAACAATCAATCACAGTGGGTTGCCTACAAATGTCATTAATGTCAATGTCAATATTCGTCGATTCCTTTTTAGTTAGGTTATGTTTATGTTTGGTGCCTGCAAATGCACATGTAGCGAATTCGTTGCAAGTAAAACAAAGTTAATTTCGAACTTACAATAACATGGAGAAAGTCAAAATATTCGATAACATCATACGAACCATAAACGACGACGAAGAAGTGGAAGATCTATCAGAAAACAGCGATGTCGAAGTTGAGGTAATTCAACGCCCTATTTCGCTTCATAGTCGCATTTAACAGCTTAAATTAACCAATTGAATTAATCATTTCTCGCAGTTTCAACCGACCAAACAAAAATCCAAGGACAGAGCCGATTTCGACAACGACTTCAGTTTCGTGAGCTCCGTCGAAGAGTACAACAAAGACACCTGGAACGATTTAACCAAATATGTAAAACGCAAGGCTACGCAAAAAACGGACGATCGAATCAAAAAATTCCGAGGAACCCAAGCGGAAGAAGCGGAACCCGAAGATATCGAGCAAGACGAAGAATCCGACATATCCCTATCCGACGACGAACTAAAGCACGATCGGATAAGACTTAAAGAAAAGAAGAAGAAATCGAAAGCTCAAACGGAAGACGCCAACGAAGAATTCTTCGAAGATGTAGATTTCAATAACTCAGCAAACACCAGCTTCTATCAAATGAATTTATCCAGGCCTTTACTAAAAGCAATCGCCGAGATGAAGTTCGTTCACCCGACACCCATCCAATCTGCAACTATACCTGTAGCATTACTAGGTAAATTATTTAAAATTAACTAAATCAAACCACAATGATATTAAATCTAATCTTCTAGGTCGCGACATATGCGGTTGTGCAGCCACAGGCACCGGTAAAACAGCGGCCTACATGCTACCAGTTTTAGAACGATTATTGTACCGGCCGGTAACCGATACACCTCTAATCAGAGTACTAGTCCTAGTACCGACGAGAGAACTCGGCGTACAAGTCTACCAAGTCACCAAACGAATAGCCCAATTCACCGACATACAAACCGGCCTAGCCGTGGGCGGTTTGGATCTAAAAACCCAAGAAAACATTTTAAGAAAATGCCCCGACATCGTCATAGCCACGCCGGGAAGGTTAATCGATCACCTCAAAAGCACCCCGAGCTTCGCTTTAGACTCGGTCGAAGTGCTGATACTCGACGAAGCCGATCGCATGCTCGACGAGTACTTCGCCGAGCAAATGAACGAAATCATCAGGCAATGCTCGAGGAAACGCCAGACGATGCTCTTCTCTGCCACTATGACGGACGAAGTGGAGAGTTTAGCTGCAGTTTCGCTCACTAAACCCGTTCGATTGTTCGTCGATAGCAACCGAGATGTAGCCTTCAACCTGCGACAGGAGTTTATAAGGATCAGAAGTGATAATGAAATCGATCGGGAGCCTATTTTAGCAGCGTTGGTTTGTAGAACGTTCCGCGAGCATTGCATGGTGTTTGTGCAAACCAAAAAGCAGGCCCATCGGTTGCATATATTGTTGGGATTGTTGGGGTTGAAAGTAGCCGAGTTGCACGGGAATCTGACGCAACCGCAGCGTCTGGAGAATCTGGAACGGTTCAAAACTAAACAAGTGGATTTTTTGATTGCTACGGATGTGGCGGCGCGCGGTTTGGATATATCCGGAGTGAAAACCGTGGTGAATTTCGTCATGCCGGCTACCGTGGAGCATTACATACACCGAGTGGGTAGAACAGCCAGGGCTGGAAGAGCCGGAGTCTCCGTCAGTTTAGCCGGAGAGAAGGAGAGGAAGATCGTTAAAGATGTTATCAAACGAGCTAAGAACCCCGTGAAGAGCCGGATAATTCCGCAGGACATCTTGGAGAAGTATCGATCGAAGATCCAAACGTTAGAGGCGCAAATAAATCGAATATTGCAGGAGGAATACGAGGAGAGGATGCTGAGCAAGGCGGAGAATCAAGCCAACAAGGCCGAGAAGTTGCTCAAAGGGGAGAAACCCGACGTGAGGCCTTGGTTCCAGACCAAACAGCAGAGGAAGCAGGAAAAGGAGAAATTGAGTTTGAAAGGCGATTGTAAGAAAGTTGATTCTGGCAAAAGTAAGAAGAAGGACGTGAAGCGGAATAAGGACGATGCGCAGGGGAGGATCAACGAAGAGTTGAATAAAGTGATGCTCGTGCAGGCCCGTTTGGCGAAGAGCAAAAGCAAACAGAAGAAAATTAAGACCGTTAAAGACGACGGTGGTAGACGAAATGGAGTGGTTGCGAAGAAGAAGAAATCGTTCTTTTCGGATTTGGTGGATACCAGTCAGAAGAAGGCGAAGAAGTTGAGGTACGAGAGTAATTTTAAGCAGAAAATGAAGGGTAAAACGAAGAGTCCGAACAAGAAAAACAAGGCGTATGGTAAACCGCAACAAGGAAAGAGAAAGTAACGTTCGTTTTATTGACATTTCCTGTATATATTTACGTTAGAAGATAATAAATCGTTTTTGAAAAAAAATATTTTTATGTAGTAGTTCAAATATAGCGCCTAAATGTTTGTTGAAAAAAAGAAGAATTGACAACTGACATACGTATGTTAGGTTTCTTAGAAATAACCACGTTTAATCATTCAGTATTTGTCGGTACTTATTTGTACATTTATTCGTAATTATTTTCGTGTAGTTTATTGTAATGTAACGGAAATTATTATCGAAAACCGTTAAACTGGTTGCCTAAGTATAAGTTCATCTAAAAATTAGGGAAGTTTAATTTGGTTGGCAACAGTTGGTGGTATTTGGCATTGTTTGACATCAATGACCGATTTTGAGGTTATATCACAAACAATCTCTAAAATTAAAAATATTATCTACGTATGGAAATTTTCATACTAAATACAGTATAATCCTACCATTTTACGTTCATTTAAACTTCACTATATAACTAACCGTTGGTTCATTAGTAATTTTATCGTTGTTTACTACTAGGTCAACTAATCGATAATTAGTGACCTAATCAGTTGCTATTTTTAATCGGTAAGCACGGTCATTCAACTACCTGTAATACAATTCAAACTGAACTTTTTGCAGACCAATTCATAGGCATGTTTCGTTCAAGTCATGTCCTATACAGAACTGGAACATGGATATCAAGGTTTGCGTAAGGCTACCAGACCTGCACACTTCTATGTAGGGGCAGTAAGTAAACCCGCCTGTCTAATTTCTTTCTAGAACCACCGCCTATTCTCTCGATCGCGCTATTTCCCTTTAATTACCCAATGGAGGTGTTTAACGATGGAAGAATGGTCCCGTCCGTTCTCATCGAAGACGTTGATAATCCTTTACTTTCTTCACACTGGCACAGGGTATATTTTTTTTATTATATTTTTGTTTCTGTTGTATGTCCGATGTGTTATCTAATAACCGTTGGTTGGTTGGATTTTTGAATTTAATTTAAATGTATTTTGAATGTTGTTAACACGTTTAATTCTTGCGATAATGAAAGAAACTAAAAGTTCCTAGCTTTATATCAATCGGGGTTTTGCTATTTGAATGAATAAGTCTTCAGGTATTTAAATATAATTGCTCTATATGAAATAAAACTCTATAAATACTCCAATCATTACATAAAAATTTACCTTTTTATTATACAGGTTGCTCTTAATAACTGTAATTAACTTGTTGTGGTTGATTACTTCGTATGCATGTAAGAAACTTTAAATTCTTGGCAAATTAAGTGTATCTATAATAAAATTATTTACTGTTAAAATGTATCAAAACGTTGAAATACCTCTACTTGTGTTTGAATATAAACAGAAAATCTATTTTAATCGCTTCTATTTTCATTGTAATTTCCTACTTCACACTTGTAGAGATAACGAGTTGAATATTCTAAATTAAAAGGCTTACATATCTGGGTTTTATTCATCTGTATGTACAAAAATTATCAGAAAATCGTTAGTTTGATATATTTTTTTCCACCGCAATATACCAGTTTTCGAATACCTTTTTGCCAAGAGATTGTACCAAAAGTTCCGCCAGTTTCACGACGAAATTGTATTCAACAACTAGCGGATCAATTGGAGCGGAGCGGCGTTTAAATTTTAACCTTGGCGGATCATAAATGATAAACAAATATTAATTCAATATTGAATTAATCCGGGATGTAGATTGAATCAAACATATTACATTTTCGTGAACGTTATAAAAGTGATTAAGAGAAATGGAATGGGCTTGGTTGAAGGACTGGTGGAGACTCAAAAAGTGGAGGAAACATCGAAGAGTTAGCGCTTCGGAGTCTTTATGCTATTGTGATGATTGCTTTGGCAGTGAAGTGTGTATTTTTAATATATTTTTTTATATCAATGTTTAATGCTATAATTCCCAAACAACATAACGCTGTTATAAATCAATTCGATTACGGAAAGATTACAGAACAACGCAGTATAATTAATACTTTCAGTAGGTCAAGATTAACCGAAATATCTGCAATAAAATTTGCATTTTTTTTTTAATTCATGCTTCATAGGTAAATACTGCAAACAACGATATGATTAACAAACTCGGTGTTCTCTTAAAATTGTTGCTATGGAAATATTTATCGTTGAAATACTCGCATCAAAATTTTTTTGTAATCGTAAGTCATGGAAAGAACCAAATTGAAAGATTGGTGGTGTTTGAAAAAATGGAGAAAGTACAGAAAGGCTGCTGTGAATAAATCTGTATCGTTTTGCAACGAATCTTTCGAAGTGTGTAATGTATAATTATTTATTTATTATTAATATTTAATCTATCACAGGTGACTTGTGTTAAGATAATAACGAGAGTTGTTTTTCGAGTAACTTACCACATTATGTACAAATCCAATTGATTGTTTAATAATTTGTATTTTGCATTCGTCTTGCAGTAGTAGAATTATTTTTTTTAATTAATTAATGTACAAATTAAAGTTTATTCGGCTAACTTGATCACATCAACTACTACAGAACTGAGAATTTTAATAGCTTATTTTTATTTATCGTTACAAAATTTGACCTACAAACCTTCGAACTTTAATATCAGACATCCTTACATCGTCTAATTTAAATTTCGAATCTACAAAATTCGAAAATTACAACACTCTGTGAATCGTTTGTTATTTTCTAATGCTTCTATTTATTTTACTTGTTTGTTCATCTATCTCATTAATGTTGAACCTCAAATTTGCTTACTATATTGCTTCTTTCGTTTGCTTACTTTGTGTTTAATCAGATTAATTACCATTACATTCACTAATTAAGTTTTAATTCGACGATCCGCGTTCGATTTGTCGGTTTAATAGCAAATTTTCTCTGCAATGTTCTTCGATTTGGAATTAGATTTGGAGGTAGAAGTTTACAATTTATTCGAAACTAATGCATGTCGATTTTACCGGTTCATTTCCTCTCGTTTTTTGCACATTTTTATTAAGAAATCCTGATGCATTTGCACCGTGTAAAGGCTTTAAATTCGTTTTTTAGGGCGATTTAGAGTTATGCGATTCGAGCGATGTGAGCATCAGCCCCCAAGACATGGAGGAAGACGGGGGGAAGGTCGTTATCGTGGGGGTGTGCGCGATGGAGAAGAAAACCAAGAGCAAACCCATGAAGGAGATCCTCACGCGTTTGCAGGAATTCGAGTACATCAAAGTCACCGTTTTCGAAGAGGAGATAATCCTACAAGTGATTGGAATTTACTTAATTGCTTATTTAATTGATTTGATTGATTGTTTTGTAGAAACCGGTGGAGGAATGGCCGGTTTGCGATTGCCTGATATCGTTTCATTCTAAAGGATTTCCGCTGGATAAAGCGATTCAATACGCCCAAATTCACAATCCGTTCGTTATAAACAATCTTCACATGCAGTATGATATACAGGATAGGAGGAAGGTTTATTCTACGCTGGATTCCGAAGGCATCGAGATTCCCCGGTATGCTGTTTTGGATAGGGACAGTTTAGATCCGAAAAGTAAGAATAATCAATCGGTTATACAGGGTGTTCGTTAAATGAGTGTTGGTACTTTAGGATGTGAATGTTTGGGTGATTTTAAGAAGGAAAGTTTATGTTAATGTATGTCCTAAATCTCTTTGTTTGAGAGCTACAGGTTGTTATAATTTTGGGAAAAAAAGTTACTTTTCTATTTATTATCATAATTTTTTTATTACTGCAGATATTTTTAAGGAATTTTGTACACGCTTTTTAATTATTATGGAGCACTTTTTGAGGTGGAAGATTTTAAAAAAATTTTGCCAGTGACGTCCGTACGGGGTTTGAACTGAATATGTTTGAAGAAAAAATGGTACGCTACTGCTTTTTCTAAAAAACCAAAATTATTTTTAAAATCCTCATTTATTTTTGAGCAAATTCGGTCCGATGATTTACTTTCGTGCGACGCGCCGTTTTCGTGTAAAAAAATAAAAATAGAAACAATTTTTTCCCAAATTCATTTTGAAACTGCTTTTATTTTGTTGAAATTTGGTAGGCGCCCACAATGCATGGAAAATCTTTTTTTTGGGAGGCAAAAATTAATTTTCTACTATTACCAGTGACGTCTACCTTCGAAATTTCATAAAAATATCTGGAGTAATAAGAAAATTATGATAGAAAAACCTGTAGCTCTCAAACAAAGAGGTTTAGGACACATATTGATATAAACTTTTCTTCTCAAAATCATCCAAATATTCACATCCTGAAGTATCGCCGCTCAATAAACACCCTGTACAAATATATTTGCATTTAAACTACTTATCAACGGTTTTATTTCTTTTGTAGACCACGAATTGGTAGAATCGGAGGATCACGTCGAAGTAAACGGCGTGATTTTCAACAAACCATTCGTCGAAAAGCCAGTTTCAGCCGAAGATCACAACATTTACATATATTATCCCACTTCTGCGGGCGGCGGAAGTCAAAGGTTATTCAGAAAAGTGAGTTTGTTGATTCGAATTTTTCAAATTCTTCGTTCTGGTATGAATTCCTTATCTCTATTCGGGTTTTTTTATCGTTATTGCTTAGATACATTTGAAATGTCTATTAAATGGTTCTTCGAAACGGCGATAACAAATAATTCCACACCGTTTCTCTCAGGTGTTTATTTTTTTTATTTATTTATATACCATACATGTACATGTAGAGTGTGCTGTTAATTTTGCAGATCGGCAGCCGAAGCAGCGTTTATTCACCGGAGTCGAGGGTCAGAAAAACCGGTAGTTTCATCTACGAAGACTTCATGCCCACCGATGGGACCGATGTAAAAGTAAGTCGAGACTAAAAAAAAACCCTAAGAATAGAGTAACGACTCGCTTATCGGCTCAATTTTTCCGATTTTCTTAATGAAAAAACACCCTGTACGTCAAATTAAATGTCAACGTATCCATGGAAACGCAAATGTCATCCATTTTGTCTTTCGTTCGGGAATGATCGTACGTCATCGTCGATTTGAAAGTTTTCACTTCCGGTTTGACGGCTGTCGTGAAATATGCATCGATTTCGAAAAATGCTAATAATTCGATAAATAATATTTCAAAAAAAAATGGGAAAAAATTAGGTAGATAGAAAAATGTCGTATCTATAAATTTTCGCTATCAAAATTTTCTAAAAGATGATAGTTTCCGAGTTTTCGCGTTACAAACTCGAAGACGATTTAAAAACGGGTTTTTCGAAAAAAACTCGAAAAGTACAGATCGGAAAAACGCCCGGTCTCTTTTGTCGGACGGAAAAAAGAATTTTCGATTATTTTGCGAGTATGAAAAATGTTCGTAAATCTTACCGTTTACGAGTTATTTCGATTTTTAGAAAACCCTCGAAACCTATTTTCCGCGATATTCTCCCGAAACGATTTTTTCCTGGTAAACGTCTGTATACGAAAGTCGAGAGAACCGATCGGAGAATCTTTTGGGAGATTTTGAAGCGAATCGAACGAACCCGATTCGAGAAAACTGCGAAAAACCGGAAAAAAAAACGTTTATTTCGCTCATTTCACACTGAAGATGAAATTGTATCGAATCGAAACGTCGATATTTCGATCGAGCGTATACGTTTCCATACGATTCGATACTTTTATCGGTCGAAAAAGACGAACGGCGGTAAAAAAAAGAAATCTCGAGAACGACCCTACGAATTTGCCCCTTACAGCTTCCTAGTAATAGTGATAATATAGTGATTTATATTATTATATACATAGTGATTTCGCCTAAACAGGTTTACACCGTCGGGCCGGACTACGCCCACGCCGAGGCCAGGAAATCCCCCGCTCTGGACGGGAAAGTCGAGCGAGACCGCGACGGCAAAGAGATCCGTTACCCGGTGATACTCAGCAACGCCGAGAAGCTGATCTCGCGCAAGGTCTGCCTGGCCTTCAAGCAGGCCGTGTGCGGCTTCGATTTGCTCAGGGCCAACGGGAAGTCGTTCGTTTGCGACGTCAACGGCTTCAGCTTCGTCAAGAACTCCAACAAGTACTACGACGATTGCGCTAGGTAGATAGTTTGATAGGGTTTTGCGTTGTGTGTAAGGTCGATTTTTGCGCAGGATATTGGGTAATATGATCCTGAGAGAGCTCGCGCCGACGTTGCACATTCCTTGGTCGGTTCCGTTCCAATTGGACGATCCTCCGATTGTTCCTACGACGTTCGGTAAAATGATGGAGTTGAGATGCGTGGTGGCTGTTATTCGACACGGAGATCGCACTCCCAAGCAGAAAATGAAGGTGGAAGTTCGACATCCCAAGTAAGATGTAGTTAAAAAATTCGTTCGTTTCGTTAAAAATAATTCGAAATTTTTCCGATTTCCTTAATGGAAAGAGACCATTGAAAATGACAAGTTTGACAGTTCGAAGTTCGTTTTTCGCCGCTGTCATTAGTGTTTTAAAAATTAATTTGATCGTTTCTCAGTTTTTAGTAAATATAAGTGACCAAAAAACATGTAATTGTTGCGGATTATCGTAAATTTTTTTATTCTCATCCATTAAAATGTTGTAAACAACGCAAAAATATCTCGCTTTGGTGTAGTTCCGTTCGAACCAAACGAACGAGCAACGTCCGTCGAATAATTTATTTAGACATCTGTCAAAAATGTCACTTTTAAAATCGAATTATGGAAAAAAAAACGAATTTTTTCCGGCGAAAAGTAGATTTTCAAAATGCGAATTTAACTCATATTTCGATTTCGCCTTAGATTTTTCGAAATATTCGAAAAGTACGATGGCTACAAGCACGGCCACGTCAAACTGAAGAGACCGAAGCAGTTGCAGGAAATTCTGGACATCGCTCGATCTTTGCTAACCGAAATCCAATTGCACGAGGCCGATCCGGAAATCGAGGAGAAACAGGGTAAATTAGAGCAATTGAAGGCCGTTTTAGAAATGTACGGTCACTTTTCGGGCATAAACAGAAAAGTCCAGATGAAGTACCAGCCGAAAGGGAGGCCCAGAGGGTCCAGTTCGGACGATGGTAAGAACTCTCGAAATGTTATTAGAAAAGAATTCGACAGCATATCGTTTTCCAGTAGATAAACCGGCGGAACCTTCGCTAGTTTTAATCCTGAAATGGGGCGGCGAATTGACACCGGCCGGCCGAATTCAAGCCGAGGAATTGGGTAGAATATTCCGTTGCATGTACCCGGGAGGACAAGGTAGACATTTGGCTGGTTGGTATACACGTTGCTTTTTATCTATTTTTATTTTTCAGCACTGTTACTTTTTATTTGCCAAAGCCATCCTTTAAATAATATAGTCCATATATGTTGACTGTTCATTAGAAACTAGTTAGCAGCATTTGTGTAGTAATTTGCTCACGTATACCACCGTATTCAGAAGATTTTTTTATAAAACCAATTGGTTTTGTAACCAACTGTTATATATTTTCGATTTTTAAACATGGGAGTTGAAAGTTAGGTTAATTTTTTGTCATTCTTCGGCCGTTTAGAACGCTCCAGGATAATTTAGAACTGTCCAGAACAATTTAGAACTCTTCAGATTCATTTGGAATGCTCCAGAACCATTTAGAACGCTCCAGAATCATTTAAAATTGTCTAGAACAATTTAGAACTCTCCAGAACCATTTAGAATGCTTCAAACCATTTAAAACTGTTTAGAATATGGAAGCCAAGAAATTCCAAAATATCTGGTTGATTACAAAACCATTCGGTTATAAAAAACCTTCTGAATACGGGGGGTTTTAGTCATTTTATTAAATTGCACTCCCTTTGTTTCCTGCATTATTATTTTGGATCAATATATGTATTTATTTATTAATCTCATCAATAATCTTAAAAAACTGATTATTTCCCTTGCGAATTAATGCAAGAGGATATTGAACCGAACATTAATCATACAAAAATCGGTCATTCTATCCACTTGTTAGATCAATTTTGAGCGGTAAGTGCTATTTTCCCCTTGTTCAAGCTTCGTTTAACATCCAAATTATTACCACATAGTAATCTAATTAACGTTTTGTATCGATTTAACAGGAGAGTACGCCGGTGCTCAAGGCCTCGGCCTCCTGAGACTCCACTCCACGTTTCGGCACGACCTAAAAATCTACGCTTCGGACGAAGGTCGAGTGCAAATGACAGCTGCAGCCTTCGCGAAAGGCCTGCTCGCCTTAGAAGGGGAATTAACGCCGATTTTGGTGCAAATGGTGAAGAGCGCCAACACCAACGGACTGTTAGACAACGACTGTGATAGTAGCAAGTATCAGAACATGTAAGTATACATCGATTACCTGTCTGAATTGCGATGAAATTGTTCGAAATTTGTGTGCAGGTGCAAGGCGAGGTTGCACGAACTGATGCAGTTAGATCGCGATTTTACTCAAGAAGATAAAGAGAAAATCAATCCGTGCAATTCGACGAGCATCTCCGAGGCTTTGGAGTACGTGAAGAACCCGGTGAGATGTTGCAAACACGTGCAAGAATTGATCAAAAGTTTGCTGAATATTGTTAACGTTAAAAAGGAAGATCCCAAATCTAAAGGTGAGAAAATTCGCTCGTTTGACGCTTTTCGCTGTTCGAAAATAAACCAAATCCAATCTATATAGAGAGATGATTATCGTATATTACAGACGCCGTGTTATATCACGGCGAGAATTGGGAACTGATGGGCAGAAGATGGGGAAAAATCGAAAAGGACTTCTTCACCAAAAGCAAAACCTTCGACATCAGCAAAATCCCCGACATCTACGATTGCATCAAATACGATCTGCAACACAACCAGCACACGCTCCAATTCGAACAGGCCGAGGAATTGTACACTTACGCCAAATATCTAGCAGATATCGTCATACCCCAGGTATTTATATAACGACATATTAACTCTACAATTTACCGGGGCTATTCATTTCGCTTCGATCTCTAACGCGCCATTAACTTTGTCATACTCTTTTTTGTCTTATTCTCACCCTTACGGAAAAAGGAATACGGGCTGACGTCCCAGGAGAAGTTGACCATCGGTCAGGGCATTTGTACGCCTTTGTTGAAGAAGATCAAGGCGGATTTGCAGCGAAACATCGAAGAAACCGGCGAGGAGACTGTCAATCGATTGAATCCGAGGTATTCGCATGGAGTTTCGAGCCCCGGCAGGCACGTCAGGACTCGATTGTATTTCACCAGCGAGAGCCACATACACTCGTTGATAACGGTGCTCAGACACGGAGGATTGTTGGATGTAAATTTACTAGTATATACTATACTTTATTTGCAAAATAGTAGGCACTAAATTCTCGGAAATATTTGTCGCTTTTCTTATTTATTGCATAATCCTTGCTCTTCTAATTATTAGTATTTTGCTGATTTTTCCCGTCAAACACACTTGTAGCCTGCGATATTTTCCGTACGCCACTGGGAGAGACCCATTATCGCAATCATTACTGAGAATTTAGTGTCTACTATTTTGGAATTGTGTTATTTATAAGATGTGATATAGGGATTCCTGTGCAAATGTGTCAAAAGTAAGATAATTTTTTTATCAAATAACGTTCGTAAGAAATAATGATAGATTTGAGAAGATCGTCGAAAAATAAGTCGAAATGGACGTTAAATTTTCTTAAATTCGTTCTGGTTTAATTGGAAAATGTGTAATTAAGTTGAAAAAAGTCAAACGTCATATGTCACTATGTAATAATTGTTAAAAGGGGGGTGATATCTGGATTGGTTTACGCTCTGATGTTTGAAAAATTCGGCGGTAAGGTATCTGGTTCAATCCTACGCAGTGCTGATTTTTTTTTTCTTTTTTTCTTTGGCATTTTTTGTTTTTTTAATGTTTTTTTTTGTCAAGAATAATTTTACAATCATTTTAAAGGTTCTACCTAATAACGAGTTTTTGCGTTATTAAAATTGACGCTTACTTGTCGGAGCTTTTATTTAAATAAAAATAAAATTATATCTCAAATAAGCTCGTCTTATTTTAAATATTTCTATTTAACATTTTTTTAGACAAAAATATTAGAAAAAAAAACAGAAAAAAAAACAGAAAAAAATGTCTTTACTACGCGGGGATTGAACCACATTACTTCCCGCTAAAATTTTTAAATTTCAGAGCGTAAACCATCCCTGCTAATTCCACCCAATTTACAAATATTATATAGTGACATAAAAATGACACATTTATGACGTTCGACTTTTTTCAACTTAATTACACATTTTCCAATTAAACCAGAACGAATTTAATAAAATTTAACATCCATTTCGACTTATTTTTCGACGATCTTCTCAAATCTATCATTATTTTTTACGAACGTTATTTGATAAAAAAATTACCTTGCTTTTGACACATTTGCACTGGAATCCCTATATCACATCTTACAAATAACACAGTGTAAATGATTATGTTCCATGTTATATTGTACTTTGTTTTAAGGTGAAGAAGGACGAACAATGGCGTCGAGCGATGGAGTACATTTCCTGCGTCTCCGAGTTGAATTACATGTCGCAGATTGTTATTATGCTGTACGAAGATCCCACGAAGGATCCCAGCAGTGAAGAGAGATTCCACATTGAGCTGCATTTCAGTCCAGGCGTTAATTGTTGCGTGCAGAAAAACCTGCCGCCCGGCCCTGGATTCAGGCCTCATTCGAGGAACGAATCGGCTGCAAGCAAAAATTGCGTAAGGATTATTATTATAAACTGTCAATTTGAAAGAATCTCCTTAGTTACTCCATAACAACCAATGTAAATCTGTCAATAGTGAAAGAATCTCCTTAGTTACTCCATAACAACCAATGTAAATCTGTCAATTGTAAGAATCTCCTTAGTTACTCCATAACAACCAATGTAAATCTGTCAATTCGAAAGTATCTCCTTAGTTACTCCATAACAACCAATGTTAATCTGTCAATTTGTAAGAATCTCCTTAGTTACTCCATAACAACCAATGTAAATCTGTCAATAGTGAAAGTATCTCCTTAGTTACTCCATAACAACCAATGTTAATCTGTCAATTTGTAAGAATCTCCTTAGTTACTCCATAACAACCAATGTAAATCTGTCAATAGTGAAAGAATCTCCTTAGTTACTCCATAACAACCAATGTAAATCTGTCAATAGTGAAAGAATCTCCTTAGTTACTCCATAACAACCAATGTTAATCTGTCAATAGTGAAAGAATCTCCTTAGTTACTCCATAACAACCAATGTAAATCTGTCAAAAAATGAAAGAATCTCTCTGGTAACTCGATTTCGACAGAGTTTAAACACGTCGGAAACGGCCACGCCGGACGGTTCGAAGAGCCGATGTTCGCCGAGGATCGACGAAGAGAACGAAACGGGCGAGGACGATAAATATTCGCCGGATTCCCCGAAACCATTGGAAACGCCGTTGGAGGAAAAGGAGGAACCCGAATCGCCGGGCGTTTCGTACAGATGCGTCAAAAGCAGCGATCCCATTCCCATAGGGTGAGTTTCGAGTGTATTTTAATTAAGTATAATATACAGCGAGGACCGAAAGTCAGTCGCTTCTCCTCCCACTCCCCTAACTGTCATTTTTCAAGCTTCACCTGTCATTTTTACGTCAAAAAAATAGCATTTTTCCTCACAAACACAAACACCCGCAAATTGCGCTACAAAATCTCTTACCATTCACACAACTTAAAGGAGGGAGAGTGAAAAAAGCGACCGACTTTTTGGTCCTCACCGTATATATCGTTGTAATTAGGAGCGCTCATACCGTGAGCGGTCACGAGGCCATGCATTTGGCGAAGCGACTGAACGAGGAATTGGCCAATCAGGCGGCCCAACAGGGCAGTCGTAGTTTCGGTTTGAATAGAGCGACCAGTCCGGAATTGGAACAACCGAGGGCGAGGAGTTACGATCACAAGAGTCCCCAGAAAACCGGTAAAGGTGAGAGAGAGAGAATTTTATCGTTTATCGTTTTGTGCTATATACATTTTTTTTTTGATTAAACTGAGTGCTTTTAATAAATTAATGGTTATTACGGAACGAGCGAAATTTAGTGGAGATAGTAAATTACAGTCGGTGCAAAACGAACGTCGTTATTGTAGTCGTACAGTCGGTGCAAAACGAATGTCAATCAACGTCGTAATTGACATGCATTGTGACCAACTATTGAACAATAAATACGCGAAATAAATCGGGCTTCATATCTGCGGAATGTTAAAAAAGCAGAATTAAATCGAATTTTGAATTGGATTTTGCTCGTTTCGTCTCGTCATGCAGGTGCCCATTCTCGAAAGTATGCACGGTTTTAATTTGATTATTACAAATTTATCGATTATTTTTATCATTTTGTCCACATGTAAATGTAGAATAGATTTCGCGTACAAACTATTTGTACATCGTGCAAAAGATTCCGAAATTTCTTTCTAATCGAAACATCGAAGTACATTCAAAATAAATCGATACCGAACGTAGATATATTTACTTATAAGAATTTGATCGAATAAGTAAATAATCTACGAATTTAGAAAATTATTCGTTCATTTGTCGCCTAATTACGTAGGATAGGATGAAAAGTTCTCGATACGAATCATTCAGAACTATATCGAGCAGTCTAGAACTATTTGGAATGGCCCAAAATCAATTAGAACTACTCTAGAACCATTTAAATTGCTCCAGAATCAATTAGAACTACTCTAGAACCATTTAAATTGCTCCAGAATCAATTTGAACTGTCTAGAACCAAAGTTTTCGACTTAATAAGAAGAATAATGTAATTTTCCAACTAAAAATCGGATTCTTTCATTGTTAGATCAAGAACTTTTCACTCTACCCTCGTAAGAGCTTAACGTTTTAGAGCTAGAGCTAGATCCAGTAGAGAGCCGATTAGAAATGTATAGACCAAAAAAAATCAAAACTGAAACATGGGTTTTTTTTGTAGAAATTGTGATAAAGAAATATTACATCAAGTACAAGAAGCTTCTGTCTTTGTACGTCGGACGAAACGAATTTGATAAAAGATGGATTGTATCAGAAAGAAGTTGAATTTAATGCGTATTTAATTATTTTTTTTTAATCGGATCTTATCGTGTTATGGAATAAATGTTTAATGGTTCAATTCGCTTTTTTCGGAACCAATCGAATGGGTACCTACAGCTGTTTAAAATAGTGGAGAAGGTATTTCTTTGTTTATTTATTCGATATTATTTATTATTGTTATTCACACTTTTTAATAGTTTTAGCTTAATATTGCATGATGCTATACTATATGCTTATTGTTAATTTTATTTTTTTTTAGACATAAATAGCATTTATTTTATACTAAAAATGTATTCCATATAATTCAGATAATCTTCTCTAATACAAATAAAAATCAAGGTAAGACATGAAATATACAGTGAAATAATTAAACAATCTTTTAAAAAGTGTGACAAATATGAAACAACTTTTTTTATTAGGTATTTATTTACCGTCTCCATTATTTTTTGTTTTAAATACTTTTCACTTGTTTGACGTTGTAAAATTACTAATTTATTTTGGGCAGCTCAAAAATTACACCAAAGTTTGGACGCTGTCAATAATTCAGGTATGATATTCGAATGTTTATGTCAAATGTTCAAGGCTCCCTCGATTTTTTTTCTTCTTTTTAATTAAACTGATACACACGACGAAACCTCTTAAAAACACGCAACGATCCTCTTAAGAAACCCCGTAGTAATTCGCTGTGGTATCAATTATGAAATTACCCCGTTATTTTTTTGTTAAACAACTTCTACATTATTGTTTATCTAAAACGTTTTGAGTTTCAGGATTTTGTTCGAACGTTTTTTACTTCAACTTGATTTTGCGAATTTTTTTGTTAAAGTTAGTAGATTTGTGCAGCAAAGCTTTATTTCTTCTCTATTTCAATAATTTTATCGTTATCGCTTTGCTCTGGTCCTTCGAGTTTCTACAAATAAAAAGCCCCAGTTATTCAGGAAGATATATATTTGTAGAAACATGTGCATGACAAAGTCAAGTTGTTGGGAAATGTTTAAATTAATTACTCATCTGTCCGGTAAAACCGTGCGACTGGTGTGTGACCGGTTTGAAAATATTTTCACACGGAGGTGTATCGTTTTCTTTCCATTTCCATTTCCATCGGGAATGCCCAGAATTCGGTACATCTCCGATATTGCGTTGATTTGCCTAATCTCCTCCCGGTTTTCCTTCTCAAAAGCTCTCGTAGTCATCTATTTTTTTCATCAATCGCTCTGTTAAATCGAATTGCTCTAATCGCGAAAGTGATTGAGAGTTATTAGATGTATTAGAACACAGCGATGGATTGTTCCCGAACCCTCTAAATCTTTTAGTTTGTGGTTGTTGTGGTAAAGAGTGCAGTTTTTTTTCTTTCTTTCTTTTGATCGCTTTATTTGCTTATCGCTTTTCAATGGTTTTGTTTGTATTTTGTCTACAGTTTATAATTCATACGATTTTGACTGTAGACAAATTTAGGGTGGATAAATTCTCTATAGAAATATTGCACAATTTCTGATTAAACTTTTCGTTTCTAATTTAAAGTATTTAATCGATTTATAACTTGAATAGGCGATAAATTCTCGATTTATGTTGAACGAAATCACAAGTTGTGCATGACATTCCTGAAGCGAAAAGAACAATGTGTTGGAATAAATAAATTCGAAAAATGTCTATTCGAAATACGAATATTCTAAATAACTATGTGATTGTTGTTAATTAGTAATAATAATAACCGATATATTTCTGGTAATTAAACCGCAGATTTGATTAATAACTCATTGTTCTTTAAACGGTGCTAGTCTCTTTTAAAAGTACTGTATATTAGATGCATTTTTGCTTCAATTATAATCTCAAGGTAAGCTTTAAAGAGACTATTTAACCTAGTAAATTTCATGCTTGTTTTTCAAATTCAAAACCGATTGAAATTTACCGATTTTTATACATATATAGAGCATCGCATTTTTACACGTATTAATAGTGAATATTTTATTTCTTCTTTCTCATCCCCGCATCGCCGGCTTTCCCTTTTGTGTTATAAAAAAACGTGCATCGCACACAATCGACCACACTAACATTAATTCTGTATTATTTAAACACCAAAAAAAAAAAGATATTTCCCTCACCCCGACCGACCCGCCCAAAACACCCCCTATAAACATCCCTCTACCAAAAACTTCTCCCATTGATCTTACATGCATGCCAGAAATGTCGCTGGAAAAACCCGAACCGAGTCCGATAGAACTCGATTTCTCACCAAACACTCCCAGCAAATCGCTTCCCAAAGAGGATTCCGATCAAACCAAACCCATCAGCACCAACGAACTGCCTCTAACCGAGCTCAATCTGGCGCTATTCACCTCGAAATTCGATTCGAAACACTCCTGCGTGATGAGCACCAACGAGTTGCCTTTATCGTCTCTAAAATTCGCCAGTCGATCATGCAGAGTATCCAGACAGAACACTTTCGATAGTCAAACAGATGTTTCTCTAGAAGTGAACTGGGAAAGCGATTTGAAGGAATTTGATGATAAAAACATCAAAATTAACAACGATTCTGTTAGTAGACACCGATCGTTTTCCGACCCAAACATCCTAGATATCGAATGGATAAACCATTCGGATAAAAATTACCTAATGAAAAAGTACAGCGACAGCATGAAAGATCAAACCGCCTCCTTATCACCGCCAGAAACCGCCCCGTTCGCTCCGTTCAGCTTCTACCCCGAGCACGCTTCGGACGCCACCTGTCAGCTTTGCGCCTCTCCCCCGAACCGCCCCCATTTACCCTCCTCCTTCGCGTCGCCGCCCCCGCGGAGATTAAGTACATCTCGATCGCTGTCGCACCCCGTCCCCCGTGTGAATCCTTGCATGTCCGACGCAGAGGCGGCGCCGGGCCAGAGCATCAGACGCCATCGCCACAGCATTGCCGGACAGATGAGCTACTACAAGATGTTGGGTTTCGGCTGCGGCGGGCCCCCCGGGTTGAAGAAGATGGCCGGCGGCGGCGGCGGCGGTTCGTTGTTCTCCACCGCCGTCATATCGGGCAGTTCCAGCGCGCCGAATTTGAGGGATATGATCAGCAGCACCAGCAACGCTACAGGTAAATATGCTCTGTTTGGTGGGTGAGGATGTTTGGAGAAAGTGGTTGAAGAGGTGCGGAGAAGTGCAATTGTTGATGGAGCGGAGCGCTACAAGTTTCTGTAGAAGAAACTATCGATTGGTTGTTTTGTTGTACTATCATTTATTCATTTACAAGTTGATGCAGAAGAAACTATCGATTGGTAGTTTTGTTGTACTATCATTTACTCATTTACAAGTTGATGCAGAAGAAACTATCGATTGGTAGTTTTGTTGTATTGTCATTTACTCATTTACAAGTTCCTGTAGAAGAAACTATCGATTGGTTGTTTTGTTGTACTATCATTTACTCATTTACAAGTTGATGCAGAAGAAACTATCGATTGGTTGTTTTGTTGTATTGTCATTTACTCATTTACAAGCTCCTGCAGAAGAAACTATCGATTGGTTGTTTTGTTGTACTATCATTCACTCATTTACAAGTTCCTGTAGAAGAAACTATATCATTTACTCATTTACAAGTGAGTTGTAGAGAAATGCAATTATTGACGGAGCAGAGTGCCAGCTTCGTTTGCTCCTTTACAAGATCCTGAAGAAGAAACTAACGATCGAAATCGCTTGGTGGTTTTTTTCGTTCAATATCGTTTTGAAATCGTTTTGCAGCCATCGAAGGTTTCGGCGGCGTGCCGGCGATCAGGCCGCTGGAGACGTTGCACAACGCGTTGTCTTTGAAGCAATTGGACGCTTTCTTGGACAGGATGACGACGGCGCCGATTTTCAGGACGCCGTCGTCGACGCCGCCTAGATATCCGTCGACGCCGCTGCCGACGCCGACCAACGGGTGCGGTTTGTCGTTGGACAAGGGGCGGCCGTTGAAGTTGCAATCGCCCAGTAACAGTGAGTGTTTGAAGGAAACTGGAAGTACTATACTTGATCCATCGAACCAACGGAGTAACCAAATTGACAAGGTTAGAGGTTGGATCATCAAGCACAATCGCATCTATTGATCTACTGATGATCAAGCGTTGATCGAGCGTCTAAACTTGTTTTTAGTTACTCCAGTGCTCGGATGGATGAAGTAGTAGAGTTTGATGGTGTTTTGGTGTGTTTTTAGGTGTAGGATGGAGCGGACCTCCGAGTTTGATGTCGAGCAGCGGGCCTTCTTCGCCGGGTTATTCGGAGAGCAATTCGAAGGGGAGCAGCAGCGAAATGTCTTCCAGTATCATAAGCGCTGATGGGTATTGGTGTTTTCTTTTTTCTTTATTTTAATTTTGTAGTTTTTTGTCGTTGCATGCGATAGGATGGTTGGTTGCCTTTTGTAAGTAAAATGTATGCAATTTTTCACTAAAATCTCTACATCTGCTTCATCCATTCTATTAGAAACCTCACAATTACTTCTCTTAAAAGCTTCCTAGCTTCCTCCAAGACTGAATAACACTGAATCAGCACTTTGATTTTAGCCTTTTTCCACTAAAATCTTCATCAATTTAATCTGTACATATGCTTCATCCATTCTATTAGAAACCTCACAATTACTCTAACTCTTAAAAGCTTCCTAGCTTCCTCAGATTCCTCCAAGACTGAATACCACTGAATCAGCACCTTGATTTTAACATTTTTCCACTAAAATCTTCATCGATTTAATCTGTACAATTTGCTTTAATCATTCTATTGGAAACCTCGCAATTACTCTAACTTTTAAAAGCTTCCTAGCTTCCTCTACCACTGAATCGGCATGTCGATTTTAATCGTAATAGAACTAACAGTTATATTCTCGTTGTGTTCATTAAAGGATTACAGTGGATAACATCAACAAAATATTCCCGACGGCGCCCGGCTTGGACCAAGACCTGGGCAGCGTCGGAATGCTGCTCGACTCCTTCGACAAGGACGTCTCGGAATCCTTGGAGTTTTCCGATTATTACGCCGGCAACAAACCGAGAGGTAACAGCTTCGAGTAGCTCTAATCCACCACCAACTATTCGCGATTTTTCCAAAGGTTCGGAGAGCGGAGAAATCACGCCGGTGTCGGGCTCCGAGGTGGATTTCAACACGAACGACGCCACCGTCGGTTCGGGCGCCGAATGCGACATCACCGTGACCGAAGACATCGAAGAAAATTCGGCGGAAGACGGTAATTTGGATGCCAACAACGAGACCATCACCAGCGCTACGGTGAACGCTCTATTCGCTATTCACCGATCGGTGGAGTCCAACAATCTTTTCAAGCAATCCGCCGGGAGTCCCAAGCTGTCGCCGTTGTCGTCCCACGCGGATTTCTGCTCGAACGTTTTGAACGATGCCGGTTTGAAGCACGTGGAGAACATCGAACGAATCCAGCCCGGCGCCGATCTGAATGCTATCATCAAAAAATCGAATATATTCGATAAGGAAATCCCCAACGTGTCGAAGAACCTGTCGAACGTCGCCAACGACAAGGTGTGGACGTCGAAGGAGAAGTTCCTGGAGGGTAAGGGCTTCGCGAAAACCGACAACATCGATTTCGGGAGGAATTTGAACGTGAACGCGGAGAAGAAGGTGGAGAAAGAGAACGAATTGGCGATGGTCCGTCCGGGATCGGTGATGGTTAAGGAGATGTACATCGAACCGACGCAATTGTCGAGCGTATTCCGAGGGAAATCTCTCGGTAATATCGACGCGAGGAGATCCAGCGATAGTCCCATAGCGAAATCTTCGAATCTGTTTGCTACTGAAGGTTCTAATTGGGATGTTTCGCTGCCGAGCGGTAGTGGGATTTCAACAAACACCTCTGTAAGCACTTTTATATCGACACTAAAGCCCCGTTTACACGATGGTATGTTTTTTTTAGATGGGGAAAAGTCAGAGATTCACGACGAGGAGGGTGGACGAGGCGGAACACGCGGCTTCGATGGCGATGAATTTCCCGAGGAGATTTAGTACGGCGACTGATGGTATGTCGAGCGCGAGTAAAGTGCCTGCGGTTGCCTCGGAGCGAGGCAACGCGAGTATAAACTCTGCCGGGCATAAGAAACCTTCGATTAAGGATCACGAGAAGGTAACGAAAAGCGTGTCTGACAATTCCAATATGTTTAGAAGACGCGATTCCGATAAATCGTAGAATTACATTAAGTATTATTTCATTTGTATTACATATTAAAATTTTTAGCTCGACTATTCGTTTGAATTGAATGAAACGCAGGTTTTTTTTTTAAACAAGTTATACCAATATATTTTCTTATAATGGATACAAATAGTGTACACCAAAACATCTAAACTAATCCACTAACATTTCAATTCACCTTTTTATTTTTTAAATAAATTTGTACTTCATAAAATAACAGCTCTTTACTTTCTTTTTTTAACAATGTGTTGCAAAAATATCTCGCCGTATCTCCGAACATCCTACTTTACAAAATGAGCTTACCAATTACAATTTCAGACTTTTTTTGACATTAATTTACATGAACACTTACATCAGTAGACTAACATTCGAAATAAGCAACACACTTTTATATATTTAGCGAAGCGAAAAAAATAGGCCAGTCAAGTATGTATATTTAAAATTTTTTTTAGTACCTTTAGGAAGGCGGAATTAATTTATAAAGTGCTCAACAATCCAGAGAAGGGAATCGACTCGTGTGTTTTCGCCTGTTTCCTCAATTATTTTCTAACGACAGGCTACATTTGAAACACTAATGAAAAAATATCTATAAATTATACAAAAGAGATCAGTAAAATAATAAAGCAATTTCGTAGCAAATATAATTAAGAGTACGTCCAGAAATTAAAGTTCAATCGTATCCGATACTAAATTGTCACTACGGGGAAAAGCTGCCGTTAAAATTCCCAATTAATTCATTAAAATGAAAATATAAAATACATCTTCTGTGAATCAGCATTCTTCATTTATTTAGTTAGTGTAACGTCTTTAGTACTTAATAAGAATATCTACTATTATTTCACAACATGGAAAAAATGCATTTAAAAGCACTAAATTAGATATCTAGAATTATTCAAACTACTGCCCACTACAAACCTACCAAAATAAATTCTTGTAAAGTTAAAATTCCCGCGTAAATTACGCATAAATAAATGAAGAATCTGCCAGAATTGTTATATTTGCTCGATATTAGACTCTGTTAACATCAACAACAGTTCTGGATTTACAATATTCAGGGGAATTAAACAAATTTAAAATAATACCTACAACAGGTTGGTAAGTAATTGAAATTCTACGGCTCACTGAGAGGCAAAACAAATATTATATTGAAGCAAAATGAAATTTAGGAAGACGATACAAGTGTAAAATAATCTGGTAAATATTTGTTTCGAAAGCCGCGGACTGTTCCAAACGATTAAAACAGCTATCAATAAAATCTTAAAGCTAAAGTGTAATTATAAAACTAGGCACAGGTTATTAGGCGACGGTTAATATAACCGTCTCGTTAAAATCGTTTTGAAAAAATATACATTGACAAGGAAGCTATTTACAAACAATTAGTACTCATTAACAGTGAAGCTTTTTTTTTCGTTTTCCCATTGCTAGATGTTTGTTTGTTTAAAATATATTGCGAAGAAAACATAATGGGAATTCATCGAGGATAATTATGTGTAATTAAAATGTTTTATCTAATTTAAATATTTTGATGCAATGTAAAAAAAAGCTTCGCTTTCATATTAAATGCAACAACATTTTGTGAACTTTAAAACAATTTGCAGGTTTTTCTATATACACAAATTTTCGTTAATACGAAAAAAAATTACAAAAAATAGAATTTTAATTTTTTTTTTCATCCGGGACTATCTAATTGTTTCACAAATCGAATTTATCACATAATATACGGATTGTAATTTAACCAAATAATAAAATTTCGCGTCTGTTCAATCTAAAAGCCTTGCAGGTACAATCCGTATATTTCACCCTAACAAAACACGCCGGAAATACAAAAATAATTTATACACTTTTTTTAAAAATCAGTAAGAAGAAAAGATGAGTGTCCTTCACGTTTCAAATTTAGTTTATCACAGACAAATTTGTTAAATTCAATTATTTCATAAAACCTACCTATTGTTCAATAAAAATAAAATTTATCGAATGGTTGAATTTCCGAATTTAGAAACGCCGTAATTCTGCAGTCTTGCGCAAAATCAAAAATAAACAATTTAAAGTTGTTTTGTTGAGTCCTTGCGTAATAGGACACGTGAAAATAACAAATTATTCAAAAAAAAAAAAGATAATCTTGAGATATGTGAGTTGAACTTGTGATATGTACAGTTAATAAATTAAAGAATGGTTTTTTTCTTTCTTTAAAATAAAATTAGCTGAAGGGTTCTAAAACGTTTTAAAAAATATATTCTTTAAAAATCAAAAGGGATTAGATTAAAGTGATGTGACTCAGTGGTATTGATAAGTTTCACAAACTCATTCAAAAAGAATAATCCTCAATTTTATCATTTCAATAAAATTAGGAAATCTCCAAAAAAACAAAACCACATAATAAAACGACGAAACGAATAATTAAAATACGTTCGAAACGAAATTTGTAAAAATAAAATCCAACAAACAAAAAAATAACAAATTTTAAAATTTTAAGTCACAACAGACTTTTAGACTGCAAAATTAAAGCAGTAGCATTTTCAAAATCACAAATAAAACCAGACACCTTTTTCAGAAATTTCAGGAATTAGAGGATCTCAAATTGCACCCGAGCATTCTTACATATTTTTCTATCATTTCTATCACACTTTACGTTAGAATCTAACATAACATTGCGAATACATTTCAAATCGCATGATCTATAGCCAAATGCAAATTTTTTGCAGTTGTTTGTTTGCATTTTGCAGTGCAAATATCGCAATTGCAGTTGTTTATTGCACTTTGCAGTGCAAATATCGCTTTTGCAGTTGTTTATCGCACTTTGCAGTGCAAATATCGCGTTTGCAGGTGCTTACTGCACTTTGTAGTGCAAATATCGCAATTTGCAGTTATTTATTGCACCCATAGACCATGTCGGGCGCAACTTTGCAGTGCAACTATCGCAATTGCAGTTGTAAATTGCATTTTGTAATGCAACTATCGCATTATCACCTATTTATCGCACCCATATAGACCATATCTCTTACAACATTTCAATGCAACAATCCCAAATCGAGCCAAATTCGAGATCCCCGAAAAAACCCAGACATCCTACTCACCGTCCTACACTACTCGATGTTCCTCATGAAATTCGAATCGATCAGACCCGAATCGATATCGCTAGCCACCACATCGAAATCGTCGTCGATGCTAAACACCTTATCGTGCCCGATGCCCGTCGAATCGTCGCCGTTCATCTCGAAATTCAAATCGAGCCCGTCCAAAACGGGCTGCCCGTTCAACAGGCAATCGCGACAATCCCCCGTACCGTTGTTATAAGTGAAAGTCTGCGACGAATTCAACGGCGTGGACGGATACGAGCGCGAATTGCTGTAGGGCCCCTTCGGGGGCCCGGCGAAATGCAACGGCGTGTTGGGCACCGAACGAGACGGCACCGCCTGCGAAAACTCCCCGTTGTCGATGTTGTTGTTGAAGAAATTAAAGCCCAATTCGCGCGGTTGCGCGTTGTTCGAAGGTAATTCATCGACCGGTTCGAGAGATTTGAGGATTTGTTTAACCTTCTCGTTGTCCGATTCGTGGATGGGATCGATTTCGGAGAATTCGTTGTGTTGTAACGGGGCGATCATGTCGCGCAACGGCACCGATCTCGATCTGAAACCCTCCAAATTCCCATCGAAATTCGAATTCGCGAAATTCGCATCGGCTCGAACCGGTAGATTCCTCGTGGAGTAACTCGGATTGTAAGTAACCTTCATCGAAGAATTCAATAACTCGTGCAACACCGATTTGTTGCTCGTCATCGGACTCACCGGAGCGGACATCGGGAACTGGTTTTTATTGATCTCCACCGTTAGATCGATTTCGCGCTTGATTTTCGCCGGTTTCTTCGCGTCGCTTTTGAGTATGGGCTTGTTTCGAGGCACCGGAGTGTTCCGGGGGCTTACGAACGGGCTCGCTGAAGTGCTGGAGCATTTCGAATGCGAAGGGGATTGGGGTCCGGGCGATATCGGAGTGAAGCTGAAATGTTTCCGGCGGGTGTTCGGACTCGCCGGGATCGAGTCCTCCGAATGGGGCGTTTCGAAGCTCACCCTGCGTTTGATGTTGGTCGAACTGCTGGTGACTAAGCCCTGCGACGGTGTTTGATTGATGAAGTTGTAGTCGTTTTGTACGGGTAGTTGGTGCAAGTTGTTCGATAACTTCGCTTCCATTAGCCTGTTGACGAAATTGGCCGGTACGCCTTTGTCTATGTTCTGCACCAGCAGTTGCCTGAGCGTCGACAATTTCGTCGTATCTTCGGTTTCCAAAGCGATGTTGTTGTTGAAATATTTCGATAGTTCCTCTTCGTGTTGGCTGTTGTTTTTACCTAAACAAATCACAATCATTATAGAAATATATAGTTTTTAAACAAATATATGAATAGAAATAAGTAATTAGAACTTAAATCAGTTACCAGTTGCTGAAAATATTCATTATTTTAGAAAATGTAGCCATTTTAAATTTTAAAATTTGACAGGTGACATGCATCACAAAACGAACGAATTGCATTATGTCATTAATGTCACAAGAATTCGAACGAAATATTCGGAAGAGTAAAAGAAACGAACAAAAGTGGAAATGTAACATCAAATGACAAATGGCATATCTAAGGTTATTGTTTCAACTACTTTTTTTTTTTACATATTTCTTTACTTATTACTTACCCAAATACTCGTCCATTGAATCTTTGGGTACGTTACTGACGCTGTTGAGTCGCTCGCGGGTGAGCGGAAAATCGGGCACATCACATTCATCATCACTGTTTCTTCGCTTAATCCTAGCTATATCTTGTACGTTTTGAGATCTGTTGTCCTCGATCTGCACCGGCAATTGCATTGCGGGCAGAGATTGAGGGTTGTACGACACAATATCACATTGGTGCAGTCGAGACCGGAGCGTTTTGTACTTTGTTTCCTTTCTTAATAACACGGGCGGCACCGGCTGGATTCTAGTCACCGGAATCTTATTGCAAACCATCATCCCTTGTTCCTAAACAATCATATATTTATATAAATAGACTCTAAAATTCGAAAAACTAAAAAAAAAAAAGGAAATTTTTTGACAGATTTCGAAATAAATTGTTTGACGTTTGACAGACGTTGTCCGTTCGTTTGGTTCAAACGGAACTAACACCGAATTGAGAGACTTTTTCGTTATTTTGACAATTTTTAATGGACGAGAATAAAAGAAATTGCAATAATTGGCACAAATATATATGTCCAGGTCATTTGTACTTACCGAAAACCGAGAAACGATCAAATTATTTAAAAAAAAAAAACTACACTAATGACAGCTACGATGAACAAACTTCGAACTGTCAAACTTGTCATTTATATACGAGGCGTTTTTTAAATACTAAGCGAAAACCGATTTTAAATTAAATCGAAATATTACAGGGTAAATCGTATAACACAAAAAACATCTCCATTTCTTTCTATAATTACCTGTTCCGCAGTGCCGCCGACGCCATCTGCCGCCGGCTTCTGAAAACTATTGAAGTCAGGTAACACTGGTAGCTGAGTGAAATCTAGTGTTTTATCACAGATAGGTTTCGCCTGAGTGGGGCTCGTGCTGGTGCTGCTGCTCGCCGTGCTGCTGCCGCATTCGCCCCTCGAAGCGTTCGAATTCAAATTCAAATTGGCCCCGTCGCTGGTTGTCGTAGAAGTCGGAGACAAGATCGAGATGGCGATCGGAGCGGGAACGCTCTGCGAGCGACTCTTCTTCGGGTTCGGTTTGTGCTCGGTCTTCGGGGACTACAAACACATATACGAAATTAAAACGCCCATTTACATCTACTTTACAGTTCTTTCTAACACCAACCTGCGTTCTTTTCCTCTTCTCTTTCCCTTCGCTCTTCTGCTGGATCTTCCTCTGTAACTGCAGTTGGAGTTCTCTGTGCTTGCTTGGCAGCTTCTCCGAGCATTCCTCCGCTAAAATTTCGAATCGATATAACTCTATACATCAGAATCTACTTCAAATGTACCTACCTTTTTGCAAGGCTTTGCCGGCCGATGAAATCTTCGAGGCCGCCTCCGATCCTTTCCCGATGGAGTGGTGCAAGATCAAATGATAGGCCAGATTTTGGATGGTGGAGAATTGCTGGCTCAATAGTTGCTCGGACCATTCCTTTACGATCAGCCAAGCTACCGATGCGAGATTCGCTTGGGTAAAAGGAACTTCCGTGGACTAAAAAAAATGCAAGAATAATACAAGCAGTTTGAATGAAATTTTGCCGTTAGTACCATCGGTTTATCGCCTAGATCGGGCAAAGCGGGTGGTTTCAATTGAGCGCATCTTCTGAGCCCCGAATAGCAATATCTGGAATTTCCTCTGGTGCCCAATCTTCTAGCTCTGACTGCTGGGTAGACTTGTTTCATGACTTTCCCGAAATCCGCTTGTGACAAGGGTTTTATGCTGTTACGACCGCAATAATCACTACAAAAAATTAGAAATAATTAATAAAATAGCATCTTTTTTCTAACGATAAAATATGATACTATAGCAGTAGTAATTCAATTTCAAGATTACAGCATAAATCATTAATTATTCCGGTAATTGAATTCGCTAATTCAAAGTTATCTATTTAAGATAACATCTACCTTCGAGGATTTGTGCTTGCTCATTGATAAGAAAAGTTCGAATCAGTTAATTCGCCTTTGAACAGTTCAAATAAAAATTAAGTAGGTACCTTTCGAAACTTGGAGATTTGTAAGTGCTCAATTTATCGCATCTATATTTCAGTATAAGTTTTTTTTATCGATTTATTAAAAAATTAATAGTTCCTCATAATAGGTATTACTGTACAGTGTAAGTTTTTCATAATTGACGGCTATTTATACAACATTAACACATTCGGGCTTGACCTTGTCTCAATTTAATTATCAAGGTCAAGTACGAATTTTTTGTTTTACTTAATTGAATAAATATTAATGGAGTCGAGTTTGGTAATCTCTGCGCTTACTTATATTCAGTGTAGACCTCCTGCTTGGGCAACGACGTGTCCGGATCCTCTTCCAGGTGGGTTTTAATCCATGATATCGTTTTGGTAATTTCCGATCTGCTGCCGAGAGGATTCAACGGTTGCCTAAACGGATCGACGGTGCTCGTCACTTCTGCGGAGAGCTTCAAAAATAGAAGGTACTTCTCGACTCTGGATAGACATTTCATTTGTTCCAGTATCGAGGATATTATCTGTTTCGCTTGGTCGCTGAAATAACACACAATTCCATTAGATAACTACATGGCTCGGTTTTCGAAATAGGACGGTTTGTTTATTTAAGCAGATGGTGGTCTATAAATAAATTAATTAACAATCACGGACCTGATGGTGATGAGTTCCGGATCCTTTTCGAATTCGTTTTTTATTAAATCCTTGACGTCCTCTTTTTCGGTGTTGAAACATTCGCCGTCCTCTCCATTTTCTCTGGTACCATTGTTTAAATGACTATCTGTGGTTTCGAGATCTGTCGGCACGGATTGCTGGTATTCCGCGGTCCATATTGGATTTTCCATTGTTACCGATGCAGATCCGGTAGGTTTTAGATGGTTTTCACGAAAACTGCGAGAGAATTTTCCACCTTTACAGTTAAAACAGCTTGTCTGCACCGGAACATTTTATTGTCAACTCAAATCAGCTGGTCCCCGATGGACTACGAGCTGGAAATTATTTTTTTATCTTGACATTTAGCCGAATGACAACTATGACGTTTCGCTGGCGGCGTTTCTGTCACTAATGTCAATTCAAGATACGAAATACGGTTATTTGGAACTACTGGTAGATCATAAGTGTTTAAATTTTTGTAAAAATTGATTAAATTTCATTGTAGTAATTGTTTTTTACTCCGTAATTAAAATTTTGAAAATAAAAGTTGAAAATTCTTTTTTATGCTTCTTTTTTTTAGAATTATGAGTGACATTGACGTATAATTGACATATAAGACAGTTCATTTGTCATTTATATTTCTGTTGATGTCATTTCGATTCAATAGTAATTTAATTTTCAAATTTCTCTTTGAATTGGATTATTAGTTCAATCAATAGGTAAAATAATTTTCTAAACTATTCGTTACATTCCTTAGTAGTTTAATAAAAAATCGTGGTAGTAAAACAAACAAAATGCGTTGTATAACCTCAAAGGGCCGTGATGATTAAGCAAGTTATAATGTTTTAGAAACCAAAAATGCCTGCAGGAGGTGCCCTATTTGGAAGTGCTACCGCTGGTCCTGGTTCGACTGGTGGTAACAAACATCTCATCGAAGTCAGAGCCGGTAAAATGAACTTGAAAGGTAATAGAAAATTCTATCGAAACACACCCTTTTCTCAAGAAAACTTATCGTTTATTTATTCCGCAGGTAGAATGGTTTATCCTGACACTCGAAAAGGCCTAATTTACGTTTACCAAAGCGATGATTCCTTAATGCATTTCTGCTGGCAGGATCGTACGACCGGCATAGTCGAAGACGATCTAATTATATTCCCCGACGACTGCGAATACGTACACGTCCCCCAGTGCACCACAGGCAGAGCCTACTTATTGAAATTCAAATCGTCCAACAAGAAATTCTTCTTCTGGCTACAGGTATTCCCCCAAAAAACCCGCCCGTTTAAAGCGCTGATCGAAATCTTTGCAGGAACCGAAAGTGGACAAAGACGAAGACAACTGCAAACGGATCAACGAATTGCTGAACAACCCGTCGAGCGCCGTACAAAACACCCCGAACCCCGATCAGGATTTGCAATCGTTGCTCAACAACATGTCCCAATCCCAGCTAATGCAGCTCTTCGGCAGCGGCGTCGGGCAAATGGGAGGACTGTCCAGCCTTCTAGGCACCATTAGGTACCAATTCGAACGACACAATCTTCGATTATTCAATTAAATACTCTTTTAGAGGTCCGAATAGCGGTAGCTCTCGCACCAGCAACAGTCTAGCGATTACTCACAGAACTACTACAACAGCTCCTACGACTCCTACGGCTACTCCACCGGTGACTCAAACGGCTCCTTCGGCTGGTATCGTGAATACTCCGGAAGCTCCGATTCCGGCGGCGGCTCCGGAAGCGCCGAGGAGAAGTAACAGGACTCGAGCGGATCCGGCCGGTTCGTTCGAACCCATCCAGTTATCCGATTTGCAGAATTTCCTGTCCGGTATCAATTCGACGCCTGCGACGGGATTGGCGCCGGCGTCTCAGCAATCCGGTACGAATTTGTAAGGATTTTAAATGAAGTTTGGTTGTAAAATTATTGTTTGCAGTTGATTTATCGACGGCTTTAACTAGCGATAGTTTATCGAGCGTGTTGAACGATCCGGAGACGTTGCAACAATTGCAAAGCCACCTTCCGGCTGTGGATCAGAATACTCAGGACGCTTTGAGATCGACGTTGGCTTCGCCTCAGTTTCAACAAGTAAAGTTTGTTGTGTTTTCTGCTTTGATGTCATCGAAATTGATGTAATTTTTTTGTAGGCTGTATCGCAGTTTTCGAGCGCTTTGGAATCGGGCCAATTGGGGCCCATAATTTCTCAGTTATCGGTGAATTCTGATGCGGTGAGTGCTGCTACGCAGGGTAATATGGCGGATTTCGTGAAGGCTTTGGAGAAGTCCTCGAGCGAGTCTGAGAAAGATAAGAAAGACGAGAAGAAGGATAACAAAAAAGGGGATGAGAAGAAGGATGATGATCAGATGCAACTCGATTAAATTGAATGTAATCTTCGTTGTAATTTGGTTTATGATAACAGGAAATCTATAGTTAATAAAAAAGAGTCTACTTAATAGGCCGATGGGATGTCTTTTATAAGTTTTTTTTTTTAAAGTTGCTTGCTTATGAAATAGTTTGTTTTAAGTTTAATCATATTGTATACCAATGTATTCGGTTTTCTTAAATATACATTACAAAAAATTACTTTTATTATTATAATAATTAACTTCTCATCTTCTTTGGATTCTTCGCTTCACTTATCTCGATGTTATTGCCTTGGAACTTCTTCAAATCCGCGCAAAATAACACCTAAAACGGAGCAATAACCTCATTATAAATTAGAGAAATTTACATGAATCTTACTGTTTGAGCCCATCCTGCATAAGGACCATAAAGCTGCCTGAAATAGTCGCCTATTTGGCTGTAAATTTTATCAGTAACAGTCTTAGTAGTGGGCAATTTGTGCATGTAGAGCCTCTTTGCTATTTGGTAAACGTGAGTATCAACCGGAACTGATTCGAGATGTCCCAGCGACATCAACGATATGCAATCTGCAACCTGTAAAATTGAATTGCAATTACCATTCAGTTGCTAATTGATTGATTAATTAATTCCACACCTTAGCACCAACACCGGTTAATGCCATTAAAGCTTTTCTGTCGTGTGTGTAATCCATTTCCTTGAGTTTCTCTAACCAATCCTCTCCTCCTTTATCTACGATATACTGAGCGGATTTGCTGATATATTTCGCTCTGTATCCGAACCCGTTCGTTCTGAGTTTCTGCTCCACTGAGGCTGGAGCTAATGAGTTAACGGTAGGGAAGGAATGATACGTTTGACCATCGTATTGGCAGATTTCGTCCCCGTAGAATTGCGCCAATTTTTCCACCATGCTGGTGATTCTTAAAAAGTGCGTTTATTTTGATAATTAAATTATAAAGCGTGTTGTTAGTAACCTTGAAATGTGATTATTCGAGGAGCAAATAAACGAAAAAATGTTCTCGGTTACGTCTTGTTGGAGAATTCTGATCCCGTAAAATTGTTTGGCGGCGTCTTTGAAATACTGATCGGATTCTGACCAATCTGAGTAGTGTTTTCGAAGGTCTAAATTCAGTTGGAAATAATTTTTTAGTAACTGGTTGTAATATTTTTCGTTTTGAATTTGTGATTTTTTCTCGTGTACCTGGTACATTATGCAGTCGTCTTTTTGCTCTAAAATCCACAGCTTGTTTAAAAACACCCCGATCCATTGTTCGTGTTTTTGAGGATGTTTCTTCCATCTAAATGTAAAGCAAATATGAAAAATAAATTAATAGTGTAAATGTTTACAAAAATTATACACACCTGAAACTTTGTCCTCCGTTTAAGGTACCTTCTAATTGCAATTCTTTTTTACTGCATAACAATTTAAACCAATTACCGTTCATTTTAAATTATTTTCGTTTTTGTTTGAAAATACGAAATACAACATAACCGTATTTTAAAATGTCTTCTTTATTCCCTTACTGTCAACTGTCAATGACTGGTCTCTTCCAACAAAGAATAACAGTTCATTATTTTTCAAGCCTTATTTACCGCGTATAGTTCATTCGTACTAAACAAACGATGACGTCACGACGGATTTGTTTCTTATTTATAGACGAATACCGTTGATTTTGAAAATTTAAGTTGGCTTGATGGGACACAGCCGAGAAAATATAATCAGCTATGCCGACATCTTGCCTTATCAAAATTTCAACGTTAATTTCGAAAAATACTCTCCATCTTGCTTTCCTCCGAAATTCACGCCTGCTGAAAACAAAATAGTTAATGAATATAAAACTTTTTGAGTAGATATATTAATATTAATTAATTTCTGTATAATCTCAATTGAACAAATAATACCTAAGCATTGTATTTAGACATAATAGAGCCAAAGAGACTCGCTTGAAATAATAAAAGACAAATTTGCATATAAAGAGAAGAAATTATTAAGTGCTGACACGATTTGCTACTGTCCACATTGGGTATGGCATATACAATAGAAATACAGGGTGATTTGTTTTGCTACAACCTAAATAAAACCAATAAATACGAAGACACTAATAAAGCAAAAATTTCAATAATAATTGTTTGTATAGAGATGTTACATTAGTTGCTTCTTTTGGACTTTTCTAGTGAAAATACTAAAGTCGAATAACAATTTGCACTTGTTATGATCACCCTGTATATGAATTATTTGGTGAATACGTTTAAGAATTTGTGGTTACCACACCCATTTAATCATCGTATTTAAAATTAGTATTCCTCACGAGTTACTCCACTGGTCAGGTTGCTGATATATTTATGATTCACTACAATGGTCAAAAGTACAGAAAATCATTTTGTACAAATAGTACAAAGATTTTTGTAATAAAATATTGAAGAAAAATAAAAAGGTGGAGCGTCAATTAGCACTTTTAAACATTCTAAGATTTCAGCTTATCTAATCCTCTCGAATATGATCGAGTCGTAAAAATTGAATAACATCTTCCAAGAGGTTTTTCTTTCACTTTATGCAATTGAACATGCGCTCGCATATTCGACTGTGCAAAAATAAAAATTCTAAGAAATAGAAAGTTGAGAAAAAGCAGGAAAATATTTAACAATTCTAGCTTTCTTATTTATCGTTACATAAAAGGAAAAATATATTGTATACATACATAAAAGTGTATTATAGATTATAGAAAATTAACTAATTTTTTACTGATATGCAAACAAATACAATTTACGGGAGTTTGTTAGTTAGTATTAGCTCTGTTTATCTTTCAGATAAATTTTCTTATGTATTTATCTCATTAAAGGTGTAATCTTAACTAGAATTTATTTAAAATAGCTAATTTGTTATACTGAATCCATAAAATTAGGATACAACTAAACCTGATAAGGAAGTATTTCCTTTGTATATAGATCAAGAGTTTAATTAAACATTATTTTTGCATTATCGTTAAAACCGTTATTTTTTTGTTCATTAACTGTTCCTATTGTTTACAAACCTCGCAACTAAAACCAGTAGTAGATAAGTTACCTAAATTTCTCATTGAAATAACAACATAAATACACCTTGTAGTTCTTACATAAAAATCGAAGAACGAGAAAAGCAAATATTCAAACACACTACAAAAAAGGTTGGTAGAACTAGCGTTATTCATTATTATCACATGTTTACTTAACAATTATAACGTTTCTGGTACTTTCAGCTTAGAATACTTAAAGTCGTTTACGAAGAAAAGGTAGAATACCAAATCAAACACTTCCAGGAAAATTACTTTAAGCGAATAATGCACAAAATTTGCTGTTAAAAATTTGTATATAGTTTCAAAAAAATTATACAACATACTCACACTTTCAATCACCGAAATTAAAATCCGATTTTAACGCACTCGCCTACGAACGAAAAAAAATCCATCAATTAAATCGATAGTTCATCAACTAGATAATTTTAGTGCGATGGAGCTGATACTTCTGATCAATTCGAAAGCAATTAACAAGATAAAATAAAAAACTGATTGAGTAATGTCCGCCCGGATTGGCGTCGCGCTACCGACTGTTTTCAGCATCGGTTCGATTTTTTTTTGTCGTGTTTTACAGCTCGAGGATGAGCCTCAAAGGTAGGCTAGGTAAGGCTTTGGCGTGGAGATCGTCACGACGGGGGCTTCCTCTGACTGTATCCGGTGACGCGTGCTTCATACCGTGAGATAGGAGCGATTGAAAATGAGAAAGATGCCACCCGCGAGTTGGTTTTTGTTGCAAGAGCGGCGATTTCAAAAATATCGATGAAATTATTGGGGTTTTTTTTATGGGAATTCTTTTATGGGGATTTTAATTCATTGTGGTAGGGGAGGTGCTTGGAGAGGGTGTTAATTGATAAGTGCGATAAACTTGATTCTGTATGAAGAAATAATGATATTTTGTTAAAGTTTCTTCACTAGTAGATGAGGTGTTTTGAGGAAATGAAAAATACACTTCAACTTGTTTTATTTTTTTTACTCGAAAACGGCGGCTCGTGCGAAAAAAACACAAGAGGGTTTTTTTGTTGCAAATTGAACGAGGAATTTATTTATAATAGAGTTTTTAATAATAACGCCTCAGTGGCGTACCAATATAATTTTTTCTTTAAAAAAATGTTATTATTACCCGTACGCGCGCCAATGATGGACATAAAATTTTTAATTTTATATCAAAAAATGCGTAATAGTTGCCTCTCGAAACCCACCAAATTTCATTTGAATATCTCGTCTGGTTTAAGAGAAATAAATAAATTTTCGGTTTTTTAAGAAGAAACTTTAACATCCTGTATCTCGAAAACGAAGCATTTGTGAACATATCTTTATATAGCAAAATATTATTATTTTTTCATGCAGAATCACCCCTTGAAGTTTGTTGCACTTTTTAATTAACACCCTGTATATGATTAACATCCTCGATGAAAGTATTATTTCTTCTAATTAATCTGTGAAGATGTTAATTCCTTCTGTTGGTGAGGTAGACTGAGGCAAATGTAAAAATGGGGTAAATGTAATATTTTTACCTATTATGTTAATATTTTTTATTATTTTTATAGTTCTTTTGTGCATTATACAGGGTTTGTTTCTTATTTTTTCTTTATTATTTTGTAGCTCTGTTATTTTTTGAAATAAATAAATAAACAGCATATCAAATTTTAGAGGAACCAAATTTGTATTTACAATTGCCCCACAATGTTTTTCTATATAATTGTATTGTCTCTTTAGAAAAAGGGGTAAATGTAATGGGGTAAATGTAACATATTGTCAACATTTTAAAAAATATGTAAAATCGTTTTCTTCCTTTTTCAAAAAAAACTTTTTAATACCTCGATTCTTTAGTTAAGTAAGTCGTGAATTTAATGTAGTATCAGCATTTCTAATAAGAAAAAAAATAAAGCCACATTTTAGGATTTAATTTGAACTATTCAAATTTTACAACCGATTTGCCCCACTCTACCTTACTCAAAATTTCTTCATAAATCATTCATCCACAGTACCTACATGTAAAGATCTTTTAGATAGTCCTCGTAGAATGGTGGACAAATTATATTCACCGTTATAGAGATCATCGGTAGCAAGTACTTACTTGCCTAAGTACGATCGCAAAAGAAATTGAAATAAATCGTATAAAGTGCTCTAAAAGGGAACTCTGCTACTGTACACTAAGCATGTACTTATTTGTGCAATACTCATTTGATCGATTAATGTGCAATTGCAAAGCCATAACCGCTTATAGAATTCCAGGAAGATTTTTTTTCTGCATGCATTTTTGGCATCCCTGTATATACAAAGTGTTCCATAATGACTTGCTAATAATTAAGGTGATTCTTGGGTACATTTTAAGCAAAAAACTTCATATGAATTTATGTCATAAACATCTTAATTTTTGAGATACAGGGTGTTAAAGTTTTGAGAAAAAAATCAATTAATGTATACATTTTTCGAAGTGATTGTAAAATTTTTAAATAAACTACTTTAAAGTGATAATTATATGCGGTTTGTTTGTGTTTAACATTAATTATACAACGACTAAAGTTTGTTTGTAATCTCTGTTTACATGTTTTATAATATTTGTCGAACCAAATTTATCTCTTTATCTAATATAGCATCTACATAGATATATGTATGTAGAGAATCCCATAAAATGATCGAGGAGTATTTGGGATTGGTTTTTAGAATAAAAAGGAGAAATACAATATTAATTTTTCCTATACAATCATCTAAAGGGTTTACAATTTTTTGAACTAATTTTAGTAAACTAAAATTCTAAAACGATTGATCTTTATAATGTTATTTTTATTAAGCTTGTTTAAATGTAGAACAAACAAAATGATTACATTTTATTAGCGGAATCCTTGTGTAATTAAATTCGCACGCCATTGTATTTAGATGAGGTACTTCATAATATATTTGCTTGGTGCAATAATCAAGCTTTTCCCATATTTTTAGCTGATTTGTTTCGGAATAAAACATATACGGGTAGCTCTATATCAATAAAAAATAAACACAAATACGGGACTTATCAATTTATTTTCTTTAAATACAATACAGTTGTTAGTAAATCGAAAAAAAAAAACTAAATGAAAGTACTAACAAATTTCTATGGAGCAATAGGATAAGGTAGACTGGGGCAAATGTAAAAATGGGGTAAATGTAATATTTTTACTTATTATGTGAATGTTTTTATTATTTTTATAGTTCTTTTGTGCATTAGACAGGGTTTGTTTCTTATTTTTTCTTTATTATTTTGTAGCTCTGTTATTTTTTGAAATAAATAAATAAACAGCATATCAAATTTTAGAGGAACCAAATTTGTATTTACAATTGCCCCACAATGTTTTTCTATATAATTGTATTGTCTCTTTAGAACGGGGGTAAATATAACATATTGTCAACATTTTAAAAAATATGTAAAATCTTTTTCTTCCTTTTTCAAAAAAAAAACTTTTTATTACCTCGATTCTTTAGTTTAGTAATTTGTGAATTTAATGTGGTATCATCATTTCTAATAAGAGAAAAAAATAAAGCCACATTTTAGGATTTAATTTGAACTATTCAAATTTTACAACCGAGTCTACCTTACATCGAAATTATAAAGCAAATATTTATTATACGTGGCGTAATAAATATATATTCCCTCCGATTTGTATGCAAAGATTTAGACAATTTGTCGAATGGAAAAAAAAATAATAGTTAACCATAAAGGGGCAGCCATTGGAAGTCACGTTTGAAGCGATTTCCGCCTGAATTCATTACATATGGAAACCATGGAACATTGATTGTCACCGCACAATATGGACAAGTGTCTGTTAAATTCGCCTGACTCGAATAATAATCTACTAATTTCTCGGAAAGAAGGTGTTACGAAGCTATACGAATGAATTGAAGAGGTTCAGAAATAAATTTTTGGCTATTACTTGTAATTTGTTGCGAAGAAAAAACACCTAAGGTGGGGCAAATCGGTTGTAAAATTTGGATAGTTCAAATTGAATCCTAAAATGTGGATTTATTTTTTTTCTTATTAGAAATGTTGTTACCACATTAAATTCACAATTTACTAAACTAAAGAATCGAGGTATTAAAAAGTTTTTTTTGAGAAAGGAAGAAAACGATTTTACATATTTTTTAAAATGTTGACAATATGTTATATTTACCCCATTACATTTACCCTCGTTCTAAAGAGACAATACAATTATATAGAAAAACATATGGGACAATTGTAAATACAAATTTGGTTCCTCTAAAATTTGATATGCTGTTTATTTATTTATTTCAAAAAATAACAGAGCTACAAAATAATAAAGAAAAAATAAGAAACAAACCCTGTCTAATGCACAAAAGAACTATAAAAATAATAAAAACATTAACATAATAGATAAAAATATTACATTTACCCCATTTTTACATTTGCCCCACTCTACCTTACAGATATTAATAATGACAAAAAAACTCTCTAATTCTCTTGAATAAATATGTTATAAAATCAGACATTTATACACATTGCATAAATAATAAACTCTTGAAGCAATTTTGAAAAAATTAATACTACACCCATCTGGTGCGCAAGTTAATTTAATCGTCATAAATAGTACCTAATTACATCATATTAGCTGCTCTAATTGTTCATAATGATCGTGTTTTTTGCATGAAAAAAAAAAGTAAAATTGAGTAAAAAGTAGAAAAAACTAAAGAACCTTCGTATATGCCATTATTCGAAAGTTCGATGTAAACAGGTGTAAAGAAGGAAATTGATTTAAAATTAACAGTATTCAGTTAATGAAAATTGTATTAAAAGCTTTAACATTAAAATGTGAATAGACTTAATAGGTAAGTTAGTTAAACTAGCTAGAATTTATTTACTAATATTTCGTTAGGAGAGGACTGTTTAGGGAATATTTCGAGTTTACAATTAGTTTATTCAACCAGTCCGTTTTCAGTCGAAAAGTTTTATCAACACGAAACATTCTCCTCTCTAAAATCCATTTATGCTCTAACAGATCTAACTCAAATCCAAATAATAGTGCAGTATATTTCAAATGGAATAAAAGCTACATGAAAATGAATTAGGTACTCAAATATTGCAATAATAGTTATTATTAAGGAAGGGAGAAACTTGATTGGAAAATATTTTTTTAGATCAGAATAAGAAAGTCCTGGAGTTTGTAGGTTTAATAAGCTGTTTTAAAAAATAAAACTATACTTTTTGAAATAGTTCATATATTTAATTACCAGCGAAATAATACACAAACAAGGCGAACTTTTTCTGTGAAAATAGTGTAATAAAATGTATAATTCATTACCATAACGAACAAACTTAATTATTTGTTGAAAAAAATTGTTTTAAACAAAACCTAGGTTATATTCAAGTTTAAATATTCTCCTATTTTCTTCACAATCGGGATGTGTTGTATGAAAAAAATTATCCAGTGCAGTGATTTTTATTAAAAAAAACGTGAAAAGAATAGCACATAGAATGGTAAGTCTTTCAATAATCGATTTCACATTCGTTGATATCATCGAAATGCATCATTCATTATTGATGAAATTAGATAAAACTGCACTAATAGTGTATTTTATATTGCGTATTTACACGACAAAATGTAATTCCAATGGGAATGCAGGTGTTTTAATTAAAAATTTATTCATGTCAAGCCCCCGAATCGACTTCCACAGCCCCGGAATATCAAAACGTTTTTCGTCGATGGAATAATTTTAAACCCAAGCAGCGTTTTATTAGCACTTTCAAACCACCAATTCGAATCTATTAAAACTCGTTTAATTTTTTTTTATTTGTTACCTTCGCTAGAATTTCATTTACCTGTTTTCTAAGCATACTATGTGAAACAGAATACCCTAAAAACTTTTACCTAATATACATCTATTATTAAAGTTCAAAGTTCCCTTCCCTGTCAATCAGCTGTTCTGATTCCTGCTACGCAGGATCATCCACACAATTTTCCTTTAACTCCGCAATGACCACGTGACTCCCGCCATTTTCCACTCAGGACGAATTTCCACGCGAAAACTCCCGAATTCCTGGAAAAGTTACCTTTCAACAGCATCACCAAGAAACTACTCGATTCATTTTAAACCTTGATTGGTTTTCCCAACGCCTTTTTGAAGGAAATTTTTCAAGTGGTGTGACTTGTGCGATTTTCCCTCCATAATGCTAGATCAGGACCGTAGTAGGGAGTTTCTTTTGGACCGAAAAAATGATGTTATGGAGTAGATAATTTGGAGCAAATTAGAACCGAAATTACTCGTTTATTATCTAACGAATTCAGTTGTTGAAGTCTGGTGGTGTGATTGTTGGGATTTCGTGAGTAAGAGAATCTTTCGTTACGGTCCTGGTTGATTTGATAGATCGATATTTTGGAGCCGTAATGTCAGTTGGCGAACGGGACTCGGGGGTAGAGCACGCTTTTCATTTTATTGCATTTGCACCATTGGAACACGCGGCGGCGATTTTCCGAATTTTCCGAAAATAAATTATGCCATTTTCCGGTGTTTTTCTGCTCCTTTGTCGCTCGAAATCGCGGTCGAGGTTCCGTTATGTCGGATGTGCCGTTATGTAATTTAGGAAAATCGTTTTTCTCTTTCGAGAGCTTGGTATCTTCCTTTGAAATGATTCCGTCTAAATACTGTGATTCTTCTTCTTCCAGTAAGATGATTGTTCTCTAATTTATTTTTTATTGAAACTCATGTAGATACACGGACACTTTTTCTAAACATATGTGACACGAAACACGAAATATTTGTCGATTAAACCGGCAAATTGGAAACGAAATTAACGAAGGAATCGACGAAATAGGTAAACTTTTACAACACTCATTCATCATACTATTCAAAAATATTTTATATAGGTAAACTAGATAGAAAACTAAAAACTTTATTCCATAATTTGAATATTAATTAACACGATTTGTATTGCTTTTCTGTTATCATTTGCATTATAACTCGCTGCATTTATTGATCAATTACAGATTGCAGAGGTTTGTTTCTGTTAATTGAACCACTAATTGCTGAGTTAAATTTTAATGAGCGTTACAAATAGAGGTACAGAAATTTGGTGAATAAATTAATTAGGTAAAAGCAAAAATTGGTTAATAATTTTAACATAAATATGTGATTTGAAATGAAAATATTTAGCTTTAGCGTGTGATAATAATACAAACTGTTGCGTGAAATTTCAGTAAATTATAAAAATATGTCGCGTGCAGAAAATTATGTAGAATTTGTGTAATGTGAAAAGAAAAATCAATAGTTCAACAAAATGGTTAATGAATAAAAGGTTCTTTAAATTAATTAAGATAATTTAACGCCTAAAAATAACTATTTATTTGTCGATAGATGGATTTTATTAGAGCCTAAAATATTGAAATATCCAAGTAAATAAAGGTAATAAATAATAAAATTTGTTTTCTTCGTTTTTTTGTCGGTTTATATAGAAATCGATTTTTATAGCTATTAATCGACCATTATTAAACAAACATGTTTGTATATTTTATTGTAAAGTGTATGTATAACATATCCTTTATTCAAACTCTATCATTTGATTGAATTTTTAATAGAAACTTGCCATTTTCATAGCAGTTTTCATTAATGTCAATAACACTTTAAACATTCGAATTGATTTGATTCAATATTATTCATATTTTATTTACATATATTCTGTACTATCCTTCGATATGTTTATTATTTATTTATCCTTTTTTTTTTCTTTTAAAACGCCTTTTAGATCTATATCTAGGAAATAATCGATTTGATAAATATAAAGTTAATAAGAAGCATTATTATTTGGGAAAAATTGATTGTTACCATTAAAAATGTGTACCTACATTTGTTGTAACTTCTATTTATATACCGTTATCGCTTTCCCTATGTCTAATTATTATCAAAAACGTTCCAGATATTATTTTAATACACGGTAGTTCATTTTTACAAAAAAATCCGCGAGCATATTTTTCATTATTTCAATTAATAGAAATGATTTAATAATAATTTGGTAAGAAAACTAAATAAAAGTTGCACTAAAAAACAATTTTCTGTTATTGTTCTTTATATAAAACACAACAAAATATAGGTTTAGGTATTTGAATTACCCTATACAGTTGATTATATTTTCTAAGTGTTATCGCTTTGCTATTTCCTCAACAAACGAATTAATTGTTCGGTTAGTTTTCTTCTAACCGCGAATTTACTTCGATCATATTCACATAAAGTCAGTGAACATTTAAATTTAAAAAAAAATTCTACAAAATTTAGAAAATATTCTCAAATATTTCAATCATTTTTTCCCAAAATTAAGTAGATATTTGCCTTTTGAGATCTCGGATTTGCATTAAATAATAAATGATTATCTAGTGTTAAGATTCATCTATTTTTTACTGAAAAATACTATACTTGAAAGATGACTCTTTTTTTGCAAACTTCAAAATTGCAAATAGAAGAAAGCATACCCGAAGAACAGGAAGAAGACTTAAGAAGGGAGTTAGAAGAAGAATTGAAAGAGAATAATAAATCGAATGGTAATATTGTTATTATAGATAATAATTGAGGTGAAATCTTATCTAAATACCGAGTTCTTATGAAATATTATTGTTGTAAATAGTCCTGTAACAAAGGTCTATTGAAACATTGCATTTCTTAGGAAAAAAGAGGATTAAAAAAGCTTTATAAACCAAAACAAAACCACCGAGTAATTCATACAGACAGATCATAATTTATTTTTTATTATTATATTGATGTATTGAAATGTATACATTAGTCAAAACATAAAACCACTGTAATTTACACATGATAAAAGCATTCATTTCAATAAGTAGATACACTGAATTTACCTATACAGAAAGCCTATCCCTGATTTATTGATTTTACAGGTTAAATTTTATATATTCGATCCATCCTCGTACATTAATCTTTTAATTATTTACCCTACATTGAAACCACGCAACGAATTCGATATTAAAATAAATAAAAAACTTTGATTTCATCGAATACCGGTAATTATTTTCTTACAACTGTTAATACTATTTAAGACACTATACACCTTGCTCCATTACCGATTGCAATGGTCATTTCTATGAGTGGAACAAAGAAAGATTATCAAAAATGACAGCTGTCAGAGTGAATAGTTGCAATGACACAAATGTCACTCTTTCTTTTTCCTTTGTAAGTATCTAATGGAAGTTGTCTTTATCGCACCCTACAGATTGCTCCATTTTTGATCGCAACATATAGGTTATTTAGGCCATGGGTGCGATAAAGACAACTTCTATTAGACACTTACGAAGGAAAAGGAAAGAGTGACATTTATGCCATTGCAACTTTTCACTCTGACAGCTGTCATTTTAATAATTAATCTTTCTTTGTTCCACTCATGGAAATAACCATGTTGCGATCGGAAATAGAGCAATATAGAGTATTTTTTTAGAGCGTGCTCTGGAGGTATGCGAGTTCGATAGCATACCGGCATCTCCGACGATGAGGGGAAGACATTTGAGCAAATCCACTTCGGAGCTGAGCAACCCGAGGGAACCCGATGAGTACCGATCTCAATCGGCGGTACTGCCGGAATCCTCGCACGTTTCGGTTTACCAAAAAGCGCACAGTTTTCTAGCACAAATCAAGGTAATGTGAAATAATAAAAATGCACAAATCCAAGTAATGTAAAATGGCGGCTGACAAATATGGCTGCACTGCAAGAAATAAATTAATGACCTAAAGCAGGGCGCGCACTGAATCGACTCGGAACGGTCGGATCGGAAAAGAGCGTTCGGAAGAGTTTGGTACATACGAAAATAAATGCAGTACCGCGCACTCAATCGGAACGATCGGATCGGAACGGTCGGATCGGATCGGAATCGTCAGAGTATTCTCGAAGGGGCAACTTTTCCGAACGTTCCGAAGGTCTATCTTTTTTTATGTAATGCTATCTTTGTCGATACTAAATTTACTTGGAATATCGTCCCCAAACTATTGATTTTTCACAGATTAAATTTAAATAAATTCGTATTACCTTTTTATAATGAACTATTTAATGAGTAATGTAGATACTTTTTTATGAAAATATGTGCATATTCCTTTTGATAATAGCGATTTAGAAATAAGGGATGGAAATAAAGCATCCACCTAGTGTGTGGGTCAGCGAGCGAGTATACAATGTATGTACAATAATGTATAAAATAATTAAAATATTCCGATGCATTCCGAAGTCTCTGAATCGGTGCGCGGCATACGCTTCCGTTCCGAACGTTCTGTTCCGATCCGACCGTTCTGAGTCGATTCAGTGCGCGTCCTGCTTAATGCGTCCAATATAATCGGATTAAAAAGTACCTAGTTCTACTGGGTGTATAATTACCTATTAACTAGTAAATCCTAATGAGTTTGTTGTGGATTAGGTACAACTTAGGATTCAACCTAAAGTCGGCCATTTTCTTGTAGCTTCATTGACAGAAAAATTATTATGCACAAAATTACGAAATTTGAGCCTCCTGTAGTCTGTAAAAGCATGAAGTCTCCTCGATATTAGCTATAGTTGAATAATTGTGATTTAAATTCGAAAATATTAAAATAATTTCGAATTTATTTCACGTTAAATTTATATAGGTGTTTTATTTAGGAGGAATCATAGCCTCCGTGGCGCAATTGGCTAGCGCGTTCGGCTGTTAACCGAAAGGTTGGTGGTTCGAGCCCACCCGGGGGCGAATTTTTTACAAATTTTTTCACTATATTTATTACAATGCTTATCGATTTTCGATTAACGATGAGGAATTTTCAACTTAATTTGATAATAATTACAACAGGAGATTATAAAATAGTGTGCCTAGATTATTCCATCCACACCAAAATATTTAATTTTTATTCCAAACTAAATTCACTACACATTTCTTATATTTTAATCCAAGCAGGTAAATACACCCTATTCTCGGATTCCCGTCATTAAAAACCAACCCTAAAAGTTAATTCCTACACAATTGCGTTTTTAATCCCTTAACTGCATCATTAGACAACAGATAATCCAATGTTATCTACCACTTTTACAAAATCATCCACTTTTACAAACAAACTAATCGTAAAGTAAAACCCACCACTAATTCTCAAAAACTCCCATTTTCCTCCTGCAAAAATCCCCGATTAATCAACTCCACCAAGTACCAGGACACTCTCTCTACAATATCCCCGGAATCCCCTACGCAGGAAATCCGACAACACCGCCTCGACTCCCTTAAGTACCCTCTACAATTTCCCCGGAATCCCTTACGCAGGAAATCCGACAACACCGCCGCGACTCCCGCGATTTTCACCGCGATTATTCGACTGTATTGTGTGTTGCAGAACCGACTGGGGCACTCGAGCAAGCGCGATCGCAGGAAGTCTCCCGGCCGGCAGGACAGCACCGATTACGCTGCTGATCTCAGCAGCGATCACAGTACCCCCAGTACTCAGAGCCCCAAGCATCGGGCCCACAGCAGGACAGGTAGGGCTGTTTACGAAGCACTAATTGCACTGAAACTAAGCGATTTTCTTGCACTAAATGAACCGGTTCGATGTTTAGGATTTCGTTAATCTAATTGCTTGTGTTGAGTCATTTATTATTAGAGAGTTGAGAGATGAATGTAATGGAGATAATTTGGGGTTGGAACAGGTTTTTGTTTTACCCTCTTCTTGTGGAGTTCTATTGATTTATAAATGAATATTACAGAGTTCTAAATTTCATCTGCCTACGCTTGCAAATGTAATTCGTTTGAATGAATTATGTTTTTAAATCAATATTGAAATATATGAAGTACTGAAATATGAAAATAATCCCAATCTTTTCGGTGTGTTGATTTAAAATTCCTTTTGAAAATGGTCTGTAATACAATAAAAAATTCATTTACATGTAAAATTGTAGCTTATAGCATAGAAGATATAAGTGATATTTTTGGATTGAATTAACTTTTGAATTGAAATTTTTAATTAAAAAAGTAATAGTAATAAAATACAATTATATTGCTCGATTGATTAGTTATCGGTACCGTTTTATTCTCTCTCTCTAGATACTTTAATAACAATTCTTTCAACCACTTACCTAGATATAAATAAATGAATAATTTGGGTAGAAAAATGGGATTTTTATTATATTAATTGTAACGATATTAAACTGTTTCATAAAAGTTGAGGAAGTTTGTAAAATTTGCGATTATTTTGGGCGATTCGAAGAATGTTGTTGTGAAATTGAAATTTTTGATGATTTTTTTTTGCATTTAGATAATTAGGATTTAAATAAATAGGATCGAAAAGGATGTAAGAAGGTAAAATGCTCCATAAAAGTTAAGAAAGTTTGTAAAATTTGCGATTATTTTGGGCAATTCGAAGAATGTTGTTGTGGAATTGAAATTTTTGATGATTTTTTTTGCATTTAGATAATTAGGATTTAAATAAATATGATCGAAAAGGATGTAAGAAGATAAACTGCTCCACAAAAGTTAAGAAAGTTTGCAAAATTTGCGATTATTTTAAGACTTTTGATCACCAAATTTTCAAATATGCGAAATTAAATGTTTTCTCTCATATCTGAATGGATACCTCTACAACTCATACTAAATTTGGCGATCAAAAAAACCATGCAACTTTTAAATGAATCTCAATATTTCCTTAACTTTTGCGGAGCAGTATATTTCCTTATTTCAATCAAAAGGTGCGCTTTGTAAAAGACCAATGCTAAAATTAAAACTTACTCACGCAAAACATTACAACAATAAATCGCTTAATTCCCTTTCGTTATCGACATTTTCCAAACGAGAACCGCCGAGTTTCGCGCTACAAAAAAAAACATTGTATGTAATGGGAAATGCATGTAAACTGATAAAAACATCATGCGCTTCATAATGGCTATTTTCGGTCAGTCGAAATTAAATAATCGCGATGGACGCGCCGCGAAAATCGTTTATTTTCCTCGCGATAAATTTCAGAGAAATTGCAAAAAAATCGGCCTAAAATCCGGTAGATATTTTTAGAAAGCCAATTCGTGTGTGATTTTCGTGGCATTGAAGACATTTATATGAGTAAGGAGAAAATTGTGTATATACAAAACAATTTTTTAAAACGCATTAATTAACGTTAATTACTATAAAATCCCGTCAAATTTATTACGAATGAATTATAGCTACATTTTATGTTTGTTTATTGTATCAATAACATCATTTCTTTCATCGCAAAAACAACAACTCTAGAATTGAATTTATATAGGAATTTTTTTCCAGACTCTCCCTTGAGCAAAGCGATAGGAGGTACAGCAGGGGGCGATACAAGTTCACCCGGTGGATCCCCCAGGCCCAGGGCGCCCCCTCCCGGAGCCGTGGCTGGACTAGATTTACTTCCTGTAAGTATTTTCCACTTTTACTCCATTTTCTACTCTCCCCGGAGTGTTTTACATGCAAAAAAAAAACGCCAGAATATTTTTAAATCGCAGTTAACTTCGAACGATGAAGTCAGCAGGAGAAGGGAGATGGCCCTGCGGCAACACTCCTTTTTTCAACTGCGTATTCACCTGCGAAGAGGCCAGAACTTGGCGGTTATGGATAAAAATGGTGAGCGATTTTAACACAAATTATAATCCAAAAATTATATACACTTGGCAATATCCAGGCATTAATAATATCGCAAATAAATGAATATTTCTAGCTACTTGTATATACACTTATTGCAATTACTCGTCCTTACACGTGGCTGAGAAATAAATACAAAAACAATATTAGTTTGCTGATAAAAATACTATAAATATTTCGATGAATTTATACAATAAAAATATGCAGAAAATAATTCGTTTATCAGTGGGCGTAGCCGGTACAATTAAATCTGCACCAGTAATATACATTTTACACCCTGATTGGTTCCCACCCCCATCAAAAACCGATTAACTCCATCATTAAAAACTCGCATAAAAGGGATGATTACCTTTAGCACTTTATTAAACACCCGCAAGAACTCGCTAGTTATACAGTTATTTAAATTATACCAAAATGGCATCGAAAAGACCTCACTCCGAAATCGAAAGCACCTCCTGCGGATTGGAACCGCCATCCAAAATGGCGAAAATTCCCGAAACCGTCCTCAACCAGCTCTTCGAAGAAGACTCCATAAGTTCCCTGGTGCCCCAATATCTCCTGGATTTCGTGCAAATGAAGAACAATTTGATGATGTCGCCTTGCTCGAGGAGGAAGATCCGCTCCAGGAACGTGGAGGCGAACATTCTGAAGGAAGCAGCAGAGGTGGAATTGGCGGATGTTCTGCAGGAGAAGTTCTCTGGACAATCCGGTGAACCTTCTCCCAGTTTATTCGATGGGTTTTTGGAGAAAGTTATCAGAGATAACGTGAGATTCAGGCTGTTGCATCGGGTGATCGGCAACCGGATCACCGAGGCGAATCGTGATGGGTCCACCAACGCCGTGAAGAAGATCTTCGTGATGCTGCAGGACAAGGTGTTCCATATGGAGCTGGAGGAATTGGAGGAGCTGGAGGAGTTTTTGAAGGATATCGTGTAGGTTTCGGTGATTGGGTTTTGTGTGGATTTAAATGACGAATTTGTAATTTTTTGTAATGACTATTTGTATGGATTCTTTGTACTAATTTTGTACTTGTTATGTAATAAATGATGTGTTTCTTATAATTTCGTTTTGAGTGTTTCTTTCGTTGCAATGGTTGGTAATTAAGTAAAGGAAATTGGTAATTAAGGAATAAAGGAGAGGAAAAGGTATCCTAATTTCGGATTAAAATGTTATTCAGTGATAATAATACCGATAATGATAAGTTTATTCTTCTAGAATTCAGGTCAACTGTTCTAAATGTGTTCAATAAGTTTTGCAAGTTAGAGGGAGAATTTTAAACGCCCTGTAAATAGAACATGAAAATCAAGTTTAGTTTTATTTAGTAATGTGTTTGGATATTATCGATACCAAATTTCAAACTTCTAGGTGTAGTTTTAATAAAGATATCATAGAAAATACATTTGATTGTTAAAAAAATGTAAAAAATTAAACATAAAAATGGTGCATTTGTGTTCATTAATTTTTAATAATTCCAAGTTAGACGGAGAATTTTAAACGCCCTGTAAATAGAACATGAAAATCAAGTTTAGTTTTATTTAGTAATGTGTTTGGACATTATCGATAACAAATTTCAAACTTCTAGGTGTGATATTAATAGAGATATCATAGAAAATAAGTTCCACTGTTTTTCTAAAAAAAATCTAAAAAATTAAACTTAAAAATGGTCCATTTTGAACTTATTAACAGTACATAAAAATTCCACAGAATCCAAAAACAATTATTAGCTATATTAGAAAAAAAAAACAAAAAATTTATCAAAAATACAAGTACTTTTATTAGAATTACTACAGTACAACAATTACAATTTTACAATACACGAAGAAACATCAAACAAATCGAAGAACAAAACGAACTGGCCTTTCGAAAAAAAATTACAAAGATTACAAATTAAAAAATTACAGATAAAAAATTACAATTACTCGATTTTCGTATAAACATGAATCAATTCTTTGATAGCGGAATTCGTTCCCTTGTAGTGAAACTTGTGTTTCCCGTCATTCGTCAATCTCATCAGCATCCTCGCTCGAACGTTGGTAGAAACGAGTTTTCCAATGCAACTTCCCATTTTCCTGGTCATCTTCTCTTGCAATCCCGTCCGGTGGTTTCTCGTCAAGCTGGTCATCATCATCTTGGTAACTTCGAAGATGCTCAAATATTCGACTTTATCCTCCAGTTTGCCGGAGATTTCGCATTTTAACTTCGACTTATCCTTGCAGTTTATCATAACTGCGAGGTATTTCGCGACTGGTTGTTTTGGAATTTTATTTGCGGATGTATTTGTGTTCATTTTGAAGTTATATTTCTGAATGTGTAAGGTTTAACAGCGCTTGAAGTTTTATACTTTTCTGGCAGGTTAAAAAAGGATTAAAAGCCGATCCAAAAGTCATTAGAAGTGTATCTTGGGGATTATTAATTATGATAACATTTCTATTGGAGGAATTTTGGGATAAAGGGATTAATTAATCCTTTGTGAAGGAGCACAAGGATGTTTGTTTGGTAAAATAAATCTGCGGTCGTTAGTTTTCCATTAAATTTCGCAATGGGATTTATTTTTTTCAGTTTTGGAGACTTTCCAATATGTTAACGATTAAAAAAATTCTGTAAAATTATTACTTCAATTTTTATTTAGACTTATAAATTGAACTGTTGTTGAGAAATTAAAGTTTGTATAAATCAAACTTCGCTATTAACACAAAGTTTAATCAACAGGCAAACAAAAAGTAATGAAACAAAATATTTGTATATTGGAAAATTCATTTTATTTATTATCGAAATTAAACAATGTCACTTTAACATATCCTCGCGTTAAATTTTAATCAATAGGTAAATAAAATGTCAAATAAAAGTAAAAAACTTTACAAACTTATTCTAGAAAATCCAAAACTGTACAAGATGATATAAAAATTATATCTACACGAAAATTATATACAAAAACTATACTACTAATACACATTAAAATTACAAAAAAAATTAAAAAATACACGACACATTTAAATTCAAATTACACACCGTAATGCACTTAAATGATATTTACACTCGAAGTGTTAGTGTTATTCAGTTTAAAACACTCCCAATGTTAAATACCTATTGATTAAATTAATCGGACATTATTAAAAAAAAACAATTCAGAATTTTCCTACAGTCTGAAATCCAACAAATTCAAATCGAAAAAATCGGCACCTTCGCTTTCTTGTTTCATAATTTCGGTAATGTGACATTCCAAAGTAGGCTTAATCGATTCCAATTTATCATTTTTAATCATTTTGCTTTTTTCCGAAATGCAATGCGCCTCGATAATATTCATAGCAACCTGAAATTCTGTATCGGTGTTTCCAGCGGTGTAAATTTCGTTATCTAGAACACTTCCAGATCCCAAATTTGCCTGGAAATTCCCGGAATTCCCGTTGTCCTGGAACACAACGAAGTCTTGTTGATTGTAAACCCCACTAGTCGTTTGTTCCGCGTATCCAGAAGCAATTCCTCTATTAGACAAAGTGCAGGAGTACGATCTGTCGATGAAAAATACAATCAAAATCCATGTTAAACAATAATCTATTCGGATTTTAACTTACCTTGGTCTCTGTTGGATATCGTTGTGGTGATCCAGGTATTTCTGTCCAGACAAATCCGCGTTCTGCAACACTTCTTGCGATGGTATCGGCATCAATCTGGAATTGTTGGACCAGGTTCTGGATCGAAAATCCGGGTAACCTGCCGGCGAATTTGCTGGTTTGGTGATGGTTTCAGGACAGGCTAAACGATTGGAATTGATATCGTAGGATCTGCTTCTCGGTCGAAAAGTCGAGCTAACGTGGTATCCAGGGAGAATATCCAGAGGATAATTGTTATCGGTTTCGTTGCCGGGAAATGGATACTCCAAGTAGCCCGTTTCGTTGGAATAGTTATTGGAGAGTTGCGAAGTGGATTGGTATTGATAACCCGAAGGTCCTGGTTGTATGTTAGGATAACCCTGGGTTGGAGTGGAGTTAGAAAATTCCTCTAGACTTATGAAATTTCCGCTGGGATTTTCGTCGGTTTGCTGATATCCTGGAATTACTGGATGATATTCTGGAGATATGTTATTGTAATTGGTGTCGAAAAGCGTGGGGGTCAATTCGGAATAATCGGAATAACCGTTGGATTCGAGAGGAATCATTTGATGTTGATTTGCAGGGTTGAATGAATTGGAGAAATGAGGAATTGAAGCTACATCGAATGCTTCGGGTATAGAAATATTTGCTTCTTGGATATTATCCGCTTGAGGCGCGAAATCCATCTGGATGGTTTCATCTTTGGCTTCGTCTTTGCGTTTTCTCGCTGTTTTAAACCGAAAAAAATCGAGTTAGTAAAAAATTAAACAGCTCAAATTGAATTTAATTACTTGTTTTGGCCGGTTTGGCGGTCAAATCGACAGTCCAGTAGGCGCTTCTGCTGTTCTTCTCGTTGGGAACCTTCACGAATTTATTGTGCAAAGACAAATTATGTCTGATGGAATTCTTCCAGCTGGACGACTTCGAGGCTTGCCTTAGAACCGGAACATTCTCGAACATCCAATCGTAGATGTTAGCTAAAGTCATCATCTTCTTCGGCGTTGATGATATAGCTTTTACCAGCAAATCGGCGTAGCTAAATTGGCCGTAAATGTTGCGACGTCCTGTAGAAAAATTAAAGTTTAAGCTATCGAAAATAGCTGTAATATTATTGACTCTAATTCCGTCCAATTACTATGAATAATTCAGCTGTAATTGTACAATGCTACGACTCGAGGGTAAATCAATTTAACTTCAAATTGTTAGTTACAAACTTGTTAAAATAAAAAAATTAACCAACCTGCTATATTCGGTTTTTTAAATGACCTGTTAGTGATAGGATTCCTCATTAAAGAGCACTCTCTTCCTGCTCCATCATCGTTGGTTGTTTCTGTTTGAGCTGCTTCGAAATCTCCTGTACTGTCCGGACCTTGGTAAGAAGTTCCCGGACATGCAGCTTCGGATTTAACTGAAGTTTGCAGTACCGGTGGAATTCTTAATGTTGGTTTAACATCCACCGGCGGTAACGATATTAAATTCATCCGGGGGTCTTGTAGAGGAATTTGTTGGTCCGGAATATCCGGCGTCATTGCTGGTTTTTTCTTAAACGGTTTCCAAATTTTTTGTAATTTCTTCTTCGCCCAGCTGGTGGATTTGCCCTCGCTCGCTTTAAAATTATCATCAGCCATTAGGTACTTCTTTTGCAACTAACAAGTACCGAAACTCGAAGTCGACTGAATAATTTAACGGGGTGGAGAGGGATGTTTCGAAAACCGATCATCGAGAAGATATTTTTGATTTGTTCGAAAACTGGAGACCGAGTTAATCTCAGACATCCCGCTTTTCTATTGCACAATAGGAGAGGACTTAGATCGTTGGTAGGTAGAAATTTAAATCTAATTAGGTAATTGACGGGGGAATGTTTTGTGGAAAACCCGGAGATTAGGTGCCTATTGAAATTGAAAGATCCTTGTTGGGCGGTTTTAAAATTTTTAATGGGGTATTTAAATTTTCAATTAAGGGATTAGGGAAATGGTGGTTTTTGCATAATATCGGCGCTGTGTTTTTTATTTTCGAATTGTGAATATGACTTTTCGAGCAATGATTAGAAGTTTTTGGAGAAGAAAAATTTAAAATACTGTTTCTCAGACTAAAGTATAAATTTTACTGGTTTTTTTATACAGGGTGTCTATACTAATTAATGTGATATTTCGGTCTTTTTGGATAAAAAAAAAAATTTAAAATAATGAAATGGTAAATAAAAGAGAAACTATCGACTTTTCGAAAAATTGTTATAGGACATTTTTTGTTCGAAATAACTTCTATAATCACCTCCTGAAGTTTGGCGGTTTTTATAATAGACACCCTGTATTGTGTGGAACTATCTCACTCTAACCACCGATATTTAATAATCTCTCTTCGTTCATCTCATAGAATCGACCATATTGCATACAAATTTGCACTTATCAGTACACCGCAGGTAGAAAGGGATTTCTAATCCTCTCGAGAAATTCGATTGTGCATTCGAATTAATTCCCAAACGGAAAAACCATTAATTTATAATAAAAGCTCAGATAACACAAATCGCATTGGAAAGAAACTTACCGAGATGTCTGGTTTAGTTCCTCCTGCAGTAACTAAAATATACCCATGGAAAATGGCGAGAGAAACCCAGCCCAAATCGAGCTTCAATCTAGCCTCGTTCGGATACTCCTTATTACCCAGTTACCTTCAAGATTTCATTCGAGTGAAGAACAATTTGAAGAAATCCCATTGCCCGAGGAGGCAAATCTACGCCAGAACAGTGGAAAACAACATCCTCAAGGAAGCCGTGCAGGCGGAATTCGAAGATATCATCGATCTGCTGGAGCAAACTGGGACCAAAGCCGGGAATAAATTCGAAAATTTCCTGCGAAAGGCTATCAGGCAGGACGTGAAATATCGACTGCTTCATCGGGTGATCGGTACCAGAAGTACCTCGGCAAAAACCACTGGATCTACAAGTGCCATTAAAAAGGTGCTAAAAATGGTGCGCGATAAGGAATTGTATATTGAATTGGAGAAAGTTAAAGAATTTTTGAGCGAGTACGATATTATTGATTACAGTACCGGCGACGAGAGCGAGGAGAATTGATTTTTTTTTTGACGATGTTAAAGTGTATTTTGTTCAGTGTAATGTGAAAATTTTTGTAAAATAAAAGAATTAAAAGACGTAATTAATGTTCAAAATTTATTTTGTATTATCACTGAAAATTAGTATTAATTAAATGCCTCTTATTACTGGGTTAACATTATTAATATCGTTTACAAGTTTGTGTTCTTTTTCAAAATGATTTTATTTTTCTTAAGAATTTTTTTCTAAAGAATTAAACAGAATTAAACGTTTTCTAATTTTTCTAATTTTTCTAATTTTTCTAATTTTTCTAATTTTTCTAATTTTTCTAATTTTTCTAATTTTTCTAATTTTTCTAATTTTTCTAATTTTTCTAATTTTTCTAATTTTTCTAATTTTTCTAATTTTTCTAATTTTTCTAATTTTTCTAATTTTTCTAATTTTTCTAATTTTTCTAATTTTTCTAAATTGAAGAGAATTTTTTTCTAAAGAATTGAACAGAATTGAACCGAATTGAACAGAATTAAACAGAATTGAACAGAATTAAACAGAATTAAACAGAATTAAACAGAATTAAACAGAATTAAACAGAATTGAACAGAGCTATTATTCCAGGATGCCAGAGTTATAACTTTAACCAATTGGTTAAAAATTGTTTTAGATTGATTCATTATTATTTCATACAAGCTCTCAACACATTTTTATATCTAATTTACATTCAACAAATCAGCATAATTTATTTTAAATGTTTATTAAATTTTTTTCATTAAGATTGTTTGTTTTTCTAAAATAGTAAATCTCATACCAACTATTTCCAACTATTATTTCTGTATGCCAGAATTATTCCAGAGCTATAATAACCAAGTGGTTAAACATTGTTTTAGATTGATTCGATTATTATTTCATACAAATTTTCAACACATTTTTTGGTCTAATTTATGTTCATCTAAAAAATGTTTGTTAATTTTTTTGTCTGTTTCGTTCCAGGTTTGAGCGATCCATATGTGAAATTCAAATGTGGAGGTCGATTGGTTTATAAATCCAGGACAGTTTATAGGGACTTGAATCCAGTATGGGACGAGAGTTTCACTGTGCCTATAGAGGACCCGTTCATTCCTATTAGTATTAAAGTTTTCGATTACGATTGGGGTTTACAGGTGAAAATGAATTTTAAATTATTTTTAAAAATTATCCAGCTAATGTTTGTTAAGAGAATTAATGATGAATTGTAGCTTGTTTTTCGTTACAGCACTTAATTAAAAAAGAACATTTATAATATGCAAATTCGTTATTTAATTAAGTCGGTTATGTATTGTTTGCTTTTTAATGAGTTTTTATCTACCTCGCAAAAACTCGTTTCGAATTTTAAACAAATTATTTTAAAGCAATTATTAATTTCAGCCGAGTCGTAAATTATTATTTATTCTTCTTCTTATCTACTCTAAGATTGAAGAAAAAAAAACGTTCAAACGTTTGGATAATTGTCTTGAATTTATCACATTCTTACCACATTTTCTAGAACAATTTAACTCTTTTTAAATGCATTTCTTTAAACTTGAGAGTCTTCTTTCAAGAAGAATAATAACCCCTCTATATTATGTAAGATTTTTTGTATTCTTTTTCTTATCTACTCTAAGATTGAAGAAAAAGAAAAAACGTTCATACTTATGGACAATTCTCTTAAATTTATCACATTCTTCCACATTTTCTAGAACAATTTAACTCATTTTAAATGCATTTCTTTAAACTTGAGAGTCTTCTTTCAAGAAGAATAACAACCCCTCTATATTATGCAAGATTTTTTGTATTATTAGGACGATTTTATGGGATCAGCATCATTGGATCTCAGCACGTTAGATCTATCGAAGACTATAGACTTAGCACTTCCTCTGCAGGATCCTTCGAAACCAGAAGCATCCTTAGGAGAAATCCTTTTGGCTGTGACGCTGTACCCTAAAACCCAAGAGGACAAAGAACAGGTAATTTATTCACTAAATTTCTATTTTAAACGTTGAATTCGAACATTCATTATCTCATCATTTAAGGATGCATTTCGCTTTCGAATTAACCTTCCGCCATTTCCGCGGTTTTATTAAAAAAAGCGGATCCTGCTCGAGTTAGAGTAAACAAAATAAATCGTTTAATAATCCCTACTATATCAAGGTTGAACGCTTGCACGAAATTAAATGTAGTGGTCTTCTTTATCAATCTAACACCTTTTATATTACTCACAACTTCTAGTGTTAAAGTGCTCGGAATAGTACTAGCAATTAGAACTGTTGCTAGTTCAGTGGCAGTTAAAAAATAGTGGAATGTTGTAGTAAATGATATAGTGATGAGGTGAAGTGGAAATTGCTAAAAATAAATTCCGATTGATTTATTTTTAGTGTAGTTTCTCGCGTTTGAAGTTCGAAATAAAAAAAAATGATAACTTACACATCGACGAGCAAATTGCGGCGGAAAGTGAAGACGAATTTTTCAAGATTTAAATACAAATTAAACGAAGAGTTTACTCGATCGATGGACGATTTGAGGATGTTAAATAAAGCTTCGCATTTTAGAAATTTTTTGAAAAACGATAGTTCGAGTTGCAGTTCGTTGTTCGATTCGAGGAGTTTGGATCTCGAGACTGCTTCTGCAGAGACAATCAGGTGAATTTTATGATAGAAATTTGGGCGAATTGAAGGCGATATTGCTAAAAAATATCCCTTTTGGAATTTTTGGAATAACAACGCTCTTGTTGTTGTTATTTAAATTGTTGTAAATCGGTTTTTTTAGTGAGTTTAAAAAACTTTATAATAGATTATTTTTCATAATTAGTTGTTACTACGAAGATGATTCGACGGAATTATATTAACTTTTCATTGTTTCAGCAAAATACACGAGTAGTTTGGAATTGTTTTTATTTGGGAAAAATATTAGCTGCTTCCTCATTGAAATTTTATAAATTCATTTGAAATTTTCGCATACTAAACGGCTGTATTATTTCCGGTTTTAATAGGCTTGAAAATGCTAGTAAAATGTTATTTTAATAGACACAATTTTATATTATGTATTTACAAATTTATTGCTTTCAATTTCGCCAATAATTCAGTAGAAATTCTGAATAAAAATTCTCTATAAATTCGTTTTAGGCTAATGGATTCTTTATCGTCAATCAGCGATGATTCAATAGAAGAAAACCAAGTTTCCTATAGATATTCGTTAGAACATAAAAAAGAATCGAATATTCTAAACAAACTATCATCGAAATTTAGAAGAAAAAACGTTCATTTGGTAAAAATTATATTTGCATTATTACTAAACAATTATAAAAAATACTAAAGGAAGTCAGTATAATGACCTTTGACTTCAACAGGACAAAATCCTTAATCCATAGAATTATTTAATACAATAGATCCTTTCAAATTACCGTACAGGAATTAACGAGAATTACTTGAATGAACAATTGTAAATAAAAACCCAAAACAAACCAAAGTCAATATACTGGCTTCTCAAACTGTATATACTTTCGAATTGTTAGAATTATGCCCAATTAATTCCATTTAAATGTCAATTAGACAAATCCTGTGTTCGAGTATTTCGTGTATAATTGTCAAATTCCAAATTCCCAAATATGTATCCTCATAAAAAAAAATCAAATTTCGACGATAAAACCGCCCATCTAAACAACACGAAGCTGAAACTGATCAGAAATCGAACATCCCCTCAGAAACTGCTCGAGCACAACGACCTGCTGTTGCCCATCCCAGGAACTCGAAGGGAAAATTCCCATCACCGAAACGAATTGGACAAAACCGAAGAATTGGAGCGCCTGCTGAAAGAATCCAAAGAGAACCACGAACAGCAGATGAGAAAAATCATCCGCGAGTTGGAAATATCCAATAAAAATTTGGTTTCCATCAAATACAAATCGCAGGGTAAAATCAAGCAGTTGGAGAAAATGCTGGTCGAATACAAAAACGCGAACGAAAATTTGAAAGAAGAAATCGACGGGGCGTTGAGGAAAAATTCGAAACACCAAGACTACAATAATTTAAAATCGAAGTACAAAAAGGCGCTGGATAGAAACAAGGAACTTCGGGATAAATGGGACAGATACAAATCCAAATTAAAGCGAGCTATTAACATTATCAGCGAGTTGAATAATTTACTGGGCGATACAACTAAAATCCCCAATTCCGAAGCGCTAAATGAGTTAAAGGAGTTGACTGATAACGAAAGTATTACTAAAGAAAAATGCACTTTCTTCGATTTCATCGGATCGAATTTGCGATGTGGCGACGGTGCAAATAAAATGGGAAAAAACGAGATAATTATGGCTGATATGCTCCTAAAATTCCGGCCGTTCGAGGACGATTTATTACTCAGTAAAAAACATTCTTGGTCTATATTGGAAGATATTTAAATGTACATTTGGATGATGAAATATATTCATTTGCTAGCACACACAGACAATTTTATTCCTGCTTCTCTAAACTTCTTCTGCTGGTGTTTGCAATAAACCACTCAATTTTACCTTGTACATATTTAACAAGAAATTAATTTTAGTACTTCCAGAAGACAAGCCGAACTCAGGACGTTAACAAAAGACTCAAATCTCAAATATGGAGTTCGGTTGTTACCATAGTTTTAGTAGAAGGTAAAAATCTCCTGCCCTGCGATCCCGAAACAGCAACTTCAGATCCTTATTGTAAATTTAGGTGAGTGTTTCCATTAAATACTCCATCATACACCAATTCATTTCGAACCATCAGATTAGGCAACGAAAAATACAAAAGCCGAGTGATATGGAGATCGTTGAATCCGAGATGGTTGGAGCAATTAGACCTGCATTTATACGACGACGGAGACCAACAACTAGAAATCACCGTGTGGGATAAGGATAGAACCAGAGATGATTTCATAGGAAGGTGAATGCAATTCACCATTCAGGTTCCAATTAACATCAACAATTTCTTGTAGGTGCTTGATTAATCTGAGCGCATTCGAACGCGAGAAAACCCACAACATTTGGCAGGAACTGGAAGAAGGCGCCGGTTCTTTGCATTTGCTGCTCACGATTAGCGGAACAACAGCATCGGAAACGATTTCTGATTTGACGACGCACGAGGAGAACGAAAGGGAGAAACAGAACATCCTCGACAGATATGTGAGTGAATTTCGAACACCTCTAGAACTTTAATAACATAAATTCGTTTGTATAAAGTCTTGGCATCGGACTTTCCACAACATCAAAGACGTCGGACATCTCACTGTTAAAGTTTACAAAGCACAAGGTTTAGCCTCGGCTGATCTTGGAGGTAAAAGCGATCCGTTTTGTGTGCTCGAATTAGGTAATGCTCGATTACAAACCCAAACCGAATACAAAACTTTAACCCCCTGTTGGAACAAAATATTCACCTTCAACGTCAAAGACATCAACAACGTCCTCGAAGTGACCGTTTTCGACGAAGACAGGGACCACAAAGTCGAATTTTTAGGTACTTATACACAACAGAATCACCTCCAGAACACTCCTAAAAATCCTCGTTATCGTTGAAGGTAAAATCGCCATACCTCTGCTGAGGATTCGCAACGGCGAGAAACGTTGGTACGCCCTGAAAGACAAGAAACTGCGGTCGAGGGCCAAAGGCAACGGGCCCCAAATCCTCCTCGAGATGGCCATCGTTTGGAACCCCATCAGGGCCTGCATCAGAACCCTCAATCCCAAAGAAGAAAAGTACATGCAGACCGAGATGAAGTTCAAGCGGCAGGTCTTCGTCAAGAACGTTCTGAGGCTCAAAGTGTTCGTCATGTACTTCCTCGAATACGGGAAAATGTTCCAGTAAGTATTCGTTGATCTAAATAGGTGGTTGTTTGTGAGGATTGTTTTGCAGAAACTGCTTCGAATGGGAATCGAAAATCCAAAGTTTCGCCGCTTTGGTTGTTTGGTTGATACTTTGCTACTATTTCCAACCGTGGATGTTCCCTCTGTTTGTTCTATTGATATTTTTCAAACAATACATGGTGAAGTCTTTATCGGCGCCTCTGCAGGTGTCCTGGGACGAAACGCAGGATTCGGATTTGGACGATGACGATGATGAAGATAAAGAGAAGGAGGAGAAGAAGAGTTTGAAGGAAAGACTCCAAGCTATACAGGAGGTCACCCAAGGGGTGCAAAATGCTATCGGACGAATTGCTTCCCTTCTCGAAGGGGTGAAGAAGTAAGTGAATAGTTAATAACAAAAATTGTTGCATAAAATTCTTTGTTTCAGTATGTTCAATTTCACGATTCCTTATTTATCGTGCATAGCGATTTTCCTGCTGACAGTGGCGACTGTGGTGTTGTATATATTACCTGTAAGGTATTTATTGATGCTCTGGGGGCTGAATAAATTCTTCAGGAGGATCCTGAGGCCCCATTCGGTGCCGAATAACGAGTTGCTCGATCTTTTGTCCAGAATACCCGACGATGAGATGTTGGTGAGTGAATTTTCTGTTGTTGTTTTTCCATCGCTTTCGATAATATATAACCGTTTTGCACTGAAGGAGGAAAATCATTGTACTAGATTTTTGGTAGAGGATAATGTGAAAAATGTAAATTTTAAGTGGTATAATGATTTTTTTTTGTTCGGAAAAATATAGGTCTGCTCGTGTCACGGAAACATTTTAACAATGGTAAAGGGACGTGCTGTAATAATATTCTTCTTTTTTCTACATTTCGAGTTTATAAATTAGATTGAGTAAGTTATTTAGTAGAAAGTATTGGAAGTATTACTCACGGTAATGGTGAAGGACTATCATTTTCATACTGGTAATTTGTAGTTATTGGAGAAAATAGGATTTTTTATCGATGCTTCGATTTGTTATATTTTAATTGCTTCAACAGTTATCTTCTAAATTTCCACTCCAAGTTTGTAGATTTGGGTTTGATGGTTGGGAAAATCGTTTTCTTTGGAAAATTGCATGCATAGAGGTATATGGAGGTTGGGTAATTAATTGGAATTAAAATTTTCTAATAATACTACAATTTCTAATCATCAAGTATTAATTTGTTAACAAAATAACTCATTTGTTAACGAATTTTTTCGTATGATGTATACAGTGAGGACCAAAAGTCCATCGCCCTCCCTTTAACTTTTGAATGGTAAGAACTTTTGTCGCGAAATTTGGGGTGTTTATATTGGAGTAAAAATACTATTTTTTGACGTAAAAATGACAGTTGAAACTTTCAAAATGACAGTTAGGCGCCATTTTGAATCTTTTTTTCTTATGGAAAGGGGGGGTCAAGTGACAATGGCTCGTCCTTTAAACGAAAAAACTGTCAATTTCATCAACTTTAAATTTGACAAATAAATGTCAGAGCCAAGAAACCATAGCAACAAATAATTGACACATTTTATAGTACGTTCATAATTAATTTTTAAATGTATCAATATGCTCGGGGGTTAAAACTAAATTGGTATTCACGTGAATACGCGTTATTAAAATGTTTTCAAATTTGGGAGTTGACTTAAGAATGAAATTACCTTTAAAACGAGGTGTCACTTGACCCCCCTATAAGAAAAAAATATTCAAAACGGCGTCTAACTGTCATTTTGAAAGTTTCAACTGTCATTTTTACGTCAAAAAATAGTATTTTTACTCCGAGATAAACACCCCAAATTTCGCGGGCCCAAATTAATTCAAAAATTAAAGAGGGGACGACTGAAAAGAAAAAAAAAAAAAAAAAAAAAAAAAAAAAAAAAAATAGTCCCTTCGCCATCCAACCAGTAAATTAAACTAGGCCAAAAATGACACCTGCAGACTTACATAAAATTACTGGCCTCCGGCCTATCGACGCACCTGGGTCGCTTGACCGTTATTCGGGGCTACTTGCAGCTGGATTACAAGGACCTGAAGCTGCTGATGAGCACCGACAGCGAGCGAGAGCGAAGGCGGGAGCCCAAAAAGAAGCTGAAGGCTTCCTAGTGGTCGCTGATGTCGAACGTCAAGGACAGGTGGAAAGTGCGCTTTGAAAAAATCAATGAAAAGTCTGATTAGTCCCTTCGATAGATTTAGAATTTTATGTTGATGGTAGATGGTTGTGTAGTCACTTTTTTTTTATTATTTTTAGTGTTAAAATTAGGGTGTACTGATGCGAGGATTTTAAATTTGTAAATTTGTAATATATACTGTTAGAATTTAATGCAATCCTTACAGAAAATACTTATAAAATCAATTATCTGAAGAATTTGTACATAAATTTAATCATCGAGTTTAGGACATTAATTAAATTTTATGATCGTTTAGAGTAAAATATATTTTTGTTATCTACAATAATTTTAATATTGAATCGCTACGTTTGTTAATTGTTTCAATATTTTTTCTTCTCTTTTGTTAATTTTTTTATAAAAATACTTTACAAGTAAAATTTAAAACTTATCAAATTATAGATAGGTAAAAAAATGTTTTTTTTAATGTAAAGATAATAATAATTAAGTATTTACTTAGGTATAGTAATTCTTGCCAGTAACCATTGCAATTTTAAAGTGTTGTGATAACTACATAAATTATTTTGTAAATTTAGAGCATAAATGAAAATGTGAGCTGTAAAAAGTTATCTAAGAGTTTTAGGTAATTTGTAGGCTACAATTTTATTGTTGTTTGATTTATCGAAAATGTGTTATTTCGTAATTTTTGATCGAAATTACGATTATTGCCTATTGATAAAATCGATTTTTTCCGAATTATTGTGATTAAATTTAGCTACTTCGCACTTATTGTTTGTTGCACAAATTTTTCAATTCAATCATTAGCTACTACTTTATAAGCTGATACTTATATAAATTAAAATGATAAATAAAAAAAATTATTTAAGGTTTTAGATACTCTAGTAGTTAGATGATAGATGGATACATATTATATCTATTTATTGTTTTTTTTTATAGAGATAATCAAGCGACAATTACATTAAAAATTTAAGTAAAATTTATTTCAATCTATAAGATGTAAAATTCACCGTACGAATTTTTGTCACATTACGCAAATCATTCTGCTCCGTGTTAAAAATATTTAAGAATAATAAAATGTAAAAAAAATTTATATTTCTATTTTTATTAAAATTGTATTTGAAATATAAAATGTTTATGAATATTAATGTATTAAATTATATCAATTACGTATTAGTGTTTTTTTGCAATACAAATTACGATAAAAAAAGAGACATATAAGTTGCCTATACATCAGGTTCAAAAAAATCTTATTTCGGAACGCACCTACAAAATGACACTAATGACAGAAACGTGACATTTAACCCGACAGTAGTTCGAATGCGACGTGACACTGGTGACAGATCAAATCAAAATGTCGAGCGCAGTTTGTTGATTTACCAAATTTCTATGAGTTGAATTTTTAAAATACTTTCCGCTTTTTATTAGTGTTAATTTTATCGGAGACAGGTCGCACGAAGATGAGCAACCATCACAATGGTGCCAGAATAGCGGAGACGGAACAGATGGCACAATCCCAATGTCTCAAAGTTTTTATCCAACGGGATTACAGCGAAGGGACCATCGTGAAATTCCAGAACAGATTCCCGCAGGAGCTCGAAGGCAGGGTAAGTGAATTACTAATTAGTAACAGTAAATTATTACTATTTAATTATACGGAAATGTTTGGTGTAGATCGAACGGCAGGCATTCGAAACAACAATAAACAGACTGAATTCCTACTTCGCCGAGGCCGAAAAGGCGACGTGCTCCGCCTACTGCGAGGGCTGCTTGGCCTGCCTCACGGCCTATTTGATCTTCCTTTGCAAAGAGACTCATTACGAAAAAGTGGGTATTCGCGGAATGTTATTTGCCGTACATACCTCGAGCATTATTCGATTCGATTTTTTTTTGCAGTGTTTGAAAAAAGTTTCCAAATACATAGCGGAGCAAAACGAGCGGGTCTACGAGCCGCGGGGGCTGAAATTGACCGATCCCAGCATGAGGGGCTTGCGGGTGCTCGAGGTGAGTTGTCTGGACAGGCCCCCGAACGCATGACTCACCGTGTCCCACTCCACGCAGGAGTTTTTCATGTAAAACTCGTGTCGTATTATCGCGAACGGATAGCTTCAATATTGCGTATATCGATATATGTATATGCCAAAATGGCTCAAGACTGTTATGTAATATGCCACGTTTTATAAGTAATTTTAATGTAGATCGTATGTAGCAGAACTTTGGACGTTTTCGGTACGGTATTTTTTTTTTTTGTTTTAAATCAAAGAGTTTATGCTACGGTCGTGTATTTGTAAGGTCTGGAAACCGGTCGAAAAGTGTCCCGATATTTGAATAGAAGATAAAAAAAGGTTCCTAAAACGGCCGCTAGAAGGCGTTGTTGTAAAGAATTATATAGAAACAAAAAATACATACAAAATATGGAATTATACTTAAATAAGCGATGATTTTGTTGTTAACATCACATCTCACATATCTTCGGTTAATGTATTTTTCCATTTTCTCCTCGAAATATCAAAAATAAATTTTTGAAGTTTTGACAGCTCGAACTGTCATTTCATATTTCACACAACCGTGGATTACGGTTTTTTTTTGCGTACGAATTATATAGAAACTAAAAATACTTACAAAATATACTTAAATTAGCGATGATTTTGTTGTTAACATCACATCTCAAGTATCTTCGTTTAATGTATTTTTCCATTTTATCATCGAAATGACAAAAAATAATTTTTGAAGTTTGACAGCTCGAACTGTCATTTCACACAATCGCGATTTATATGTAGTTCAAAAAGTCTTTATTTAACGGGGCACATTTCTCTAATGAAAAATCGTAAGATGTTTCCAGATTTTAGAAATATATGGGCCGTGGTTTATGCCAAATATGCTTATCATGGAGAATATATCGTTTACAAAAGTATATAGGATGTTATAGTGGCATTTTAATTTTATATTAAAGTTGATTTTTGTGCAATTGGGTTTGTAAAAATCGATTGCAAAAATGTGTTCTATTTTTTACGTAACTATTCATGTTTTATTCATTTAGTAAATTCCCGCTCGATGTGTTAAGATTTTTAAGGATATTTGATATTTATTGCATTGGTGGATTTGTGTCTATAATACATTCGAAGTGTCTAATAAGTATTTTAATTGGAGTTTGAAGTTTCTTCATCTTGCAGCTACCCGTTCGATTTTCTGGATATACTTTCGAAGGATTTTAGTGAATGTTTTTATGAATTTTATTATAATCTAAATTCTATTTATTTTAATATGGAGGACACACTGCTGTACTCTTAACGTTATTTGAATTAATTCCATGTATGGCATTTAAGTAGAAGCTTTTATGTAATTATAAGTTTTAAATTAATTTCAATTACTTTAACGTCTTCCATTTTCTTGTTTTTGTTCGACATTTTCTTCTAGCTTGTGGTTAATTGATAAGAATTGCAATTTGCGACCAATAATATCACCTACCCTGATAAGAATCTTGAATTTTCTCCTTCGATTAAATAACAAAAAAGCTCAGCTTGTCTTAAAAAAATGCTTGAAATGCGAATAAAGGATTGTGATCGAGAGTTTGATAATAACGAATGTGGATATTTTGTATGTTTTCTATACCAATCACCTAATTATAATTATTTATAACGGATAATCGATTGTAAAGCATTAAAATTGTATAAAATATATTTGTTTTTATAAATTCGCAGTATTTATTTCGCTCCAAAGTTCCCGAAATACACAGAAGATGAAAATAAATGTCTTTCCTTTATTTTTTTTTGGCCCGGAGGCCCGATCGATTTGAAGACCACTTTCACTTCAAGTTCAATGTCTTTCGCTCGCGATAAATAACAAGAAATTAATTGAATTAAATTTTACGAAACAAGTAGAGCAAATATATTCCATATTCGATTCGACTGGTTACAAGAATAGTTAAACAATTTGGTTTTTGTACCTACTGCTTCAATTTAATGAATATTTTCTTGGTGTAAATAGAAGAAAATATTGTTTAAATCAACTGGTTACAAGAATAGTTTGGTTTTTGTACCTACTGCTTCAATTTAATGTATATTTTCTTCGCGTAAATAGAAGAAAATATTGTTTAAATTAAACCGGAATTGGAAGTGTTGAGACATCAACATATTTCTTGATTATATTAATGGATATGTTCCGCCCTGTATACTCTAAATGTGTAAAAGTATCACTTTCTTTATCATTAATATATCTTGCATTGATGGTTTCGTGAAATCAACAGTAATTACAGTAATCCCGGCGATTTTAGATTTTTTAAATTTATTAAAGATTTCTCCTATTTCGCGTTTTTAAGTAAAAGTTTGGAATTGTTTAAGTTTGCTAATTTTATTTACAATTACCTGGTTTGGTTTTAATTCCTTAGCGGAATTACCTTAATGAAATCATAAGATTTATATCGCTGAAAGAGGTAAATACCGAAAAAGAAAGGGAAAAGTTTCTCTTGTGAAAAAAAAATATCAAAATTTGTTGAAGGTCACCTATAGCTCGGAGACAGATTTTTTACTCATTATTTTTTACAGTAAAGTATTAATTAATTAGATTTGTGCATATTTTACATATTTTTGTACCAGAATTGCAAATTCCTCTAAAAAAAGGAACTCCTTAGTCAATTGATTCACCATAATTTATTATATGAACTACCAAGTTATTGTATAAATCCATTTATCACTGATAAACTTTGATAAATTTAATAGTGAATGCAATTTTTATGTAATCTAATCATTATATATTGTTTTTTCGTCCTTAATTTTTATTACACCTTTATTAATATACAAAATAAACTTATTTTTGTACCTAAATTTGCAGATACATTAAACCAATTATCACTTCTTCAAACCTCAATCATCTCATTAAGCATTTACACCCAATTAATTAAATGAAATTGGAAATTTCGTCTCGATTTTTCACGCTCCAATTTTTTCGTTTTTATCATCTTCGACACGAAACACCATTTTTATTTTGTTCTGTACATGCAAGTTTTATTTACATTATTCACACGATAAAATTGATCCAAAAATTAGAACAAATCCAAGATTTTCCCGGATCAATTAATTATTACTAGTATCTACTTTAAACAGTGTTGAAATACCGTAATCTCCGTAACAGAAAATAATATTGATTTGCATGTTAATTCACCAAGGATATCAACTTTTAATCACTTTTGCACTGCATTGGGATTACGAATTATGAAACGGTAAATTGTAACCTTTCAACAGGAAGTCCTTATTTAACTCCAATGAGTAACAATTTAAAGCACTATTTACTTTAAAGCATATAGAATTGTATTCCAAATTTTGTAGACCTAAAACAACAATTCTTTTGCCAGATATTTCTAATACTCGAGGTATAATTCGGATAGTATAATGGTGTTTATGTAAGCACAAATTCCACTTTATTTCGCAAATTTTAAGTGCTGTTAATTATGCATCTCGACCAGAAGAAATATTCCTTTCGAGCTCCGTTCCGTTTCCTTTTTTTTTAAACAACAAAATCGTCTAATGGGCGCAAGTGAAACCATTTGCTTTCACTAAAACCCGTTTTGTGTATATGAAACGGCGACTCGGTCGTTTTAAAACTGCCACAAGGTCGATTTGTGAGCATTTATTGAACATATTACACGGTTTTTATCCCGTGAATTTGGCGCCAAAATCGTTGCTATATATTCAAGAATCTTTGCTATTTAAAATGTGGAATTTAAAGGGTGTATAGAATGATGAAACTTGCCGCGGAAGTGAAAATTTCTAACGTAAGGTTGTTACAAATACTTTGAAATTCCCATACAACAACCACTCCTTCGAATACCATGAAAGAAACGGGTCCTAAAACTATGCATTTGAAAAAAAAAATAGAAAGTGTATCGATTTGAAATTAATACAGTGAAAAAATGAAATTAATTTATTGCAAAATGATGTTAATATCATCCGCATCCGCCCAATTTCGGTTCAACCCTCTTTTTGTTTTTAAATATTGCTAAATCTCATTTTCAATTGAAAGCATGTTAATCAATTAGGCAATCGGAGTTTAATTCAAATCAAATTGGTAATTAGGATTTGTTAATAAATCGTGCAACCTTGAAAGAAACTCGATCTTATCCGATAAGAATAATTTCTATCTTGCAAAATTGACACGATAAAATTCACCTCTATCGCTTGAAAACATAAATTTGCGAAATAATCAACCGTAAAAATTTATTACAATTGTTCCAATCCAGAATCGGCTTTGTACATTATTTATAAAACGCTATTTATAAACTACAATTATATATTTTAATCCAACACATTTCTATAGAAAAGAAACCTAAATTTTGATCGTTTCAATTCACAAAAAAACTCGAGTCCGCCCCTGCTGTTATTTATTTGGATAAGTAGATTACTGTTTTACTTTACCACAGTAATTTGATATTCATTAGAGCCGGTTTGAATGGCGTTAAATGTTAAGTAATAATCAATTACATTAAAAAAAATCGAAACATGAAATTGTTATTCGTTGTATTGCTCATCGAAAATGAGGCTGTTAATGGAGGAATTCCAGAGGAATACTAAATAGGATTGCTATATTATGAATGTGCAATTGGTTATTTCGTTGATTGATTTGCAATTCTTGGAATTTTATTGAAATATCAGGCGTTTTAGTAAATCTCTTTTTTACCCAAACCTTTCGAGTTTTAATTGTGTTAATTTTTATCTGTAAAATGTATCAAATTTCCGTAATTTTTATATAGCGTTCAGTGAAAGTAAATGCAGCTATTAAATGTCTGAAAATGTTATTTTAAAGGATGTACTCTGGCAGTTGGATTGGCTTATTCTTTTTGTTCAGAGCAACAGACAAAGAGAGGCGCTTTGTTATTCAAATATGGAGATCTATGTTAAATGATCGGAACAAACGGAAAAAAATGAATTTTATTCGATAGTAATACATTTGTAGTACTTTCTAAATAAGAGAAAATGAAAATTAATAAACTACATTTCTAACGAAACATCAACAATTGCTCATTTTGTGTTTTAAATGGCGCCTACTAAAAGAATAAATTAGATTAAAAAATACATTTTATATCAAGTTTTATAATAAATAAAATTATTTCCTTTAATAAATCATCAATCTATCGACTGCTAACGACATAAGGAATAAATGATACACAAGAATTACCTCACTCGACTGAACATACGGAAGATACAATTCAAAAGCTTTTATGTCTGGGAATTACTAGAATTATGCAATATGTAATAACCAGTTGGACGAATAGAACTGAAATATTACTTTTTATATTTATTTTTATAGCACATAAGATGTAATTTATAGCCATAAACAGCATGATGATGGATCTAGAAGAACCGAAACATTCATCCAATGATAATAAGTAGGGTTGTTTGAGTGGATAATTGTCTTTAACTTTCTTACTTTATAACAATCACAAATTACTAAAAACAACGCACGATACATTTAATTATAGTCAAATAAAAACTTTATTAATAATAATTGTGTCGTTTAAGCCAATCTTGATTGGTTTAAAATCGAAATTGGCTGGAATAATTAGCTCGAAACTGGAGATTTCTTTTTTTATGTTGGAAAAGTGGGCTCACCTCGTCATGACCATAATCGTTTTACAACAAATATTGGCTACATTCGAACAAGAATGAAAGTATTGTTGACATATTCAATTATAATTCTTTCATAGAAAATGTTTATTTAGTTAGTGAAAATGCTTATAGAAAGGTTAGATGAAGGATTTTTTGATTATTATTAAGTTAAATGCACTTTCTTTTATTGGATATTTTATCTACAATTCGAAATTAAAGCGTGGTTTAAAAATAATCGTCAATTACTTGAATGGATGCACTCGATTGTTCTACTTATGATGCAATTTGAAATTACATAAATTCTATATAAAAAAATTACGTTAACGATATCTAATTTTACAGCAAATTTCCAACTTATATCGTATTGATTTAAACCGGTAAATATTACAATAGGAACTTGGCAAACTGTTTTGCATTATATAAAGTTAAAGGTATTAAATAACTGTAACTACTAATGTAGTTGTAATTAACCGCTGGTTATTATTAAATGTTACTTAATTGGAATGATATCGAGGAAACCGGTCGGTTTATTCATGCGAAATGCAAATAAACCACCCGTTGTAATATCGATTTAAATTTGATTTTTTGATGAATTAAATTCCTCTTTATAAAAGTATTTTATCTTACGAACCCTACAAACTTGTCAAGAGTATAATTACTTTCTCCATACCTACTTTCCTTTTTCTTGTCAATTAACATTTTATTATCAATCTTCATTTAACTGGAATAATATCTAGCTTTTTCGATACTGACAGAGGAAATTGAAGAACCATCTTCTTCACAGTTCCTCTTAGATTCGTGAATTGGATGATGTTTCGAAGAAGATAACTGATGAAAAATATCTGTTAAATATGGAGTAGATATATTTGAATAAAAATCATTTAAATACTGATTGCTTCGATGAATTGAAGACCGCAACATGGTAATTTCTATTAGTTGAACAAAGATAGATTAATAAAATGACAGTTGTCAAAGTGAAAAGTTGCAAATGACATAAATGTCACTCTTTCTTTTTCTTTTATAAGTGTCTAATGGAAGCTGTCTTTATCGCACAGTGTGTAATACAGAAGCGAAACAAACTGTCATTTCGATTTGATTAAATTTTCGACAACATATTAGACCGAGAAAACTGGTATTTTTGTACACTGAGCGAATTTTATGAACAGTCCATGCGCATATGCTATACAGATTGCTCCATTTTTTAGACACTTATAAAAGAAAAGGAAAGAGTGACATGACAACTGTCATTTTAATAATCTTTCTTTGTTCCACTCATAGAAACGACCATCATGTTGCACTCGGAAATGGAGCACTGTGTATAATGTGATTTATATTTTTTTTTTTATATCTAAGTAATTTTCTAGGAGGTGTATTTGTAATGACGAAACGCTCGAGGATTCCCCTCCGGTATAAAACCGCTCGGATAAGTTCCTGCAAGACTTTCTTCGGCTGTGACACCCACTTACTTCTTCGAAAGGGCCCCTTTCGGTCGCGAGTCGATGCAACTCCGGCTTCACTGAGTGATGTGATTGTGGCTGTGGAACATTCACTTTTGTGTCCGTTTTGTACGGTTTTTGGTTTCTGTGCAATCGTCTAGGATAGGAATTTGTTTTTTTTTGGATTACGCACATCCGCCTGAGATGGTAATTATTTTTGGGTTTTTTTCGAAAAAAATATTCGCGCGATAATTTGTAGATAAGGTAGAGTGGGGCAAATCGGTTGTAAAATTTGTATAGTTCAAATTAAATCCTAAAATGTGGATTTATTTTTTCTCTTATTAGAAATGTTGATACTACATTAAATTCACGGCTTACTAAACTAAAGAATCGAGGTATTAAAAAGCTGTTTTTGAAAAAGGAAGAAAACGATTTTACATATTTTTTAAAATGTTGACAATATGTTACATTTACCCCATTACATTTACCCCCGTTCTAAAGAGACAATACAATTATATAGAAAAACATATGGGGCAATTGTAAAAAAATATTTGGTTCCTCTAAAATTTGATATGCTGTTTATTTATTTATTTCAAAAAATAACAGAGCTACAAAATAATAAAGAAAAAATAAGAAACAAACCCTGTCTAATGCACAAAAGAACTATAAAAATAATAAAAACATTAACATAATAAGTAAAAATATTACATTTACCCCATTTTTACATTTACCCCAGTCTACCTTAAATTAATTGTTTGCCTGTTAAGTACAAATGTAAATTGTAGCATTTGAAATGAAAGTTTGTAGTAATTTAAATGACTTTGTTAATATTTTATACTGTACATTGATTTTAGAAATTAATAACAAATTAATTAATTATTTTAGGAGTAGCTAAAAGCAAATTAGAGAAGGCAAAATTACAAAAAAAATATGGAAATTTGAGCGGTGCATTTTGCAATATAAAATACATGAGTCATTTAAAATATTATTCATATCTAGTGGGATTGGTGAACAATTATTCGACCTTCCGATAGTTGAGCAATTATTTAAGAAAATTCTATCGCCTCAAGTTACCGCAATTCGCCTTCCTTTATTTTATATTATTTACAGCATATGTAGTTTATTTTCAAATCAATTCTACCAACATTTTTCTGAATATCTCAAGACTTAGATTTGGGTTTCAAATTAAATTAAAGAGAGTACAGAAAGCCAGTCTTTAAAACTGAATTTCTCATCTACACATCCTTATTTTCTATCACTTTATTAACAAAAATAACTACAATTATGTAATAATACTACTAAATTATCTACCACAGCATTTTCTGTTATATACTTAAAGTAAATTTCTGCGACAAAAACCTATATTTGCCTTAAAATAAACCATCATTAGCTTGTTCAAAAACCAACTGTGAAAATCTAAATAGCGAGGTATCCACTTTCGCATAACGATAATAGATATCCTCGCTACATATGTTTTCTAGCCTGGGCAAAACAGAGCGTGGAAAGTACAGCGAAAAAAAAAACAGTACAGAGAAATGAGGAGAAAACAAGTTTACGCGGAACAGAATTCCAAAACAGATTGCAAATTCATTTGGTTATCGGCCAGTTTAACTGGTTGAAAAATAAATATTTTTGTCTTATTAGAAATTTGCGATCGCTTTCGATCCTCTAAGATCCAAATTTACCAACAACTCTTAGATTATATCTCTCCAAAATTGTATTATAATTTGGGCAATTGTAGTTTATATAACTTCTACCTACAGAGGTACTTAATATTCCAGGCATAAGAAATGTTGAAATGTCAATGTCGCTATACACTTTTCATTTCTAGAATCGTGCCCAAATTGTAGAGATTATCCTCATTACCTTGACTCTCCGGTGACCTTTGACTGGGATTCGAATAAGGGCCGGAATAAGAGGCATTTCGAGTTCTTAATCGGTTGTAACTTTTGAATTTATAATCAGAAAAATTCGACGAGCGATCGAAGGAAAGTGTTTGGAAATTTGTGCAATTTATGCAATTGTTATCTAAATTTATCTGTAATCGGTTATACCTGCATTAAATTGCGATTTTCTGCCGTACTGGTTGCTCCAATTAAACGAATTAGTTGCGTAACTTTTTTTCGAAATAAGCGAGATTTTTATGGAACCAATCGGAATTATCATCCAATATGAAGTATCTATGTATTAAAATATGCAGTAAAATATGGAGAAAGTTGTTAATAAATTGTTTTGCGGTTGCGTCCCAGATAGTTCCGTTCTGTGTTTATTCATCCTTTAATTTTATTTTAATTTATCATAATGACCACGATATTTTTAAATGTGGAACATATCATAGTTCCAAAGACATTATAACTTATAACTGAGAGACTAAATGGTTTAATTTTTTTGTAATAAATATATAATTACATTTATGCATTCGCCCAAACACACACCCTGTATATATTATCGCAGGAAGCGACGTTGTCGGTTTTATTTGCATGTAACAATTATTTGAAAAAATTCATTTAAAAAAATGACATTTGATGTATCCTATAACCACAATTTTATATTACATACTAAAGCAATGTTTTTAATTAAATTATTCCTTAAATTTTTAAGTATATGTGAAGTAAAAATTAAAAAAAAGCATTATCCATTCAAAGAAATATTAAAATTGTAAACATCTACATAAATACGGCAACGTTGCGACCTAAATTACGAATTTCACCTATTTTGAAAAATGACAGGTGACAGGTGTCATCGCAACGTTGCTAGTAATATCTAACGGCTATTTTGTGTTTGTATGCAAGTTTTTTAATAACTTTTGTTAAAAATATAAACAATAATGGTACATGCGTGTGTAATGTGCAAAAAATTGGATCATTTAAATCCAAATTGGTCTTTTCATCGGTAAGTAAGTTTAAGTTACATTTGTTTTCATTGAACATTTGAACCAGTGACGTAAGGCACCCGATATTCTTTCAAAAATCGTTAAATTATTCTTATATCGATAAATAACTATTGAATAACTTATAGTAGCTACTTAAAAGTAAAAACCTGAAGAAAAATTAACGAAAATATGCTGTTTAGGTTCAAAACTTTACGCCACTGACGATCTCAAAGACACTTTGATTACAACGTTGCCAGTTGGTTATAACAGATACGTCTTTCTCTCTCCCACTCATTAGAAATTTTAAAACAATAACAGTCCACAAATATACAGGTGCATACAGATCGCAACATAGGTTATATAGGCTATAGGTAGATAGATAATTATAAAGGAAAAACAAAGAGTGACGTTTATGTAATTGCAACTTTTCTTCTTCTTCATAACTTGTTGACCTCAGCTGTCAGGGCTATTCAGCCAAATTGCAACTTTTCGCTCTGCCAACTGTCATTTCAATAATCTTTGTTCAACTCATAGAAACGACCATATTGCAATCGGAAATGGAACAATGCATATAGTATTTATCATAGAAACATTCACTCTTTTACTAATACCTCACCAAACCTCACCAACCCCACAATTCACGCGACTCTAACCGACCATCCCCCGAATCGTTCCAGCCCATCACCAAGCTCCATTTGCTGGTACTGGCCCAACTGGCGTCCCATTCGCTCGCCCAAAACGCCAGATCCTACGACACCAACGACTGGGTGCCGGTCACCCAAACCGCCGGCGACCCCGGCGCCCCCAAAAACCCCACCGGCCGCGTCCTCAACATCGACGCCCCCGCCCAGAAATTCTTCCCCGACGAATTCAACTACAAGAAACCCCGACCGAGACCCAAACACAAAGAACGCCCCGACGACGCCTACAAGTTCGAAGTACCCCCGTCTCTCCCACAGAACGGTAAGTCATAAGTCATTAAATTACACAACTCACCGGTAGGTGTCTCTATTGAATCATTGGAATCTCTTCCAGTACCGCCTGCGATGAAATTGCTGTACCAATTTCCACCGCCTCCTTTGGATATCTACCATCCACCGCCGCCTCCCGGGGATTACCCGCAAGCGCAGGCTTTGAGAGCGCCGTACCAGCACCAAGCAGGTGCTTATCAGCAGTACCAGTTGCAGCAGGAGCCTTCTATACCGAGCGTTTCCGCTTATAACACATCGTTTTACCAAACCATAAATCCTTTGTCGATTAATCAGGAATTGGTAGGCGGTGTTCGGTACCAGGCGGTACCTGAAAAGCTGCGAAATTCCGAGAAAATTAACGGTGGTAAAGACAGCGTGCAGTTGGTGTATGTTCCGTTGGAGAATTTGAAGGAAAACCAACAGGTACCCGTACCGCAGGATACACAAAACATCTATCGACAAGTAAGGTATAACTAACAATATTCTGTACAATTTTTTCATTGTGTAATTACAGGTAGATTCGCCGAGATACGATCAACCGAATCCCCATCAGAAACCTCATAATTTGGCTGCAATCGAACAGGATTTCATACAGCAAGCTCTCCAAGCTACTAAGCTTCAAGAGCAAATCCAACAAGGAGAACCTCTTTACTTTCAAATAACTACCACTACGCCTAAACCGGTTAATAAGAGGAAACCCCACCAGCCTCCTCTGGCTGTTTATTTAGAAGGCGAGAAACAACGAGCGGATATCACAGACGTTTTATCGGCTTTGCAAGAAGCTAAAAGTATAGCGGTGCAAGATAGCATCCAGCCGAATTCCCCGGAAATATTCATAGGACCTTCGACGTTGGATTCGTCGGATTATTCCAAGTTTCCTCTGCCTTACCTCAACAGCATCGACGGCCAGAGGATCAGCAAGAACATCGAGAATCTACCGTTCTTCGTGGCGCCTCAGAACTTCAAAACACCGCCTGGGTTTTCGAAAATTCCTCTACCAGCGCCTCACGTGGGATCCGTGGTGGTTTCTATCAAAGATGATTTGCACGGGAAAAGATCCACACCGAGACCTAATCAGTTTCTATCGGATAACTCGAAGCAACTGGGACGAGACAATTCTGTCTCCGAGTACCAGAAATCGGAAACTCTAACTCCCCAGCCGTATTTCGGGCAAACTTACTACGATCGAGGGGCTTATTTGACTTCGCCCCAGCCGGAGTTGGTAGAATTGGATGTTAACGGGCAAACGAAGCAGTATCTACCAGAAGTGAACTACAATCGAGAGATTTATAATAACGCCTACAATAATCAACGATTAGAGGCCAGCAAAAATAGAGAAGTTCAACCTCAAACATCGTTTCAATACAACTACGATGATCGAAACATTAAACCTGAAGCTAATAGAGATTTGAACTACAATTCTCCAGCTAGTTTATCCTACACAGGGCCTCAAACATACCAAGGGGATGACAAACAACCAAATCGAAACGTTTTTACTGATGTTAGTAACCAACAGAATGCATATAGATTAAAAAACATCCAGCCAGTGGTGTACGAACCGATTTCTACCACCTTCAACGCCGCTTCGCGACCAACTTACGAAGCTAAAATTAAACCCGAGACCACAACAAAAGCTTATAATGGAGATAATCAACAGACACCGAAAGCGCCGGATGTTAGCCCGTTGGAATTGGCGATCAACGAGTTCGAACTGCATCAGATCAACGCGCAATTGGAGGAGAAACCGAGGATTAGAAATCAGAACTACAAAACCCAAAATTCCGATGACGGCGAATACAAATTCGATCCGGAATTGCATCGGTTTTCCAGCACGCCCTCCTCGATTTTGAGAGATACTTACGAAACCACTGCTAGACCAACCGTCGGGTCCAGAACAAGGATTAGAAATCGACCGAAAACCACCACACAACCTTCGAGCGATGAAAGCGAAGAAACTTACACCATTTTGGAGGATTTCTCTATCAAACAACGACCCCAAAACAACCAACAAGAACTCACTCAAACCGAAACCCCTGCTCGACAAGCCTACAAAAATCCCAACTATAACAGCGATGTTACCGAAATCGAGAACATTCCCACCAAAGTTTACAGTCTAAACATCAACAAAAACTCCCCAGAATACACCGAAGAAGCCCCATCAACCGAACATCCTTACACTCTCAACCAAATGGATCAACAAGTACTAAAACAAATCGAACAACAAGGTCAATTCGAAGTTACACCACAACATCACCCGATTTACTCCAACCAACAATCAAACGACTACCCTCAAAGCCAATCAGAAGAAAACCCCAACGAATACTCCTCGTCTTTAGACGATCCCTCCATTAGGGCTCTATTAGTACCTCTAGTACCAACCACAACCAACGCTGATGTTTACACAGGACCCAGTTACTTGCCTACGACTGAAACAATCAAACATAGTACTACAAGTACTACCACAGAAAGAGCAGTACCGGAAACTACCACGCAATCTCGGGTGCGATCCAGGACGCGCGGAGGCGGCAGGTTTAGCACCCAAAGTACCACCAAACGATCCGTTTCGAGGAGAAGACCTGCCTCTAGGGTAACAACAGAGAGACCCAGCAGGTATTCCTATTCCCAAGACGATGATTACACTACCAGAAGCTCAGTAATCAAATCCAGATTTAGAACCAGAGTGCGTACCACTCCTAGTACCATCCCGCAGCAATCGACTGAAGTAAACGAGGTACTTTAATGTCTATAATATAGTTCGAGTTGATTATGTTTAATATCTTCATCAGGTTCACCAAATTCCTACATCGGAGACTAGGTTAAGAACCCATCCAGAGTCTGCTGATTCGGATAAAGTAGTGACTGTAAAGCCCGAGGAACAAGTCTATTCCGTTTCCAAAGAATATCCAACATCGACTCGTCCTTTTATACAATACGACAACACAGCATCGACTTCTAAACCGAACATAAACGTGCAAATAACGCATCCCGATGATGTTCCCAAAGAAAGAACTCGAGTAAGAAGTAGAGTGAAAGATAGACCTCGAACTTCTTCGACTGAAAGAGTAGTTACCAGAAGGATTATCGAGAAAACTCCGCCTGCGAAAGAAGATAGCGAAGAGGAGTTTTACGGGTAACATTTCCTTAGCAATTCATTGAAGATTTGCGATTAATGTTTGTGTGAATTTTTAGATTCTTTAGAAGACCGGACTTCGGTCCATCGAGTGAAACCACCGTGGATGTTCCTTCTACCACTCCAAGGCACAGGATTTACTCCTACCAAACTCCCAGTCAACACGGTGAAGATTACCAGTTGAATGTAGATAACACTCGAGTGGAATCCACGACGGTGAGATTCATCGGAGAAATAGTTCCGAAATACACCACCAGTAGAGAAATTGCTGCAGAAACCGAAACCCCGAAACCTAGAATTAGAACCAGAACGAGAACTCCTCAAAGAAAAACCCAATCAGAACCAACCACTAGACGTTCGAACGTTATCAGATCCAGGGGAAAAACTCATTTCAAACTACCAGAAACCGCGAAGAAGATTAAAGAAGACGAAGATGCCGAAGTAGAAGGCGGGAATTATCCGGCGCAATTTTTACAAGGAAGAAGAACATCCTCAACTCCTACACCTAACTTCCAAATAACAGTTTCTCCTGAAGACGAAGACGATCAAGTAATACACTCCTCATTGTACAGACCTAATGTGATAGCAAGACCGCAGGAATGGCACGATGCATCAGAATATCCAGATAACAACAGTAAGTATCCAATAAACAAGACGTTTAGTGTAAATCTATACTATAACTTTCCAGAAAAAACCAATTCCAACTCGCTGGATAACGATGAGGATAAATCAAAGTTAACCGACGATCAGCAGGATCAACCTTACGCTTTACCGGTTCATTCGGTTACTGAAGAAGTTGTAGAAACAACACCAGCTGGTACTAGCGAAGAATTGTTCAAGGAAACCACCAAGCGAATCGCCGAGCAATTCGAAGCTGTGAATAACTTCGAAACTGAGACTGAAAGCGAGTTTGAAACGGAGAAACCGGCGAAGCAGAAGAAGAAGAAGGGCGTGTGGAAATTGGTGAAGCATCGACCGGTGGATCGATTGGAAACGTCGGAGAGTCAAAACTATTTTTCGGTTCTGAATGCTTTCTACGATATCCAGAAGGTTGATGGTAATAAAGGAGAATTCGAAGAAGTTGTGGACGAAATTAAGCAGAGCGCTGGAGAACAAGCACTTGATAAAAATAGGGTAAACGAAAAAGAAGAATACAACGAAGCTGATGAATTAGAAACCACAACGTTTGCACCCGAAGAAGCACCTGTTACAACAATCAACGATAACGAAATTACTACAATAGTAACATCAACGATAAAATCGGAGAAAGATGAGGATTTCCTGGACTCCATTTACGAAATGTTTGGTATGTCGAGAACAGAAGAAAAAACCACCATTCCTCCTATTCAAGAAACAGAAACCTCACCTCCTGTTACTACAACATTGAATCCAACTTTCCCGCAGGAAATCGACGATTCGCAGGCAGCGAATTCGACTGAAGCGCCTGCAGAAATCACCACCATTCTGGAGGATTTTTCAACTACTCAGCAAGCTAAAAACGATGTTAAAGCTTCCATTTCGGAGGTGGAACCGTGGAAGATGCGGGAAATTAGGACCTCCACGTCGACCGAAGTGTCCCACGAGACCGAAATTTGCTACAGGGGGCGCTGCGTGAAATCCCACGGGAGAAAAAAGAGATTGTAGGAGGGTTTCATGAAAGTGCTAGGGAATTTAAATGATTTGTTGGCAGTTAGAGGGGTTGATTTGAATCGGAATGCGGCCAAAAGTTCGATTTAGTGTTTTTAATTCGTGTATTTAAATGCAGAATTTTTGTTGATCGTTTGAGGTAATTTTAATTCCGTCTTAAAGAGGAGTAATCCGGTGCTGATATTTGGAAAAATTAGGATAATTGTGGATGAGAATGTATAGGAATAACTTAATTTAATCGCTTTGAGTATTTACATTGGATTATTATTTAACAATGGGGTAGGTGAAAAATATTAAACTATTCCGTTAATTGAATGTTTTTTTTTAAATTCATCGAGTGTGATTTTTTTTTGTAAATATATCAGTGTGAATGGAAAAACGGTGCGTAAGATCGTTTTATATTTTTTCTAGGTTTTTATTTTTGACTATTTATTTGTAACTATTAAATTAATGTATTAGACTGTACACCGACAATAATGAAATACGTTTTAATAAAAATTACAACATATTTTCGTAATTATTTTCATCATCATGACCGATTTTAGGTAAGTATATAAAAAATTTAATTCGTTAAATAAAATTAGTTTTATCGAAATAAATTCATCTTATCCAAAACGAATCAAACAGTCGTTTTATTTTCCTTATACAACAGAAAAAAATAAAAAAAGGGGGTATTATCACAAGGGGGGATTATAAATTCGCACAACTCCTGTACAATTATTATTTGAATCAAATTCGTTAAAAAAAACACAATCTTCGCGTTTAAATCGCAACAACCCTTTTCTCACTCGATTTACCTTCAATTTCAAAATCCAATTCGCTCGCCCTACAAACAAAAAAATACCATTTTTTAATATTTACAACAGATTTATTTTAAATACCTCTCTCGATGTTTCGTATGTACAATAATAAAAACGATTTACAATTTTGCAAACAAAAAAACAGCCAATGCTACTACACATCGTATTAATAATATCTAATTTTAATAAATTTAGCTCTTAAATGCAACTGAATCTAATAAAAATATTAACCTCCTGGTAGGTACTATTCAAACAAAAAAATATACATAAGGGAGGCCGGAGTTTTGTACCTAATAAAAAATATATAAATATCGTCTATACGTAACAAAAAAAACAACAAAAAGAAAAAAAAATAATAAACAATTTCATACAAAATTGCCCAGTTTCCACCAAAAAACACTAACATTCTCGTTTTCCCAGAGTTGACAAATTAGTTAAATAGTTCATTTTTTGATCATTGGCAGCATAAGGATTATTCTATAAAGTAATTATTTTTTACATAATCATTGTCAATGGATCTTCCAGGTAACGTTTAAAGTGCTGCAACCATTTCGCTCCAACAGCTCCATCTACCGTCCGATGATCGCAACTCAATGTTACTTGTAGAAATTGTGCCGTCCTAAATCTATAAGAAAAAAATAAATAATTTAAAGTCGTAGCTTCACAAAAATATATACAGAATATACACGATGAGTTATCTTACACTTTCCTAACTCTTTTTCAACCTACCCCATTCTCGTTCTACACTTTTCTATCTCAATTTACTCATCTCTACTCTTCTCTACCCTTTTCTTCGTTATTTTAGGCTTCCCTACACTTTCCTACCTCAATTTACTCATCTCTACTCTTCTCTACCCTTTTCTTCGTTATTTTAGGCTTCCCTACACTTTCCTACCTCAATATACTCTTCTCTACCCATTTTCTACGTCATTCTAGACTTCCCTTTGCTTTCCTACCTCTTTTTTCACCCTATCCCATCTCGTTCTACACTTTTCTACCACAATCTACTCTTCTCTACCCCTTTTCTACGTCATTCTAGGCTTCCCTACGCTTCCCTACATCTTTTTTCACTCTATCTCATCTCGTTCTACACTTTTCTACCACAATCTACTCTTCTCTACCCCTTTTTCTACGTCATTCTAGGCTTCCCTACGCTTCCCTACCTCTTTTTTCACTCTATCCCATCTCGTTCTACACTTTTCTACCACAATCTACTCTTCTCTACCCCTTTTTCTACGTCATTCTAGGCTTCCCTACCCTTTCCTACCTCTTCTTTCACCCTATCCCATTCCCATTCTACACTTTTCTACCTCGACCAACGCTTCTCTACCCCTTTTCTACCCCCCTACTCATCGTTTTCTCCCTCACCCTTTGGGCGCCTCCGGATCTTCGATCAACCGCTTGGTGGCGCTCCCGATGGCCAAAATACAACTCTGCGGCGGATTGATGACGGCGCTGAAACTATCGATGCCCATCATGCCCAAATTCGACACGCTTATGGTGCCCCCTTGGAACTCTTGCGGTTGCAATTTCCCCTCGCGCGCCTTCGCCGCCAATTGCTTCATCGATTTGCTGATCTCCGACAGACCTTTTCGCTCCGTTTGGAATATTATCGGCGTTATCAGACCTTTATCGGTCGATACGGCCACGCTCACGTCGACGTTGTTGTATTGCCTGATGGTGGTGTCGTTCCACGACGAATTCGCCTCCGGTACCTGCGCGAAAATTAGCGTTAAATACATCATCGAATTGTATTCGATAACGATATAAACTCACTTGTACCGAAGCCTGCGCGACGGCTTTGATGATGAAATCGTTCACGCTCAATTTCACGCCTTCCTTCTCCAATTTCTTGTTGAACGATTCCCTGGCCTGCATCAATTTATCGATGTTGATCTCCACCGATAGATAATAGTGCGGTATCGATTGCTTCGATTGCAACAATCTCTTCGCTATGGTGGCTCTCATGCCGCTCACCGGAATATCCACGAAGGAAGCCGAAGCCGAAGGGGCTGCCGCTCCCGGTGTTGCTGCTGCTGCTTTGCGACCTGCGGCAGGAGAGAGACCTGAACCAGCTTCTAGCGCTGCCAAATCCGACGATGTTATCGCACCGAATAAACCGGAACCTTTGCCTGTAAATGTTTCTGTTATTGAAGCAAACAGGTGCCGCTTTATTGGCTTTATTAATATAGCTAGATTCGATAATCTGACCTTGTAATCGGATGTTCCTCTGTTCGGCCAGTCGCTTGGCCATCGGGCTGACGTACACCCTACCTTTCGAGTCCGGTTCGGGTATGGCTGGAGCGCTCGGAGCGCTCGGAGCGCTCGGAGGAGCCGGAGCGGGGGCGGCGGGGGCGACTGCGGGAGCGGGTGCGGCCGGGGCGGGCGTCGGGGCGGGCGGGGGCGCCGCGGCGGCCGCCGGAGCGGGCGCCGGACTGTCGTCTTTGTAGTCTTTGAACGCCGCGATGTCCGCTTGGTTTTCGACGATGATGCACACGATTTTACCTGGAAAATTAACGAGATATTTCAATTAGTTATCCATTTTTTTTAGTTACTCATCGTTTTAATGAATCTCTTTAATTTAAAGTAGTTACTCCATAACAATAACGTGAATCTGTCAAAACTGTCAATTCGAAACAATCTCCTTAGTTACTCCATAACAACCAATGTAAAACTGTCAATTTGTATGCCGCCATATTGAAATCGAGTAAATTTTATCAAATAATGAACTATTTCAAACTATATTCGTACAACATTCATTTACATTTACTTAATGTAAATTTGTGAGGTTATGTAATCGTTCTACATCTACACCTACCGATGGGTACGTCTTTGGTGCCGGCTTGCACGAGGATTTTGGCCAAATAACCTTCTTCGGGCGTTTCGAAACCCATGGTGGCCTTGTCGGTTTCGATTTCGGCCAAAAGATCGCCCTCGTTCAATTTGTCGCCTTCTTTTTTGTCCCAACTGATGATCGTGCCCAATTCCATTGTGGGCGAGAGGGCGGGCAGGGCCACCTTCGTGTGTTTGGGAAAACCGTTCGAATAGCATCGTACGAAATTGTGTTCGGGTTGTACTGGTAAATTCGGCGAAATTTGGTTCTGCTGGGATCCGAGCAAAATACTAGAAAAAAAATGGAATATATGATTATTTAATTAAATCTTTTAATCATAGTAGTCTGGTTTGCAAACAATAATTTTAAACTAGTAGGCTGTGATTACGATACAACTTATTAAATGACAGCCCTTCAATTCAATTCCAAGTTAAGAATTAATTAACTTGAAAAATGAAAAAGGGTTTAAGGGTCTAGTCTAGGTAATAAGAGTGAGGTTATAATACAAATATGTAACGATAAGTACCAAAAGTTATGTAACAGACGTGGAGAAAAATACGTACAAAAATTTGGAAATATTTAAAAAGTTACTCACCGGTGATATTGCCTTTTTCTCACGCATTCCACCGAAACATTTCTGCAAGTTTTCAACCGGAGGGATTTCCTAAAAATTTCTTTGGCTACGTCATGTCGGAAAATTATCGTTCGAAACATATTTTGAATTTTAAACGGGGTTGTTTTTTACGGATCTGTTTTTTTTTCTTATATTAACGTGCTTCTGTCGCGACAATTTCTGTTACTTCTTCGAGGGCAACCCGTTTGATATCCGTAATCTTCACTAGGTCATTTAAAAGACAGTCTTTCACGAAATTAAATTGTGACAGGGAAATGTTCGTCAATTCGAATCGCACGTGCCTTAGTTGGTACCTCTGACGTCATGTCTAAGGCTACTTCAACGTTTTTTTTGTACTAATTATTATGTAATTATTGTTAATTTGCTTACCAAAATAATGCGAAATAAATTAATAAACTTCGATAGACAGAATATAAACGTTCACGTATGTGCTATTACTGGTATTGGTGGTATTTTCTAATTAAATCTTACGCTTACGTGATGTTGTTAGTAAACAGAACGTAATATAACCAGTAAAGAAATGTGGCTGAATAACCCGTTTCGGTATAACAAAATTGAGATTTGGAAATGAAAAAGTCAAACAAGTTGATTTAAATGCATTTGTTGTTGTTTATTTGCAATTAAATCACAATATACTAATTGAGAAGTTTATTTTTAAATTTATTCTTATTTTAATTCAAATTGCAAAAAAAGAAGAAGAAAACTCAAACGGCACGTCACCTGTCAAACTCCTCGATATGTTTTGTGGTTTTGTTGTTTGTTGCTTTCGTTTTTCAAGCGAAAACAACAATGCGGGAGGTATTCCGGCGTGTGTGGTCCCATTCAATAGCGAATAATCACCATTTCTCACCGTACAAACGTCTAAACAAGTGAATCGGCTCGAATAAAATGAGAATTTTCGCGACGATCCTAATCTACCTACAGTTTATCTCATCCGAAACCCACCCGATCGAAGCCTCTTTAGACCGCAATTCCAGCTATCCCATACACCCGAGGAACCAGAAGAAATTCCCCGACAACGCAGCTTTCAACAAATTATACGACGGCATCCAGCAGTATTGCCAGAAACCCGCCAAATGCGAGCATTCGAACTACACCACTTGCATGGGCTCCAGGATCCCCTACCGAACCACCACGCTGGATTTGATCGATCTGAACCACCAGGAGCAAGTGCAGGAGAAACTGCAATCGTACGGGTACCTCCGGTTCGTGCCCAAATGCTGGGCAGTCATCCAACCGCTCCTTTGCGCGCTGTACATGCCCAAATGCGAAGACCACAAGGTCGATTTGCCCTCGTACGAGATGTGCAAGATCACGCTCGAACCGTGCAAGATATTCTACAACTCCTCGATACTCCCCGAGTTCCTGCACTGCGAAGATAGGAACCTGTTTCCTACGAATAAATGCAAGAATGACATACACGATGTGAGATTCAACACCACCGGTTACTGCATGGATCCTTTAATCAAAACCGATAAACCGGAATGGTGGTATTCGGATATCGAGAACTGCGGATTGAAGTGCAAGGATTCGCTGTATACAGACAACGAGCAGTATCAAATCCACAAATTAATCGCCTATTGCACTTTGATTTGCATATTTTGCAATGGATTCACCGCTGCAACTTTCATCATCGATTGGAAAACGGCCAATAAATACCCCGCTTTGGCCATTTTCTACGTAAATCTCTGCTTTTGCATATCGTACGGGGGCTGGTTGGTGCAATTCTTAGGCAGCGAAACCCGCGAGGATATCGTTTGTAAAAAAGAGGGTACCCCGAGGAAATCCGAACCGAGCGCCACCGAGAATTTATCCTGCGTTATAGTGTTCGTTATGGTTTATTATTTCATGATAGCCGGTTTAGTTTGGTTCGTTATATTCAGTTACTCCTGGCACATGAACTCGCTACAAGCTTTAGGTAATCGTTCACTTCTTATTAAGCATGCAAATCTACTAATACTATTTCTATAACACTAACAATTTTACAGGGGAAATGAGCTACTGGTATTATTAACAGAGCCTGTGCATGGATTGTTAAATCTAACACGTAAGAAAATAGTTTGTAGCGAACGTGCGGAGAGTATCGGTCGATTGAAATGCGGATTTTTCCAGGTAAAATCCAGGACCGGGTGGACAGAAAGCGGGCCTATTTCCATCTAATAGCCTGGAGTTTCCCTCTAATGTTGACCATCACCACGATGGCGATCGGAGAAATCGACGGGGACTACGTAACGGGCATCTGTTTCGTGGGTTTCGTTAACAAAACCGCCCGAGCGGGGTTGTTATTAACCCCTCTCGCCGCTGCCATGCTCCTATCCGGCTACATCATCATCAAAGGTAACGAAAAAACTGGATTCTTAGTAGAGAATTGTACGAATCGTTTGCACTTTACAGGCCTCGTGCTGCTGATTAAAGTGAAAATCGAAAGCAGGGAAATCATATCGGAGCATTCGAGCCGGAAGATCCGCTCGAACATCGTCCGGATGAGCGTCTTCACCGTATTCATGCTGGTGTTTTGCATCATCACCTTCGGCTATCATCATTACTACTTCGAGAGTTCCGAACAGTGGAACGAAAGTTTGCGCAATTACATACTGTACATACGCGTAAATACAATCGACTCGAGTTAATCCTGTTCGTTTTTTTTTTAGGTGTAAATTGACCAGCATGAGTGCAGATTCGACGCAGTGTAAACAAACGTCTCGACCGAGCGTAGCGATGTTGCAATTGCAATTATTGGCCGTTTTCGGATCGGGGATCGCCATGGCTTCGTGGGTTTGGTGCGATGCTACTCTACATTCGTGGGGAAGGTTCATTCGAAGGTATTTTACTCGTTTCGAAGTTTCGTTCGGGGATATTTTCGTACACTCGACCGGTCCTCGTAAATGCAAGTTTGTGCTATACGAGTGCAACAAAGATAACTACTGTTAGTGTCGCGTAAATGAGGAAGAAAGAGCGATGTTGTGGAAACCTTTCTTTCTTTCTTTAACTCATTGATATATCGCGAACGAACGTGGATTTAAGTAAGGTTGTAGTTTGTAGGTTAGGTTTCTTGGATTGTGTGTGGCTTCTCTAGTAATGAAACCACTTTGTTGAGTTAATAACGGTAACGAAACGTTTTAATTCACTACGAAATAATCGAGAACGAGTATTGTGAATATCGAATGTTAAAATAACGCGCTGTCATCTGTCGAATCTGTCAATCTTGTAGGTGGCCTGTTACTTGTCGTATATCCGCCACAGGATTCGCATTATGTTTCGAGAAACTTATCCTACTTATATTTCGGCAGTATATCGAAAGTTTTACCGCTGTTTTACTGCGAAATATCCAGTGAAACACCAGTAGAATAGATAGCGTAATACGAATTATAATCCGACGCCATTTTTGTTTCTGTACCGTAGAAAATTCCACTGCGAAATCGAAGAACCCATGAAGCTCCAAAAGCACAAGATCATCGCGCAGGCGTTCGCCAAGCGGAAGAAATTCAACGAGGGCGGCAAAATATCGATCGAATGCCGCAATTACACCGATCCCGTCGGCCTGCAATTCGAACTGAACAGCGCCGCCTCCAACGAATTGAGCACCACGTGGGCGGCGAATCTGCCGCGATTGGTCAATCGTCGGGGCGCCCTGCACGACGACGGCGCCCGCTCGATGTCGAGCAACAATCATTCGATCGACAGCGAGGTCAGCCTGAATTTCCGGCACGTGAGCATCGAGAGCCGCCGGAATTCGGGCGACAGCCAGGTGTCGGTGCAAATCGCCGAATTGAAGGCTACCAGGAAGGTAATTTGGCGAATTAGAGGGATTTTGGGGGGTTGTGGATTGTGTTTGGAACGATCTAGATTGTTCTAAACTTAACAGTTCTCGTTCGTTGAAAGGTTTTGGAGCGATCTGGATTGGTTTTGAATTGTTCTGGAGCGTCCTAGGATTGTTCTAAACGGTTCTCAATTCGTTGTTTTTTCGAATTAGAGGGATTTTGGAGCGATTTGGATTGGTTTTGAATAGTTCTGGAGCGTTCTAGATTGTTCTAAACGGTTCTCATTCATTGTTTTTCGAATTAGAGAGATTTTGGAGCGATTTGGATTGGTTTCGAATTGTTTTGGAGCGTTCTGGATGGTATTGAATTGTTCTAGATTATTCTAAACTGTTCTCTTTCATTGGTTTTCGAATTGGAGAGATTTTGGAGCGTTCTGGATTGTTTTGAATTGTTCTAGATTGTTCTAAACGGTTCTCATTCATTGTTTTTTCGAATTGGAGAGATTTTGGAGCGTTCTGGATGGTTTTGAATTGTTCTAGATTGTTCTAAACGGTTCTCATGCATTGTTTTTTCGAATTGGAGAGATTTTGGAGCGTTCTGGATGGTTTTGAATTGTTCTGTAGCGTCCTAAATTGTTCTAAACGGTTCTCATTCATTATTTTTTCGAATTAGAGAGATTTTGGAGCAATCTGGATGGTTTTGAATTAATCTGAAGCGTTCTAGATTGTTCTAAACGGTTCTCATTCATTGTTTTTTCGAATTAGAGAGATTTTGGAGCAAACTGGATGGTTTTGAATTGCTCTGGAGCGTCCTAGATTGTTCCAGACAGTTCCCATTCATTGTTTTCTTCTTCTTTTTTCCAAGGTGAATTCGAGAAGGCATCGAAGCAGGCACGCCAAGAGACACCGAAACCAATTCCGCAGCCATTCGAGGAACATCGGACATTCCAGGAACTGTACGAAACGAGAAAGTAGCACCAGTTTGGATTCCACGTTGCAAATAATCAACGCTTTCGCTCAATCCAACGACGTCAACGTCAAATCCTTCAGACCCAATCTAAATCGGAGAAGCGGCAACGCCGGTTTGGACGGGCCCCACATCAACGATTTGCTCACCAAAGGGAAATTGATGATTCCTTGTCATTTGAACAACCACGAGTGAGTTTTATTACTTTTTAAATCGATTTGTTTGGATTCGTTTCGATTTTTCGTAGAAGCGGCAGCGAAGAGGTATCTGTAACGATATCGGAGAGCACTTTTAACATGAAATTGAGCAACAACCACGCGAATAATCTCGATTTAAACGACGAACTCGCCCTCAAATCCCTCCGACAAGGCGTCCACATCGAAGAATTGCATTCTTCCTCTTCCACCACGGACGAATCGGAGAAATACAACAAAGATTTCGAACAGGAGAAAAGGAGCAGATCGGGTTGTAGCAAAAAGTAAGAAACTACTCTAAATTTTCTTCATACTAACAGTCTAATTGTAGATCGAAGAGAAGAGCTTTCGCCGATTTCAGACGAACCTACTCGGACTCGGAGAGTTGCGATTTGAAGAGCGACAGTTCCTCCTGTCCCGAGATAAAGAAATTAGTTCAAAGCTCCCTCAATTCGGGGACTTCAGATAAAAATCGCGGCTCGAGACAGTCCAAGACCTCCATAGATGTCGCCGTGCAGGCCAACGCTCAGGATTTGGACTACGAATTGAAGAACATGAAGAAGAACGAGCACAAAAGCAAGCGGACGAAGACGAAGGAGAACAAGTCTCGCAAGGAGGGGAGGAATTTCGAGGGGGAGTGCGATAGGAAGATGAATAAATCGTATAGATCTTACGGTAGTTCGCAGGAGAGGAGATCTCTTAATAGGGATGATTCTGATGAAGAGAGACTGATTGATAGAGATTGTAAAGTTGGTGTTGTGATGAAACGAGTTTGATCTCTTATTTAGTTTGTAAGATTTGTATTAACTTTGCGCTTTTATAAAACTTCACTATATTAGTGTTAGTAAGGATATTGTATTATCGATTTTTTTTGTAAGTTTTTATTATAAATGTTTATTGAAACCAAATTTTACGAATTTTGAATTGCTCTGGAGCGATCTAGATTGTTCTAAACGGTTCTCATTCATTGTTTTTTCGAATTAGAGAAATTTTGGAGCGTTCTGGATTGGTTTTGAATTGTTCTAGAGCAAATTTTACAAATTGGTTTTATTTCTATACCCATTTACCTAAAACGTTCTAGACAGTTCTAAATGATTCTGGAGGGTTTTAAATGAAGCGTACAAAGTTACAAATAAGCTGTAATAATTTTTTTATACAAAGCAAGAAATGCAACATTATTTGTAATTAAATGGTAGAAAAGAAAAGTAATTATATACTTACAAAAGCGACAATTAAGTACTGCTTAAATTTAGATAATTACAGTTTGTAAGTGAAAAACGGAACGTATCGAGTTGAATTAATTAATGGAATTAAAACAAACTAGGTATCTTATTAGTGTTAGGTAATTAAACTAATTTGACTACGAAGTAGATAAAAAATATTCAAAATGTCTCTCAGATTCTTAATTTATTGGAAGCGAAATGATTTTTTTATATTTTTTGCAACAAACTAGAACGATATTTCATTCAAATACTGTATTGAAAACCCTATAATATTTCAAATTCTATTCTACCTTAAATTTACTTACATTAAAAGTAAACTATTAAAATTTTCAAACCAGACCTGTTGAGTAATTAGTAGCAATTAATTTAATAATAATCTTATAATAGGGTAATTTTATTTACGTTTACGACATTCAAATCAACAATGTAGCAGTATAAAATGACAAAAATTTTAACTTTCGATATTATTAGAAGTCAAAATGATTTCCTGGGTGTGCATTTTTGCTTTAGTTTTGAATTCGGTTTTCGGAATGCCGAGTATCGATGTACAGGTATAGGCTATTACATGTTCTTTTGCTTTATATTATCCTAAAAGCTGAATAATTATAAACTAAATAGTCATTTTATAAATATTATTTCAGAAATTTAGAACAGACGTTCGAGATTTGGCCAAAGAATTGCACAAAACTTGCGTTAACAAAGCAAATATCGACGAAGGCACCGTGCAAAATGTGAAAAAGGGAATATTCCAGAATGAAGATAAATTGAAGGTATTATTATAAAAATATACAGGGTGTTTATTGAGTACTTGTACAAATTTTAGAGGGTAGTTTTTACTTAAATTAATTTCAGGTTTATTTAACATGCGTTTGGTCGGAATCCACTGTGGTATGTTTTTAATTTTAACATCAAACTTTCAAGTTTTTATTAATTAATTTAAACTTTGCTGTAGCTAGAAAATGGCAAATTTAATACAAAAATATTCAACGATTTCCTCCCGAGTGAATACAAAGATGTCTCAAAGAAAGTAGCCGATTGTTTCGATAAATTTTCAGGTAATTCGAAGTTTTTTAACAATTTTAAATTAATTCGTTTTAATTTTTTTGTAACGCAAAACTTTTTTAAATAATTTAGTACCAATTTATGTATTTTACAGGGGAGAAATCCATAGAAGACAGAGTGTTAAAAATGGAAAAATGCCGGTATGAAACTGACCCAGAGGTAAAAATTTAATCAGTAAAACTTCGATATTTTTAGTTTCTTATTCATTTTAGAATTACATCATGATCTGAAACACAGGCAAATAAAGGGCTAGTCGGAGGAATAAAATTGTTAAGAAATATTTTGATTAAGCAAATTGTAATTAAATGTTTCAATAAATAGTTCAATTTTCCCTTTTTTGTTTTTGTATTAAACGAGGCAAATTTCTCTAATAAACTGGGAAAAAAAAATACAAATAAAACATCAGTTAATTTCAAACTAAATATATTGCTCACGGAATATCCCATCTGATGACAATGAACGAACTAATGCATATGTACAAAATGTTAACAAACAATGTCTATAACCTAACGAATACAACAAAATACTGATTATGATAACACTGAGTATGTATTGAGTATTTCCACAATTATTTTACCTGATATGAATCAATTACAAAAAACGTCAAAACGAATGCCAGGCGAGTTCTCTCGGACATTTTAAAATATTCAAAGTTATACAGAAATTGAGTAGGTAACTAGTTAATTAAAGTTTTCATCGTGTTTGATTAATATGTATTAAAAAAATAGTAATAAAAACCAACCTGGCATTCAATACAACTGCTAAATTTATTCGAAAAAACTTCGCCTAATTTGAGCAGTAAGGAAAAACAGATATGATTATCAAGATATTTACGTCAGGATGTACAATATTTACAATTTGTAATATTTACAAAGGTACTGGGTTATATAATATGCTATGTTTGATTCAACGTATAACCGCGACCGGTTATCATCCTCAATACAATTACGATTAATTAAATCATTAGCATTCATAACAAAATTCGTTTACAAACATAACCGCAAGAGATAAACTAATCTTAATAAAAACATAAGATATGTATTAACTGGTTAAAGCGATTAATTAATGTAATAAATGTTTAGTTAAGAGTCTTTTTTAACCTGTCTTAAGATCGATTTGTTCCGATCAATCGTCGATTAAATTACAAATCGATTTTAGATCGAACAAATTTTTAGTAAAAGTAATCAAACCAAATATAATTGTTATAAAAATTGCAAAAGGATCTAAGAACAGTATTTATAATGCAAGAGTGATGATAAATAAATCTATTTTTTTAATGCAAATATTTTAGTTCGATTACTTTTGAAGAAAAAGACGTATTTCAACAACAAAAACTACATAACTGGACCTAATAAAAAATGGCACTAACTTTCTAAAAAAAAAACCTTAAACGAATAAACTTCTCTTATAAAATGTTTTCGAGTAAATTCGACTTACACATACAAATTAATTTGGCACATTAATTTTCGACGAAAAACATTGCCATAAATGGAAAACATACGAGGCAAAAAAATATATATAAAATATGACGAACGTAAGAGATAAAAATTCCCTTATAATATTGCTAAATCGATTACAAATCATCTATTCAAATAAAAAAATGTGTATAAACTGTTAATATGTCTTCCACTGCAAATACTTTGTAGACGAATAATCTCAATGATTGTCTACCAACAAATTGATTTTCACCTTAATATAATAAGAATGTTTATTAATATGGCATCCGGTTTTCTTCTAAAAATAAACGATTATAAAATATCCTCGCAATCAGTCTCGAAATTAGTAACAAAAACGTCGTCAGTAGCGTTCAAATATCAACTAATAATGATTATCAATCAAATAAAACTAATTTCAAACGTCCAACAGATTCCTAAATATTCCCTCCAGAATCTCGCCATACTTTCCATCGAATCATTCCACAAAATAACCTACACACAAACCTCCATATCCTCCATTTTAATAACAGCATCAGAACTAGCCAATTTCAACAGCGTCTTTTTGATCCTCAACGCCGGCAATCTGACGTTCTCGTTCTGATGCCAACATTCCTTCATCAACTTCGACATCCCCGACAGCAACTACAACAAAAAAAAAACCACATTCAATAAAACCTCCAAAATCCAAAAATTCTCAGAAACACCACTCACCGGATCGCTGGTCCATCTGTTGGGCAAATTCGGCCTCTGCTGATCCACGCACACCACCTTTCTCATGTCCTCGAAACTCGGATCGCTCGGCACCACATCGAAGAACGGAGGTTTGTAATCCTCGGCGATGCCGTTACTGACGGTTCTCCTGCACATTTCCCACAAAACCAGGCCCAAGGCGTACACGTCGGCGCGTCTGAACGAATCGAAATGATCCACTCGAATGCTACAATCATTCAATTAGATTAGTTATTAGTGCATGTTTAGTAGAAACGAAGCGTTCGCTTCGAAGTAAAAGGTAGAGGCGTTAAACGGAGAGTTTAAAACTATAAAACCTTTCGTTTCAAAGCAACTAAAGGATCTTCGAAGCTCACTCGAATGCTACAATCATTCAATTAGCTTAGTTATTAGTGCATGTTTGTAGAAACGAAGCGTTCACTTCGAAGTAAAAGGTAGAGGCGTTAAATAAAGAGTTTAAAACTATAAAACCTTTCGTTTCGAAGCAACAGCGGGATCTTCGAAGCTCACTCGAATGCTACAATCATTCAATCAGCTTAGTTATTAGTGCATGTTTAGTAGAAACGAAGCGTTCGCTTCGAAGTAAAAGGTAGAGGCGTTAAACGGAGAGTTTAAAACTATAAAACCTTTCGTTTCAAAGCAATAGAAGGATCTTCGAAGCTCACTCGAATGCTACAATCATTCAATTAGCTTAGTTATTAGTGCATGCTAAACCTCTCCTCTATTTTTATTCATTTTATTTTGGAAGCGAAATGTTGTGCTTCTTTTTACAAACAAATAATGCAAAATGTTAATTCTTACGTTTCGTCGAGAACCTCTGGGCTCATGTAGCGTTTCGTGCCCACTCTCGGGTTAGAACCAACATCTAATTGATCAGTCGATTGGAAATGAGTTACAGCTAATCCGAAATCAGCTATGCAACAGGTACCATTGGTTTTCACTAACAGATTTTTGCTTTTTATGTCTCTGTGAGCTATCGCCGGTTTACCCTGCGTTCCGAATATCTCCGTGTGCAAATGCACCAAACCGTTAGCTACCGACAGACATAATTTCATTAATTGTTGATGGGATAACGAAGTGTAATTCAAGTAATCGTAGAGACTGCCCAGCGCGTGGTAATGAGTAATGAGCCATAATTGAGTGCAGGAATTGCGCGAAGTCATATCGGATCCGATGTAACCCAAAATGTTCTCGTGACGAAGTAATATCGTGCTAAAAAAAAGAAGAAACGTTAGTGTTAGAATGGAAATAAAGAGTTTATCGTGCTGTTGGTTCGTATTTAGAGCCTCTGTTTAACTTTAGAGCGACTCTAAAGTCGCGTTTTTAATTGTCGACTGTAGAGCGATTACATAACCTCACAAATTGACAGTTTTACATTGTTATCTAGTAACTAGATTCTTTCAATTTGACAGTTTTGACAGATAAAAAGTTGCAATCACTCTTTCCTTTTCCTTTACAAGTATCTAATGGAAGTTATCTTTATCGCACTCGTACCTATATTGCAAACTAAAACGAATCAACCTGAGTATATATACCTGTAGATTTCGGTTTCTCTGGACCAACTGGCCTCGTCTCTCGAAAAGAATATTTTCACAGCGATGTTCTCCCCGTGCCAAACGCCCCTCCATACTTCCCCGTACCGGCCTTTACCTATACACTCGACCAACGATATTTGCTTAGCCAACGTCCGTTGGATCAAAAGAGGCAATCCGGATCCGCTTCCGGAGGTCATAGATTGCTCGAAATACTCCCTCAAAGTACTGTCACCGGCTGCGGTGGCTCTAAGGAGATCGTCCGAGGCGTAATATGTATCCGGATCGGCTCTAATATCATTACATAACCTAAAAAAAATTCAGTTGTAAATAAATCGAAACTCCACGAATAATATCGCGTGCCTATTTCTATGATATCTTCTCATAAAATGAAGTGCTACGACTCCGAACGTTCCGACTACGACCAGAGGTCCCAAAATGGCGGCGAAGATCTTCAATCCGTACACGAGCGATTCCGTGTACTCGGTGCTGGTGTCCGGGTACATCGGAGGCAACTCGGGGAAGTCACCGTCGTTGCAAAAGTCCCCTATGCAACAGTCGATTTGGAACTGGCCGCTCGCCTGCCGCTTGTGCTGCACCGTTACAGAAGGAGTCCTGGAAAGGAAAACCTGCCGGTAGCACCGTTATCGTACCGTTTGTAAAACTGCGAAGTACCTGCAATAGAAAGGGACTTGTTCTTGGTCGGTCGTGCAGCCCTTCGAGACGCTCTCCTCGCCGGTGGTCTCGCGCACGCGGGACTTCCAGCACTGCAGGGCGTTCCGGCATACGGTGGGCTTGGAGCAGTCGGGGGGCTCGCAGGAGTGGCACGAGTGCCGTTTTAAATTCGGCTGGTGTATGGCGTTCGGGTTGTGTTGGCGCGATAGCAAATCGGGCGGGGGCTTGCCCGGATCTTTGGGATTGTTGTTGATCGAATCGTAATCATCGTCGGTGTCTTCCGTTAGTTCTGGTCTTTGTAGTTCGCCTGAAACGGATGCGAATGGGGGAAATGAATTTTTTTCGGCGTTGCCGGAGCGATTGAGTAATCGAATGGTTTCCTACCTGCTGCTAGGTTTGTTGCTAAAATAATAAACAAACAGTTGACCACTTTCAAGGTAGCCATCGTCCATTTATTTTCGTTTTTGACGGGAATGACAAGTGGCATATGACAAGAGATAAATAAAGCCAGATATAAACATATGGGGTTTTCCATTGGTAAAATAGTGCGCACTGAAAATGCACTAAAAGCGAAATTTTTGTTTCATTTGGTGCACTTTGCAAGTATTTTGATTTGCATTGGAAATCTGGTTACCAAAAAACACAAATATATTTATATGTATATGCTCTAATTGTAGTTCCATGTCAATTTTCTTCTACTTCAATTATGGCCTCAGCCACAACGGCTATTCGGCGTAATCAGTCCGGTTGACATTTTTGACAGTTATGACAGTAAAAGCTGTCAATAAAAAACGAAAATAGACAATTACTTATTTACATTTGATGAGCAATATTCTATTGTTTAAATTTTATCGAATATCTATAAAAAAAACGTAGTTGTATTGTATAATGTCTGCTAATCACGGTAAGTACGCACAAGATTATAAACATATAAACATCTAATTGCAAAATTGTTTCTAGAAAACCGTCCGGAGCTTTACGAAGAAGTAAAACTATATCACAATGCAAGGGAAAGGGAAAAGTAAATATTCCAAAACCTTAACATTTCCAAAAAAGTAAATATTCGCATTTTGCAGATACGACAATCTAGCAGATCTCTACGCAGTTATCAACACATTGCAACAGCTCGAAAAGGCCTACATCAGGGATTGCGTTGTTGCCAAAGAATACACCGGTGCTTGTAGCAAGCTACTCGTTCAGTACAAGGCCGCATTCAGGCAAGTCAACGGAGATGAGTTTCCTACAGTCGATTCCTTCGTCAAAAAATACAGGGTAATTCACCAACGTTTCCACAATTCAAATCTTGCCAATTCTTGAAATCGTTTCCAGCTGGATTGCCCGGCCGCCCTGGAAAGAATCAAAGAAGACAGACCTATCACTATCAAAGACGATAAGGGAAACACCAGCAGATGTATAGCTGATATCGTGTCTCTATTCATCACTGTAATGGACAAATTGCGATTGGACATTCGTTCGATGGATCAATTACATCCGGATGTGAGAGATTTGGTCGATACGATGAACAGATTGAGCATTTTGCCATCGGATTTCGAGGGCAAACAGAAGATATCCGAGTGGTTGGCTACTTTAAATACTATGCAAGTATCCGATGAATTGTCCGAATCCCAGATTAGGCAACTTCTTTTCGATCTGGAGAGCGCTTATGCTTCGTTTAATAAAATATTGCACAATTAATGTTGAAGTACGATCAAAAAGAGTGCTTGTAATTCTTGTAATTTTATGGCAAGTGCATTGTAAACACTTTATGTTTGGATATATTCTATAGTTTTATAGAGTTGTTAATTACGATTAAGATTAATGAATAAATATTGTATATGCTTACCTGTGTATGTTGTGATTTTCAGAAATAATTACAAACAAAATTACAATTCGCTGTAGACTAATATTTCAAAGTTACTGTACAATGTGTGTTCTCTACCTTTGTAAGGAACATACAGAGCGATATTTTTAGCATAATCTACAAACTTTAAAAATATATACAATTCTTGCACTTTCCCTATAACCACATCGTTATTAATTTTAGCTCTACCGATGTATATTTTATCGTTTTCTTCATCGTGTCCGCCTACAACTGCATGTTCCGGAACATCCGTTTGATTTTCCACTATATTAACCCACTTTCCTTTAAAATCCACCAATATCTCGCAACCGTAATTGGACGAATACTCGTTACCGTAGAAGCTGATGTAACATTTCCTATCTGCAACAAAAAAAAATTAAATAAACCGATGCATACAGCGGTTAATCAATCGATTATTTACTCTGCAATTTTCCGGGGAAAACCCCATCGCGTACGCCGAAATTGAAATACACTCTAGACACATACAAATCGTTTATTCCTTCTTTGCCTCCCACGAAAGCATTGCTCGGAAACTCATCGAAATCGCTCACTTTGATCCATTCGTAGCAATGCAGCGACAAAAACATCCCTAAAACATTTAAAAAAAATTTCCGAGTGAAAAATTATCCCTTTGCATTGCATATTGATTGTTTTGCGAAAGGGATATAAAAGTATCATATCGCTCACCTCGAATTCTCGCTCCTTTTCCAGCACACCCCTCCACTCGTATGGATAGTAAAGGAGCGAGAGTGAGCGATAAATATATAACTTGCTCCATTTCCGATTGCAATATGGTCATTTCTATGAGTGGAACAAAGAAAGATTATTAAAATGACAGCTGTCAGAGTGAAAAGTTGCAATGACACAAATGTCACTCTTTCCTTTTCCTTTGTAAGTGTCTAATGGAAGTTGTCTTTATCGCACCCATGGCCTATATAACCCTATGTTGCGATCAAAAATGGAGCAATCTGTATTTAAAAATACTCACCGAAAACTAATAATGCAATTAGAACGTAGTGTGAAAAGGACATCGCTAATTAGATGCTCTAAAATGGAAAAAAATCGTGTTAAAAACGGAATTTTTATACAGAAAAAAATGGCTAGTTGTTTGACAAAACTCGGTCCTCTGTCGGTTCGATAAAAAGAAATATTCGGTGTTGGGCTACACAAAAGTGTATTGTAAGCCGGCGAAAGAAAAGCAATAACAAACCGGAGAGATGCCTTAATTTCTAAAGTCAATATTTGAGAGAGAATCGCGACCTGCATTCTCGATGAGACCGGTATTGTTTTTCGCGAAAGAAATGTTTTTATACCGAGAAATGGTGGCCACTTTAACGAATTTCCTTTTAAGAAGATTCCGTCCAAAGCCCGTCTAATTCAATCGAGTGCAGTCCGCGATCGTTCGGAATTAATTTTAGAAAATAAAATGTTGGAGAGATTAAAGGACGGGCGAACGAAATACAAACAAAAAATCAATTTAAGTTTTTATAGAGAAAATTCTAGATTTAATGGTCCAACAAATGCCCAAGCAACAAGAATTTACTGGTGATACCGGAGGCAATTTGCTTAGGAACTTGTTTGAATGCTGGTAATGTAAGAAAGTAACTCGATATTGGGCTACCCGAGGGATCCATTAGGTCCGGTTTCAATAAATCTCTTTTTGGGCCGGTTTTCCGATACTTAATCAGCGGTGAATGAAGAGATCTTCATTCAAAAGGATCGTTAAAACATTTTTGCAAAGATAAAACTACCTAGCTAAAGACTTTTTCTTCTCCACTATGTATTATTAGATACTTTTCGAAAAAGGCATAACTTGTTGAAGCTGGTTACAATTTTATTAAGCCCGGCTGTAATTTTATCGAAGTGTTCTTTTATGTTGCACTTTTATAGATTTGTTCTCTTTTCCTTTTTATTGGCTACCTTCAATTCCATTTTAAACTATAAACCACCCGCGTTGGTTATAAACTTTCGAGTTCCACATCATCAACTCAAATAATTTCGGTTAAAATAACCACATGGTAATTTTGTAACCAGCTGGTTAAATTGTGAACCTATATTTACCAAATAATCAGCTCACCCTGTACTTTTTGCCAAACTGTATAAGGAATTTCTAAATAATTAAACCGCATAAAATGGGACAATAAAATTGTGGAGATTGTGAGTGAGGGGAATTTTTATGAAAGTAATCAGAAAATTCCTTCACTTTTCAGGAATCAGGGTTGAATTGACATTGAAGAGAGGGCTAAATAAAATTTTTATCGACGGTTAGATTTGTGTAATTATTTTTTCGCAAATTTCAATATTTTATTATTCCAAAGTCTTAGTGAAGATACTTAGAAACTGTCTTGGACATTTTGAAATTGAAATTAAAACAGTTCCACTGATGGGATCGTTAAAGTGGAAGAGTTTCCAATCTGCGTGGTAATGAGATAAGTGAACGGAAAACTTTTTAATGATAAAATGTATTTTAAAAGTAACTTTCTCGAAAACGTTACAAAAATTATTTATTTTAAATATAACTTACTACCCAAAACTTTTTTAATGCGATTTTTTCTTCGGATTTATCAACTCGTTCCGGATTCTGGAAACCTTTCCAGCATATTTTAAAATCCACTGCGAACCTACATTTATGTATATCACGCGAGAAAGAGTGTATCCTAACATTATTGATACTCACGTCAGAAACCAATATTTTATTCGAATTTATGAACTATGGAAGGAACTCCGGGTGTCTTTGTACCGAGAGAATTGAATCGTATTTTTTGCTTATATTATATTTTCTCTACGAATTTTTATTTATTTATTTTGTTGTTCAAAAATAATATTTTTTTGTATAAAATATAGAGTTATTAATTACCTTTTTTTCCACTAAAATAGCGATTTATGTCACAAACTTTATCCTCACTAAATGTTGCTTGTTGTTGTTGTTGTTGTTGTTTTTATGCGGGCGGTCTTCCCAGCCCCGTGACCACCTAGATCTAATGATCCTCTGTAGTTTCCCGCTGTTTCCCAAGGTCATTGATTCTGCCAGAGGTCGCAAGTATTTGCAAACCTCAGCAGTTCGGATGCCCTTGTGTTTTTGAGATCGCTAGGATCTAATGAGGTCCTTCCCCAGGTATTATACCTGCGCAAGGATAATGCTGGACAGTGACACAGTATGTGTATGCTGTCCTCATCAGCCTCCCCACATAGACGGCATGTTTTCTGCTCTACTATTTTGAGGCGGTATAGGTGCGCTCTGAGTGCTACGTGTCCTGTGAGTAGTCCAAGCGTTTTGCTCAGCCTGTCACGGTCCATAGCCCAGAGCTCGGTTGCCCTTTCTTTTGAGGGTGTTTCCATGAACTGTTTGGATACCCTACAGCCTGTCGAGTTCCTCCATCGAAGGAGATGTTCCCTTTCTAGGAGTTTGTTTAGGTATTGTTTACCTTCTGCAAAGGGCATTCCAACTATCTGCCTACCAGGTTGCTCCATGGCCCCCTCTCTGGCTAGATTATCGGCTACCTCATTGCCTTCTATTCCCTGATGTCCAGGGATCCAAATTAGAGTCACTACATTCTCAGCCCCTAACCTGGCGAGGTTCTGCATGCAGTCCCGTACCACGGCGGAGACCGTGGTGTTTTTCGCCAGTGCCTCTAGGGCAGCGCGGCTATCCGAATAAATATTTATTCGGGAATGTGTGGCTCCATTATTTATGAGATGCTCTGCACATCTCAGTATAGCAAATACTTCGGCTTGGAAGACCGAAGCATGTTCACCCAGGGATATGCTCTCCCTGTAGTTGGTATTTTGCCCGTAGATGCCCGATCCATGGCGGTCCCCACACCCCGAGCCATCGGAGTACCAGTTTTCGCCCTGATGTTCCATCAACGGTTTTTGTTCCTTCCAGTCTTCTCTGGTTGGTATTTTTACCCTATAGGTTTGTTCAATCATAACCTGTTTAGAGGTTCTGTCTTGTCTTAATGTAAAAGGTGTGTTTCGAAGGACATGAATCCTGGTATGTCCAGTTCCATTTTCCTTCCACTCCCCTTGACATTTCATTCTGTATGCTGTCTGCCGGGCGACATTTGTCACTTTTAGGTCCAGGGGTGGAATATTGAGCGCTATTTCTAGCGCGTCAATTGGTGTGGTTCTCATGGCCCCTGTCGCAGCCCGCAGGTAGTTACCTTGCAGGCTTTTTAACAGGTTCCGATTCCCCACCAATTCCACCCTGGGCCACCAGACGACTGCAGCATACAGGAATCTTGGTATTAATACCGTTTGGTATAGCCAAAGAGTTACCCTAGGTTTTAATCCCCAGGTTTTTCCTATGGCTCTTCTACAAGCCCACATTGTGCTGTAGAATTTTTTCCTCTTTGTTTCGAGGTGGGTGTTCCAATTCAGTTTTGTATCTAGGTGGACTCCCAGATATTTGACTGTATTGGAGTAAGGGATCTCCACCCCCCAAAGCTGTAACGGCTTTGTTGGTTGGAGTTTGTATTTCCGGGTGAAGATTACTGCTGCTGTCTTTTCTGGGTTTACCATCAAGCCAACAGCAGCGCACCAGTCCTCTACGATTTTCAGGGCATTCATAATGATGTCCCTGAGTGTTGGTAGGAAGTTTCCTCTGGCTATTATGGCTATGTCATCTGCATAGCCGAATACCGAGAGTCCTGCTTCTGTGAGTTTTGCCAGTAGTTCATCCACCACTAAGCACCACAACAGAGGTGAGAGTACTCCCCCCTGCGGGCACCCGCCGGTTGGACGTCCTGTTACCTGGTCGGTTCCCATGCTTGTTGACAGTTTCCTGCCTCTAAGCATGGCCTGCGTCCAGTCAGTGAGGGTTTCGGGTATCCCTCTGCTGACCATTGCTTTTTTTATGGCTACATTAGAGGTGCTGTCAAAAGCCCCTGCAATGTCCATAAATACTCCTATTGCATATCCTTTAGACTCTAGCTGCGCCTCTACCTTTCCCACTAAGTGGTGTAAGGCGGTCTCCGTGGACCTCCCTGCTCTGTACGCGTACTGAGAGGGGGCCAGGGGGCGCGCTGCTAGAGTCCTATGCTTGATATACGTATCCACCAGTCTTTCCAGAGTCTTCAAGATGAAGGAGGAAAGGCTGATGGGACGGAAGTCTTTGGCCAGTAGATGACCGTTTCTTCCCGGCTTTGGTATGAAAGTAATTCTACTTTCACTCCACGCTCTGGGGACGTGTCTGTGGGCTATGCTAGCCCTCAGTATTCTTGTTAACGGGCCTAAAAGGTCCGTGAGTCCTTCCTGTAACAGTATGGGATAGATTCCATCCGGTCCAGGAGCCTTGTATTTGTCGAATGTCCTTACGGCCCACTCGACTCCTTTAGGCTTTACAACCTCTGCCGCCAGAGTCCAATTCCTAGGCTTACGTTGAGCCCCGTATTGTGTCTCCTCGGTTGGTAGGTTGTTGGTGTCTTCTCTGAATCCCGGGAAATGTGTTTCCATCAGTAGATTCAGTGAGTCCTTCATTGTTTCTGTATATTCTCCATCCGGTCTTTTCAAGCATCCCAGGTTTGGAGTGGTTGTTCTGCCGAGTGCTCTGGCCAGTCTCGATACCTCTGATGAGTTCTCTACACTGGCACAGTATTCCCTCCAGCTTTTCTTTTTAGCGGCATTTATAGCCTTGCTATATTCCTTTTGGAGGTGTCTGAACTGCTTCCAGTCCTCCTCTTTTTTTGAATTCTTTGCCTTGTTGAAGGCCCTTCTCACCTCTCTTCGGAGTTTCGCCAGGTGGTTGTCCCACCAGCGTACGCCCCTTGATTGGTTTGTGGGCCTTAGAGGACAGTTGAATTCATAAGACTCCTTGATGGCATCGCTTAGGAACCGCGACGCTTCCTCAAGTTGGTCCCTTGTATTTAGTCTGCGAGGGAATTTTGAGAGTCTCATTTTGAGTTCCTCTCTGTATCCCTCCCAGTTGGTTCTTCTGGGATTTCGCGCCCATTCGGTTTCTGTTTTCTTACAGACGTTCATTCGGATGAGCCTGTGATCAGAGCCTGTAGGTTCGTTATCCACCCTCCAGTCC